GGAGGATAATCATTTAGCTTCAGGGAGTATAATTTGATTTCCATATCTTGGGAACGCCTTTCTTTGGGAAGTTGCTGCACTCCTTAATTGGCAGTTGTTGAGCATTTTCCCCTGTTTTTTTTTTCTTTGTTTTGTTAAGTATGGTCACAGACCAGCAAGGTTAATACATTTAAAAATATTATGTATTTATTAACAAACATCTTATTATTCATGCATTTACTAATAGATAAATATGATAGTAGTGAATTCTGAAGAGCAACTGGCTATCATAACAGCCCCACCCCCAAATTAGAGTCCAAAATTGCAAGCAGCTGCCAAGATCCTTACCACAAAGGCAGTTCTTTCCGTTTCTATCTCGGCAAAGCACAGACCTTCTGTGGAGCCAGTGGACATACAACAGGAGCAACACTTCGGTGCTGGGGAAATTCATGCTTGCCCCAATCCTAGGAAGGATTGCAGCTCAGCAGGAGCAGGGATGACTGTGGTGGGTGGTGGGCGGCCTCAGCAGCGCCTGCTAATAACAAGCAGTGCTGACACCACATGCTTCCTGCTTTGCACACTGTTAGGAAAAGCATGTTCAGAAATACATATTTGTATGAAATACCTTTTCAGAGCTTGAATAAAACTGGCATGAGCTGCAACTCTCAGCATTCCTGACTGTTGGCTATGCTGATGGGGGTTGAAATCAAAAACATCTGGAAGGCACTAAATTGGAGATGGCTGCTGGATATAGGAAACTGCAAGGATGGACAGCTCAGTCTGTGCAGTATTCTATCTCTACTATTGTAAGATGCCTTAAGGGGATTTCTCTGGAAAGGCAGGGTTTAAATATAAATAAATGCTCCAAGAACACAAAGAAGTATCTTCTGGCGTCTGGGCCTGATTTCAAGCTTGTATTTGTTGCAATAGGAACATGGACTGGAAGATGTCGAGAAGCTCTTGAGGAGACCAAAGTCAAAGGCAGATGAGAGGCTTCGACAGGTTCTGGAGGAATTTGTAGCTGGATGCAGGTGTGTGTGCCACTGCTCTCTTTTAATTCTCCCGTATGATTTCCTCATGCTGCCTTTTGAGTCTCTTTTGCCTCTGCTATACCCATTGGCAATAGCCATGAATGGAAGACTCTTGAATGCAGCTTTGGCAGAAGCTTGAAAAAATTATCTCTCGATCCAGAAGTTGTGAATGGTCCAGATCCACTCAGAAAATAGGGGTGAGAGATCACTGTACATCCACAGTAATGTCATCTGAGGCTTTGTGACTATGTTGAGTCTGCACTAGAACAGCCTTCCCCAACCTGGTGCTCTCCGGATGTGTCAGACAGCAACTGCCTTCTGAAAGCTGAGAGTTGCAGACCTGCACAACCGGAAGGCAAAGGAGGGGAAAGCCTGAACTCCAATGTATTTGTGTCAAGTTCTACCTGTGTCTGGACTTGGTTTCTAATGCGTGCATAGCTAGCATAGAGGGGGGGGGTGTGTAAAAATAGTCCATTGACTAAATAATCCAAAGGGAAATGAGAGATGTGCTGATTCCTGAAGGAAAATATTTGTCTTCCAGTCACTCTGGCTTCTTTTAAGGCAGAAACCTTCTCAGGCTGACTGGACAACGAAATACTGGAGGAATCTTTACCTTAAATCATACTTGGAAGCAGTATTATAACAGATTAAACAAACAAACAAAGAGGTGTTGTAATATAGAGAAAAGGTTGAAAGTGCAAAAGGGAAATATGAAATAGGAGACCAGAAAGAGGCGTTGCTTATCTCAAAACTTTTGAGGGCATCTTTATGGAAGCCCATCTCTGGAGCTAAACCCTGACCACATAATATATAAAAGTTACCAGTGCTGAAAGATGGTCCTTTCTAAAATAATCTTATACTGGAAGACGGTCCTGGAGTACAAGCTATAAAAATAATAAAATAAAGCATTAACAAAAAGATAATCAAACAGAAGAGAACATTAAGTAATAACAATGTATTATTAGTTTATGTTATAATGTTTGCTGCATTATAACATTATGTTATATTATTATAACATAATGTTATGTTATATATAATGTTATTATAACATAATGTTATAATGCAGCAAAGAAAAGAAAGGCCTGTGTAATCAAAAGCCTGACTATACAAATAGGTGCTGAAACTTGTAAAACTTGGTACTGCCCATACCTGTGTGAGGAAAGAGTTCCCCAGCCCTACTGGGAATCCACACACTCTGTTACAAAAAAGCACAAATTGACCTGAGAGGGAGAATAATCTGTGTGCAAAGCACTTTGGAAACATGCCATTGCTAAAAATCAATATTCAGGAGGATGCAAAACAGAAATGTCAATGGAAACTATATTGTGCTTGCTAGACAGTAATCTACCTGGCACAGTTTTGAGTGATACAAAGCACAGAATGGAGTGGGTGAATGCAAGGTAAGGGGGAAGTGGAAATGGCTCACAATCGTGCCAAACAGAGAGGAGAAGAACAGGTCAGGCAGTTATTGGGCCCATACCTTGAAAAAAATGGACCACTTGTCCCTATACCTATATTACTGGTGCCAGCTATCATGTCCTGAGAATTCAGAGCGGGGAGAAAACGTAAATCAGCAATCTGGTGTGTGCAGAGGAAGGCAATGATTTTTCCCTCCAGTACTGAAGTATGTGGCATTTTGCTGCTCCCGAGTTGGTGTAATTCATCAGTCATGCCGGTTCCTTTCTTGTTGATGGGACAGAAGATAATTTTTTCATAGTTCTCTTCTGAAGGGACGAGGTCTTGACTTCTGTCCATCTTTTCAGCTTGTGTGATATATGGCTGCCATTCAAGGGCTCAGAACTCACATCCTCTTGAATTGCAGGCAGTATTCTCTTAATGTGGAGAAGAAGCCAATGACCCGCCCAAACAACCTTGATCGATGCCGAATAAAATCTCTTCCACAAAATATTGTAAGTCATGTGATCAGGCTTCTGTGTTATGGTTCTAGAGAGATGGGATGTTTGGCTTCACTCTTGAAGAGCAGCAGGGCATTAAAGTCACCACTGACAAAGTTAAATATTCTGACCTCCACATAGCATAATGTAAATGTGGAACCCCTGCAATGTGTGGCCAGGTTCAATGATGTTCTGAATTTAGGTTCAATGATGTTCTGAATTTCCTAGCTCTATATGCTGATGCCAATGACATGGCACGGCCGTCCATAAGCTGGATCAAAAGGACCAATTGTCTGCCCATCCATGCACTGCTGAACTTCCCACAAGGAAAGCTAACTTCTCCTCTGAGGTGCACTTTTTGAAAAGAATGCTGCCAAGGAGAACTAATACATCTTCAGAGGAATTCCAGGTGGTCAGATGGTGGTACGATGTGGCTAGCAACCCACTTTAAAACATAGTCATGTGTCTCTCTAACCATCGGTTCAAGGACCTATAAAGGACCCAGGTTCATAGGTTCAAGGACCCAGTGCCTCCTGCAGCTTGTCTCTTCCATGCTTCAGCCTCCCTCTCTACTTGGTTTTGCTTTCTTTATCCATTGTTACGTGTGCATGGCCTCCGCCTATTCTCTGCTTGCTTTATCTTCCCTTGCCAGGGCTGGCCCTAACAGTCAGCAGAGTGAGAAGGTCTCCTCTAGTGAAAGATCCTGAGCGGGGCAGGGGGGAAAGCATCAGCAACAAGGCATGCCCGATGGCCTGTCCTGCACCCCCTAAACTAGCCCACTGCTCTCAGAGGTGGGGGAAGAGACTGTCCCACTGACAGGGTTGAAGTAAGCTCTGACGGCCAGTCTGGCTGGTTTCTGTGCAGGGAACCAGGGAACCACCTTGCCATTCCTTCCAAGCACTGCAGTGTTTTCAGCCAGCCCTGCTCCTGAGCATATTCTGCCGCAGTGCTTCCATCCATCCCTCTTTTTCCTTCCTAAAGGATTTTCCACTTTCTGTTTCAATTGCATTCTGAACCAAGCATTTCCTGAATTTTAGTCATTGTTTTCACTCTGGAAAGAATTTGGATCGCTAAAAATGACCATCACTGGAGCATCTCTGCTATAGCCAGTGGAGGCTGGTGGGCACAATATCAGTGGAGCTCTGTATCCATGCCAGATTTTATCCTGAGCTTTAAAGGAGCTATCCAGGGGGCAAAGCCCCATTTCCCAAGCATGTTCAGCCCCATGGAGAGTTCCTCTAAAGTTCAGAGTGGGAAACAATGGATCCCTGCTGACTTGGTGCCACCAGCCTTTATTTGGTTGTGAGAAATTACAGAGCCAAGGGGAGGGAAAGAAGAAATTCGCCTTGAGAAAAGCCAGTTGATGAGAATTTAGTCTGGTGTCCTGTGCAGTTGAGTACACAGTTAGCAAAAGATGTGTGCTTTTTGTGTGTGCTCAGATACTGTATGCGAAACAGGGGCTCCGCATAAGAAGGCGACTGACTCGCACCAACACCAAGGAAAAACTAAATGAGACTAAGATGATTTTGTCAAAGCTGCGCTTCCTGGCTAAAGAGGTATGCGATAAAATTGAAGATGTGAAGACATAGTTTGGGAATCCATATACAAAGCAGGAGGTCCAGAACTGCGTAGCTCAAGTAACTCAAAAGAAAACATTTCATGAAGTGTTGTTGCTGAAACATAATATAATAACTCCCTTTACTTTTTCAAAAAGTATCTAGTCCTTATGGTAACTGAGAAAAATGTGATAGTGCATCACAAATCACAGATGATACTTTACAAATCCAAAGGTGCATGAAATGATCAGGAGTTGAAATAAGTGGCCATGAATCTTGTCTTCTTTCCCTTCGATTATCTCAGTCCTTAGTAAAAACTCCATTAAAAAAACCCTGTATTCGCAACAGATTTACAAAATTCATACCTACACAATAAATGTTTTTGCAGGTTTCAACAATCCCAAAGCCCTTTAATTTTGGCTTTCTCTCTCATTCCTTTCAGCCCCAAGCTACTATCCCTGATGTCTTAATCTGGCTGTTTAGTGGCAATAAGCGTGTCGCCTATGCAAGGATCCCTGCCCAAAACATTCTTTACTCAGTGGTAGAAGAAGAGAAAGGCAAGGATTGCGCGAAGTTCCAAACTGTCTTTCTAAGGGTAGGCATTCTCTTTTGCTTCTTACTGTAATGGTGACTTAGCTAACCTGAGTGAACAGAGAGCAAAGAATTTCTTGCATGGATTTTAGTACGTCTTGCAGTTCTTGCCCTCAGCATTCTTCAACTGAAAATACTCTTTGGGGCTTAAAGGTTCCAGGGTCACACACTGGGGATATCTTTGCAAAGCTGGAAATCTATATGTGGCTTGGGGTAACAAAATATGTGAAGAACAGCACTGCAGAGCTACCAGAGGAGTTCAAACCAATCTATGATACGGCACAGCAGACTGTAAAGATCTCAAGATACCTTCCGCCCAGTCGGCTCAACAGGGATGGTAAGCTTCACACTTTCTCCATGCTTCAGACGCCTGAGTATTAAAATAAGTCATGACCTGAAACCAGAATGAACTGGTTTCCAGAATGGACTTGGAAAACTACAAAGTCAGTATGAGATGTGGGATGGACTCGGGTGCTTCCAGATGGAAAGCTCCTAGCATTCCCTATCAAAAGGATTTGTGTAGAGACTCCACCTTTGATTTGGTTGCAACTCTACTTGGAAGCGATTGAAAGGTTCAAATGCACTCATAAAGAGATGCAGCAGAATTGCTGCTCCACTCTCCCAAAGAGGACATTAATTAGAAGGAGCCAGAACACTGACTCATACAGGGGTGCGATGAATACCCACCCCTTGCAATTGCCACTTCTATTGTTTCCTTACACTGAAATTGATTGACCCAATCATATCAGACTCAGACAGTATAGAATCATTCACCCAGCATTGGCAGAATGGGAGGAAAGAAGGCCAGAACGGTTGTTGTTGTGGGGATAAGATGGAGGAGGAGAATGATGTAAGCTGCCTTGAGCCCTTTGAGGAAAAAGGCAGGATATAAATCGAAAAATAAATAAATAAATAAATAAATAAATAAATAAATAAATAAACAAACTGTACATGGCATAGGCCTCCTCTGTGGGCAGGAGCTTTAGGTTCCCAAGAGACAGTTTCTGAAATGTACTGTATTTATTTAGAAGAGCAGTTTAGCACTTCTCTTGCAATGCTTAGCGAGTAGCTGGGGAATTTGTCATCTTCAGCAATAATACATATAACAAAGCAAAAAACAAAACTTCAGGAAGAGCAGTTCTAAAAGGAAGCAGATAAACGACAGAAGGGAAAAGTGAGAGACATCCTTTCCCCTCACATATAAGAAGAGCGTGGTTTTGCTGGTGCTGCACTTTTCCCCATAGGGGAGGACTCAGTGTGGGCAAAACATCCCAGCCCTTCAGCCTCCTTGCTCATTCTGCATGAGCTTTCACCAGCCTCTTGGTATCAACTGGCCCATGAAGGGGTGGTGGGTAATTTGCCGTCCCTGCCTTGAACCTGTTCCTCACCATCGGTTGGTGCCAGAGATCTGTTAGGCTTTCATGGTGTCACAAACCTCTTTTTTATGTTTCTGTTGCAACAGACTAACACAGCTGCCTCTCTGGAACATGTTGAGCCAAGTAGCTGGTCAGAAGCGCTGTGGTGCAATAGGCCAGAGTTTTGCTGGCTGCACAGAGCCTGCAGAGTGAGAGCTATCACACAAGAATTATTTGCTTAGAAAGTCGATGGCTATGTTCCATTTTTTTCAGACTTCAGCTACTTTCAGCTGCGAGCCCATTTGTACCAGGCACGAGGGATTCTCCCAGCTGATGAAAATGGCCTTTCTGACCCCTTTGCGAAAGTGGTGTTTTCAACACAGTGCCAGACTACACAGGTAAGTGTATCTGCAGCAGAGGTGTGAGTAAGCACATCAGCTGCATATTGAGGGGCCAGATAGGCATGTGTGAAGAATCCAGTCCAGGGTAGGAATCCATCAGATTTCCTCAGATTTCTTGGATCCCCAGAATCTGGCCTGCTGCACTCTGTCTTAAGGCTGCTGGCATCCAGCAGGATATGAGTTCAAAGCAGAGGACTGCTTCCTCACATGTGACCTGGAGGCGTTGCGTTCTGGCACAAAGAAGTTTGCACATACTCTGCAGAAGTCACTAGTGTTCCCAAGTGTTCACAGACTTGAGCTCAGCTCAGCTCGCTTCCTGGCTAGGACTGAGCATAGGAAAGAAGTTTGGCAAGCACAAGAGAACTGGACTTCAACTGGATCCTTGCATTCCCAGTGCTATGCACCTCTGCCACGCCCCACAATAAGCCCCTGCTAAATCTTGAGGCTAGCTGCTCTTCTCTACTGATTTCAGCTCTGTGGCTTGTTGGACCTCGACTGCTGTACTCTGAGGCAGAAGCTGGCAAGCTTCAGTGCAGCAAAGGAGGCCAGGTGTAGCACCTTGGAGAACTCCGAGTGAGCAGGTCTCTCTGACAAGGTCTGAAGCTAGGTTGAAGCCTCTTGTGCTTCCTTGGAAGCCCCTTCTCAAACTCCATCCCCTCCCAAAAAGTGGAAAACTCTTAAGGGAGAAGCCTCTGGCCTAGAACCTAGCAGTCCTTCATCTCTCCAAGAGCTCATGGCAGGTGAATTGTCAGCTTTAGTGTACCTGGGTGGATACTTCTGTATCCATGAATTGAGCAGCTCTTGTAGATGAGACATAGAGAAAAGCCTCCTGTTCTAATCAACACAAGGCTTACGTGAGAAGATGGCCCTTAGGAAATATTTCCAGCTGTGTACATTTGTCTTTGTCTTTATCCTCCCTCCACACAAAAATAGGAGACTAGGTTTAAGGTGAGAAATGTTGTGGGTCAGGGGCTACTTGACCGTTTTATCTCCAGGAATTTTTCTATTAAAGAGATCCCCCTGCCTCACCTTTGGAATGAAAATATACGAATACCATATATTTTGCCAGGGGAGGAAAATCAGTTGGGAAGTGATTTTTAGTGGAAAAAATTGATAGTGGAAAGGAGTAAGCAATCTTTTCCTTTTGTTTACTCCTTTACACAACATAAATTATGGAATGCACTGCCATGGGAAGCAGTGATGGCCACCAATCTAGAAGGTTTTAGCAAGGGATTGGACAGGTTCATGGAAGTAGAGACTATTACTTTTAAAGTCCTTAACGGCTTGGGACCCGGATACCTGAAGGAACGCCTGAGGCCATATTTGCCCTCCCGCCCCTTGAGATCGGCAGCAGGGGCTCTCCTCCGGGAGCCTTCCGTGAGAGATATCAGGAAGCAAAGTACCCGGAGGAGGGCTTTCTCTGCAGTGACGCCCCATCTGTGGAATGCGTTCCCCAGAGAGGTCTGCCTGGCGCCGTCGTTATTTGTATTTCAGCGCCAGGCCAAGACCTTTTTATTCAAACAGTATTTTAATAATCTTTAATATTTATAGTTTTAATTGTGCAGCCAGTGTGTTTCCAAGTTTTAATTGTAATTGTAATTCTATTTGTTTTATTTATTTGTTGTTGTGAGCCGTCCCGAGGCTGTGTAGCAATGGGGACGGCATATAAAAACTTTAAATAAATAAATAATAAATTGGTGCCTACTAGTCTTTCTGGCTATGTGCTACCTCCTTCACAAAGTGGCATTCCTGCATACAGCAGTTGATGAGGAGTCTGGGCTGGTGAAGGTCTTGTACCGATCCTGCTTGAACAATCCTGTGAGCAACTTTGGGCTAGACAAATATTTGGTCTGATCCAGCAAGTATTTCTATGTTAAACTCACAACATCCAGAGACTGCTTTTCAAACAAACAAACAAAAGATGGACTTGTTTCTGTGTTGTATGTATCTAGTTTAGTCCTAAAGAAACTGTTCTAAACAACTGTGCTAGATATCAGAAACTTTGTTCTCTGTTAATTCAGGTTTTGGAGGAGACACTCAGTCCAATGTGGAATGAATTGCTTCTGTATGACCAGCTCATTATAGATGGAAAAAAAGAGGACTTGAAGACAGAGACGCCAATTGCTATCATCAATATGTTCGACCACAATAAATTTGTAAGTAAATATAAGCATTTACCTGATTTGGGTAGCTGCAATTTTCTCTTCAGGATGGAATAACTCTTTGGGTATTGTGAACTCACAGCCAGAATTTCCTTCAGTAGTAAATCCTGAGCTGTCTGGCAACAGACCAACCAGCAATTGGGTAGATGACCTGGTGCTAAGTGATGCAAGGTAAGGCAAAAGGTGGTGGGAGCTGAGCTTGTGGTTATTGACTGACCAAGAGAGCATTGGGTTGTGGTGGACAGCTCAAAGAAAATATCAGCCAAGTGTAAATTCCATGTTAGGCATAATTAGGAATGGAACCGAAAATAAAGTGTCAAAATCATATTCCCTTTATTCAAATCCACACTTGGACTATTGTGTGCAAGTCTGGTCACTACACCTAAAAGGCATATTGAAGAGCTGGGAAAAGCACACAAAAGGGCATCTAAATTGATCAAGTTGAGAGAACAACTTCCTTATGAGGAAAGGGCGCAACAGCTGGGATAGCTCAGCTTTTTTAAAAAAAGCAAGACATGATAGAGGTGGCAAAATGATGCACGGAGATATGGAGAAAGTGGATAGTGAGACCTTTCTAAGACAGAACCAAGCACAAGAGGAAGTCTGTCAACTGAAGAAGAATGGGCTCTGTGGAGCTTCATTGCAACTTCACTGGAGCTTCATTGGAACTTAAGCACATAAGTGGAACCATGCGGGATGAGACCAAAAGTCCTTCTCAGGAGAATGTAATGGCTTTTTTGAAACTGGCATTTTAAGAAACTGTCCAGGACAGCAACACAAAATGGACCCATTGTAGATGAAAGCACTAGCCTATTGCCACCTGTCTAAGAATGTCTCTGAGCCTCATACATTGTCCAGAGGCACGAACGGGGGAAAAGAAGGGAGTACCTAAAGGCCCTCACTTTGCTTTGAAGTGGTCCCAGCTGCTAGTAAGAAATTTTGTTTTGTTTTAGAGGAGGAGGGGCAGGGCACCTTGGCGGATAGCAGGAATGGTATGCCAGGGTGCACAAGGACCATGTTGCCTATCTAATCCAGCATTCGGTTCCCACATTAGTAAGCTGGATTCCTCAGGTTAGCTCACAAGCAGGAGAGGAACGTGCTAGTGCCCTCCCTCTTGTGTTCCACAGCAAGTGGTACTGAGAGGCCACCTGTTTCTTAATATTCCTTCATGACTAGTAGCTACGGACAGCCTTGTCATCCATAAAGCAGGCTTGCTGGTGCTCTGCTGTGTGAATAATCTTCATGAGGCATTAACGAGCTTAGTATTGTGACATGCCAATGATGGAGCTGAGGGAGCTTGGGCTCCAGAGGGTGCAGCAGTCCAGGTAAAATATACCTGCAGCTTGGACAAGCTGGGATCCTGAGGTAGTGTGTTTGTACTCATGGCTGTTCCTTCACCTTCACAGGGTGCACCGGTGTTCCTTGGTCGAGCCTTTGCTACTCCTCAGGTCAAGCTGGTAGATGAGCCATACAGCAAACCTTCTCTCCAATTTTTTGACATTTATAAAGGGCATAAAGCAGCTGGGGAATTGATTGCTGTATTTGAGCTGATTGAACTGGATTATAGTGGCTACTTAGAGGTAAGTAGACTCATTTCCATAGCAAGATTGCAAGGATATACTTCACAGCTTGAAAAGGCTGATGATATCTCTGCTGGGTACTGGAGGCATAGTAATAATGGCTAGGTTCAGACAACATGATAACCCACACTCAATAGTTGAGTATGGGTTGGGTGTGAATGGATGCTGAACTGCTGGTTATTGTGTTGTCAGAACCCAGCTGTGCTAACAAGCTTGCTAACCATGAGCACTCATGAACAGAACATATGGTTTGCCGGTAGGTTGTGAGTTCTGGGTTGTTCACCATGGTCTGTTATCTTGGCTGGATTGAAAAAAACCTATAATTCTTATAACCCATTTTTCAGCATCAATCCATGCTCATACTCAACCCTTGAATGTGGCTTATGTTATCTCAATCTAGTCACCGTACATTCCTAATGACCTGTTTAATGTAACACATGAACATACTTCCATCATGCTTCCTAAGCAGCGAGGCAATTGATTTTGGAGCAAATTCTGCAGGGTTTAAAAAGTAACAATTTATGAAAATCTATGATTAAAACTAAAATTGAGACTAGTTTCAGCTCTAGAATCTGCAAAATAATACACTGAAGTAATGGCTAAATACATGTAGCAAGTGTCCTTTCCTCTCTGTAACACTCTTTAACATCCACAACCAATGTCCATGCATCTGGGATTAACACCCAAATTAACATTTAGTATTAAGCCTTTACACCTACAACTGGAGTTAGAAGGAGTGCTTTCTGGATCTAGATAAAGAAAACCTGACATCCTTTGTTTTAGAAAGTAAGGAATGATGACTATGGTGGTAATTCAATAAATTTGGCATAATAACATTCAGCAAATCATATCTTAGTCCTTTGTCCATTCATAGAGCCCCTTCACTGGTGCTTGGTGCACTTGCAAAAAAATCCAGGAAGCCTTCAATGAAGGATCGTTTCCTTTTTCATCCCAGCCAGGAAACTATGGTTCACAGCTTTGGAACATGACAGAATATTAAACCATGGTTTGAAGTTGGTTTAGTATCCTGGCTTGTTAGTATCTTGGCTTGTTATGAATGTTTATCTGATTAATTGAAATACTCCCTGTTTGTTTCCCAGCTCAAGTGAAAGGAGATATTAAAAGGCTGCATGTGTGGGCAAAAGACTTTATTGAGTTCAGATACAATTGTTGGAACTTCCATTGGGTTAGATATTTATACTTCACTATGAAGAATACCCTTTTTTTTGAACAGCTAGATAGTCTGACTGTTGTTTGCTATTTAGCCATCAGTGCCTAATGATGTGGATCCCAAGGAACCAGAATATTTGGGAGACCCTCGTTCAGGACGATTCGTTATTCCAGAGGGAATCCGACCAATCCTAAAGGAGTTTCGTATAGAGGTAATTTTTTTTTTCTTTTACCTTCTTTATGAAAACACTTTGGCAAAGGAATTATTTAATGTAACCATTGCCTATCTATTCAAATGGAACAGCTAGGGGCAGGGGGACTTATACTTTAGTGTTGGCATTACTATCAGCCTTCATCAAGTCCCTTTTGCAGACCTAATGGTAAGTGGGTATAGGTTTGAGAGTAACAATTCCAAATAGCTTTGCTTGTGCCATTTGTGCATAATATGGATATTAAAAATCTGGACATTAATATTTTAAAATAGGGAAGCCATAAATTAATCTGGCTGTTCTGAACCTTCTTGCAGTTATTCAGTTTGCTCCATTTAAATATCGTTCCTTTTCCTGGAGTTATCAGCTTTAAAAATTCATGGGGTATTTTGAGTTGTAAAAAAGGGAATATGATACAACTGGGCAGTAATTTGCAATCGTATAGAACTACTTATAGAACTCGTATAAATGCATTAGCTGGTAAAGAATGAAATCTTATGCTTGTTTTAAACAGAAAAAAGTCTACAACTCCCAGTGTACCCAGTCAGCATAGCTGGCCAAGACATGCTGGGAGTCATAGGACTTATTTCCATTTAAAACAACCAGGGGATTGTACCCTAAGTAATCTGATTGGAAAACAAAGACAAAATTTCGACTTTACCCCAGTGAAGGTTTGTTTATACATTTACTGTCTAGATTCATCCACAATAATGTAGGCTTAGTATGTTTCAGATATAAATTAGGAATGAGTAGGTGGACGGTGGACATGTCTATTAATCTGGTATGCAATTGTGAATTGACTTTTTACATTCATGGGATTTGGAACAGGATAATTGTGAAGAAGGAAAATGTCAAGCCCTGTTCTGAGTTCCCAGGGGAACTGGCTCTTTTGCCCTCTGTTTCTTAGATCTTGTTCTGGGGCCTGAGAGATCTGAAGCGTGTGAACTTATTTGAAGTTGACCAGCCACAGGTTGTCATTGAATGTGCTGGGAAGAAAGTAGAATCAGAAGTGATAACAACTTACAAAGAGAATCCAAATTTCAATGAACTTGTCAAATTTGTTAATGTGGTGAGTAGAAATTGGGATGCAGATCCCAAAACTTAGGATCTGTCAACTTTTCCTTGGGATAACTTCAAAACTGAGACTGGGCAGTGAATAGCTCCTACTGTACTATTTGGTCTCTGCATGTACGCATTTCTGTTAAATAATGTTTTCATCCACTGAAGACTTTTGAGGTTCCTGTATGATTGTTTCTCAGTGGAAATGGTCGAGCAGTTACCGGGATGTTGCAGAAACTAGAACAGAGTTCTGGATTTCTGCTACTGTACCTGCAGATGGTCCTATTTTGAAGCAGTCTGTTTCCTGTGAAAGCTCATGTCATAATAAAGCAGTTCCTGTCTCTATAGTGTTTTTTTCCTGTAATCTTTTCTGAGAACTTGATTTGCTTTTTCACAGGAGCTTCCAGAGCAGGTGTACTTGCACCCACCTCTCAGTATCTTTGTGGTGGAGAAGAGAGCCTTTGGACGCTCCGTCATGGTGGGAACCCACATAGTTTCCCATATTATGAAATTTGCTCCAAAAGAGCTAGATGAGTTGGAAGAAGAAGCCGATAGGCCATCCAAGAGTGAGTCATTACAATCTGATTTCTTTTAGGACAATTTTCTAGGATGTGAGATACTATGTCAGCATCTGCAGAGCATAACCCCCTTCACCTGCTATTGGATCTATTCCACTGCCATAAGTCATAACTAGTTTCTTGGTTTTACTAGGCCAGAAGGCCAATTAAACCTATGTCAGAAAACATTCAGAAAACCTACATCCATGCAGCATGCTTTGAAAGAAGCATGTTTTAAAAGAAAATGCTTCAAGGAGCAAGGTTGCAAAGACAACTAAGGCTTTGAAGTTTCGTTATTAAAATTATTAGTATCTCCTCAGAGCCAGTTGGATCTGGGTTTTATTTTTCAGATCTAAAACCCATGTTATGGTCCTCTGCATGCCATAGGTATGTGGTGCCTGTGGGTACCAATGTGCCCATGGACAGCTCCCTTCCTGGGAGGCAAACAAACTACAGAACAAAGTGCCAGTCTCCAGACTTGCTTTATTTTTATTTCTAAGAATAAAGTGCATTGGAGCCTTGCTTTTAAAAAATAAAAAGTGAATGGTTGAAGCCTAGTGCTTTGTTTTGAAATGTGCAATCTGTGAAATAGATACTGGAATACAAAACTTGGAATTCAAAAGATGGTTTTGTATTTTGGAACTCAGACTCAGCCCTGCCTGGTAAGTAGGGGTTTTTGCAAGTTTGATTTTAGCCTCATCAGTTTTCCTTCTGGGTTTTGTGATGGGTCATGCCCATAAGAGTAGCAATTTTGTGAATGAGAAGCCCCCTCATGGAAGTGATTTTGTGGGAGTGCTCACGTGTCACTGCCATTATTCCAAATGAGCTCTCCAAAACAGTTGGAGACCTTTGAGGGAATTGGCTCACACCAACAGTTCATCTAAATGCAAAAGTCTTTCTTTTTGTCACTTAATTTAAAGGAATATTCTGGCTGAGTGGCATAGCTGGTTAATAAAACTGAAAAGATAGAAGAAATGAAAGTACTTATCCCTATGAAATGCATGATTTGTATGGTTTCTTTTCAGCACGGAAAGCCTCAGCTCGACCCAACATCTCCCAAACAGTGATGAATCTTGGTGCAGCTGCTGGCCAAACAGTGATAAACATGGGTGCAGCTGCTGGAAAGACAGTAATAACCATTGGTGCAGTTGCAGGAGACATAGGCAGCAAAGCAAATCCCCTGAAGCTTGTACAGGTGAGTGTGGTGAAAGAGGAGACATTCAGTGATTCTGCTATTCAGGACATACCTTCCTAGAACCATGTCACAGAAATGGCTTTTCCATAAATCATTTGGTGTACTTAATAAGAGGTGGGGATTTTCCTGAAGAGCAAAAACCAGAAGAGAAATGGAAGGAAGCAGAATTAATTGGAATGTAACTATCAAGGAGTGACAGTAGCACAGATCCCCATAAATTAAATTAAGGTTCTTTAGTAAGTAGGTCAATCACACACCTTTGCCCCACACACAAATGTGGGGAGGAGGGGTTCATCAGAAGTCTTTTGCTGTTGCTTTATCTAGCATTAATCATGGGGGAGGGGACAGGGCATGACAATTCATGTTACACATATGCATGTAGTGTCCCACCTGCCCATTTACTGAGGAACTGAGAATGTGATAAATTATCTGTACCAACTGTAGGGTTCTTTATTAGGCTTGATTGTCACCATGATTTTCAAAATATCAGTGGAAAAAGGTGATCTTTTAACAACAATATATGGCTTGTTGTATTAACAACTTTTAGCAACAATATATGGCTTAAAGTCAGGTGCCTTACTTGTATATAAGTGGAATTGAATGGAAACTGATTATCTGGATCCTTTTCAGTCCGGCTTCAGACCCGGGTACAGTACTGAATCTGCCTTGGTCGCCCTGTACGATGACCTGTGCAGGGAGAAGGACAGGGGGAGTACATCCCTGTTGGTTCTTCTGGGCCTCTCGGCGGCTTTCGATACCATCGACCTTGGTATCCTTCTGGATAGACTTGCGGGATTGGGGGTTGGAGGCACTGCTCTGCAGTGGTTCCACTCCTATCTCAACGGTCGATTCCAGAAGGTAGTGCTGGGGGACCATGTCTCTATGTCATGGCAGCTATGCCATGGAGTTCCACAGGGCTCCATTCTATCCCCTCTGCTATTTAACATCTATATGAAACCGCTGGGAGAGGTCATCAGGAGGTGTGGGCTGCGGAATCATCAATACGCTGATGATACCCAGCTCTACCTCTCGTTTTCCACTAATCCAGGTGAGGCAGTGGCTGTGCTGAACCAGTGCTTGGCCGAGGTAAGGGAATGGATGAGGGCAAATAAACTGAAACTCAACCCAGACAAGACGGAGGTCCTGTTGGTTGGCGGATCGGGTTTCGGAGAGGGTGGATTTGACCTGGTCCTGAATGGTGCAACACTCCCTCTTAGGGATAAGGTCCGCAGCCTAGGAGTACTCCTCGACTCAGAGCTTTCTTTGGAAGCTCAGGTGACAGCGGTGGCGAGGAATGCCTTCCTTCAGCTTCGGCTGATTAATCAGCTGCACCCCTACCTGGAGTACGACTGCCTGGAGACGGTGACACACGCGCTGGTGACTTCCCGCCTAGACTTCTGTAACGCGCTTTACATGTGGCTTCCCCTGAAGACAGTCCGAACACTTCAATTGGTGCAAAATAGAGCTGCCAGGTTGCTGACGGGGACGGGGCGTTATGCTCACATGACTCCAGTCCTCCGTCAGCTTCACTGGCTTCCCATTGAAGTCCGGGCCCAATTCAAGGTGTTGATTATGGCCTATAAAGCCCTAAACGTCTTGGGTCCTGGCTACCTGAACGAGCGCTTACGTCCGTATATGCCCGACCGCCCTTTGAGATCTGCGGGAGAGTCCCTTCTCCGGGAACCCTCCATGAAAGAAATTAGGAGAGTAAGTACTCGGAGGAGGGCTTTCTCTGCGGTGGCACCCAGCCTATGGAATTCACTCCCCAAAGAGGTCCGCCTGGCACCGTCGTTACTAGTTTTTCGGCACCAGGTAAAGACCTTTTTATTTAAACATCATTTTAATTGTTAAAACATATGATCTGGCCAGGGCAACTTCTTCTTCCTTCTCTTTCTCCTCCTATATTTTTATTTACTTAATTTATACTGATAATTTTAATCTTATATTTGTAAATCAATGTATTTTTTGTATTTTGTATTTAATGGTAATTTATTATGTGCTATTGTATTTCATTGTATTTTATCGTGTTGTAAGCCGCCCCGAGGTTTCGGCAAGGGGCAGCGTAGAAATGTTATAATAATAATAATTATTATTATTATATTTAAAATATGTGTAGGTTGCCTTTCAGGTACAAACCCTCTTTTGGCAGCAGGCTTTTGTTGGAAGCAATGTATTGGGTTAAGCCAGCCTTCCCCAAGCAGTGTTTTGGGCTAGAATCTCCACCATCCCTGACCGTGCTGGATGAGCTGTAGCCCAAAACATCTGGAGGGTGGCAGGCTGGGGAAGGCTGGGATGCACTGAGGCTTTGGTCTCGTCCCAGGGCACATGCCTTTGATGGGCTGACATTTTCAACCTTTACCCTTAGGCACCTCTGAAGAAACTTCCTCTTGATGCTTTAATACCAAAGGAGGAAGAATATGAGGAAGAAAAACCTGAGAAGGAAGAACTGGACTGGTGGTCTAAGTACTATGAATCATTAAAGGAATTAAATAACCAGGTAATTCATTGGCATTTCTGTAATGCTATACCATATTGTATTGTACTGCAGATGGAAGGAGAATGAACTATGTGTCCAAGCACATTTCTTTTTGTGATGGGGTTTGGGGGCTTGGGGCATATGGCATCCAATACAGGGCAGAAGCACTGGAGGAGGTGATCTTTGGCTCTCCTTCTCCTGCAACATTTTTCGCTAGATGGGCTTTTTTACCCAGTTAGTTGGAATGTCTCAGAACAGGGAGGGAAGGAGGCATCCTGGTCTCTCCAGTTTCGTCCACTGCCTGTCCACAAAAATACCCCCTTTCACTCCATTCTGAGATTGCTTTCCCAGTCTTGGAATCAGGTGACACACTCTGTCTGGGCCGGGTGGAGGTGGGGGCTCCCAGCTCTGAGGTTCTAGCGTTATTTCCAACCTTTGAACTAGGAAATCAATTAGCCTGTGATCCCACAGACACTATCTAGGGGGCCATAGGATTGCTCCTCTAGATTCCATGTTGTAACTGCTTACCTGGGAGTAAGCCCACTGAACTCAGTGTGGGTTAATTTTGAATAAACATGTATAGGATTTCAGTATGCTATAAGGAAAAAAAATGCTTTATCGTTATATTGTTTGAGCACCTAATGATGTAGGCACTGTCCAGAGCAGTACCCAGCTAGGCTTCAATCTAACATCAAAATAAAATCAAAATACAGAATAACTAGATACTGGAGGAAGGAAAAAATGCTGTGATTTTCCATCTACTTTTATTAGTGCTTTCTGTCTGCAGTTTGTTTATTTCTTAGCCTTTTTGCTAAAAAAAGGCATCCTATGCTGATAATAGAACTTTTGTTAAGATCATGGAATAGTAAAGAGTGATCAACATCGATCACATGGTGATAAATGGCCATTCTCTTTTACAGTCCATTAGTGATGAGGAAGAGGATGACCCAAATGATCCAGGTAAGTGCTTTTCAGATTATTTGGCATTCAAAAATTCATTTCAACTTTCCCCAACTTGATCCTTCCTGCTCCTGTCCATAGCAATGTTGTCAGCGAAGCCAAGCTGGATTTCTTTTGGATTTCACGGTACCGATAGGACTGGTTCACATATTATGCATTTAATTATGCTAATACGTATGGAAAATTCCAAGTGCCTGGAGTGTCCCTTGATTCTCACAGCTGACACAGATGCCTACAATGGGGACACTTCTTTTAAAGTGCCTTCGGACCTGTGCTCCTAGGAAAAAGAAAACTGCTGCCAGGGTAGGCATCAAGGAAGCAAAGCTTGGGCCCCAAGCCCCCTGGGCTTGTTCCACCTCTTCACCATTACAGCCTGCTTGTTCACCTGCCTGTTGCTCTGTCCCAGACTGTGGTGCTGGTTGAGAGCAGATTCCACAGCCTACACGCTCATCAGTTCTCTGCATGTTGAGGAAGCAAGCGATAGCAATTATGAGAGAAAGGCTGAAGAGCAATAGCAGCTGGTGACAGTAGTGGTGAGAAAGTGGATTCACTGATGGAGGGAGCGGGTTTGGGATTGAATGGAAGACTTTGCAATGAGGAGTTAGAATGAACTATTCAGAATATCCAGTGCAGTCCACTAAAGTAGAAGCCTTAGACTGGATAGCTTCTAGGCTTGCATTGCTGTGAGAAACCACATAGTCAACAGAAAAACAGGAACCAGTCTCTGTAAAGTTCTCACCACACTTACTGCAACTCTTCAGTGAGGATGGCCGCGGACTGCTGAGTTGTTTTCACCACCCTCGTTCCCCCACCCCAGTTGACAATTTTGAATGGTCTTTAGAAGGCAGAGAGTCCTCCATAGATTCCATAGCCTAGGCAGATAGAATTGGCTTTCTGCTTGCAACTGGGAGTGTACAGGTGTCCTGACAACTCAACACCTCTGGAGTGATATCCATGGCACAAAGAAACCTTTAAAGACATGTGAATAAGTCTTACTTTTCTTTCTTATCTGCATCCATATTCTATCAGATATAAAGCACTTAACATCTAATACAAGTGTATTTGCTGCTTTCCCGAGAACCTGGAATCTGAAGTAGGGTCACTTGGCTGAACCAGGTCACTGAAAGGTCCCTTTGAGGGTGTCCTGACCAAGCTCACTCAAAGGATGGAGTCAGCCCCCAACCACTGCTGTCCATTTACCTTCACTACAGCTTTAACGTTTTTGTTGTTTCTGCAAGTCATTGACACGGACTCTTTTCATCCTATTACATTTTTGCAACTGCTGCTTTTCTTTTGCTCCCAGTTGCAAGAAGAGTTGCAGGTGCCAGAGAGAACAAAGAAGAAAAACAAGCAATTGTTTTACTTGACTGGGAATTATTAAATGCCACTTTAGTCTTACAACTTTAAGCTGTAAGCGGAGGAGAATGCCCCTCTATCATCTCATTATCTTACTTAGATGGAGGGAACTTCACTGTTGCTTCTCTTGATGTGGAAGTGGAAGATGAAGTGGTGGTTGAAGCTGAGCCGGTTCAACCCAAAAGGAAACTAATAGCCACATTACAGGTAAACCTTACAAAGTGAAATCATGTCATAGGCTATACAAGGGTAAGTCATATTGCCATATTTCTGCATCCCCTCCATTCTGCAAAATGTTAGGGAAGGAACCGTGGAAAGAAATTCCTATTTGACTATGTAGTCAAAGAAAAGTTGGAGAATCCATGAAGGAAGGAGTGGATGTGGAAATCCTGTTCCGCCAGTGATATCCATTCCCTGGCTGCAAGAGGGAGCAGATTCTTACTGACAGTTTCCAACTCCTAACTATTCACTTGCAACAATGATAAAAGCACCCCTCCCCTTCAAGTTCAGGCTGAAGAACCTTTAGAAGAAACATCCAGGAGTGGCTTTTTCTATCACAGGACTGTGAGCTCTGTTCTGTTAATGAAAACAGATTCCAGGGCTGAGCATGTGTTCAGAGGCACCTTTATGCCTTAACGCTCCCACCCATGCCCAGCCACTCTTTAGCGTGTGGCTCCAGTTGGTGACCTTTGAGATTTTAGGGAAAAATGCTCCTGCTTTGTTGCATGTGGTTCACTGTATGTTTATCTCAGCATCATGTGTGTGTTAACATCATGCCTATCATTATGCATTAAATTTTGCACAATATATAACAGTGTGTTTGTATTCACCAACACAGCCAAAGAGCATCTCACTGTCTATTGAAGTACATTTCTACCTGCTTTTCTGTACTGGATTTGACACATGGGTTTTGATGTGGGTTCCACAGAACAGGAGAAGGAGCCGAATAACCATGGCAGGAAGCCACCATGGCAGTGGTTGAAATCACTTTGCAAGCAGGTGCCACTTTGACCCCAGGCCACTTGGAGACCTGTGCTGCTGCTACCACTGCAGTAGCCGCCTCTGTTACTCTTCGCCTCGGGGACTCTTTCCCTGCCGCAGGTTCCTCCGGAATGGCTTCTGCATTATCTTCTTTTGCACTCCCCATATGCCCCCAGTTGCCATGCAGGTGACAAGCAGCAGGTCTCCAGACTCCTCAGCCCTAAAGCCCCAGCCAATGCACTGCTAAAGGAAACAACGAGGCAACGAGGCAAACCTAAGGAGCCCTTGCTTGAGAGTGAGCAACTACTGCTGGGACAGAGAGATGCCTGGGAAGAGATCAGGAGCTGTCAGTGGCCTTGAAATGACCTTGGACTGGAATGAGCTTGAAATGTCCCAGGGATTTCATGGCATGACCTTGCCATGAAATCCTTGGGAAACATTAACTTTTCTCTTCTGCACTGCTTTATAAAGTGGTACCTTGGTTCACGAACGTCTTTGTTCACAAACAAATCGGGTCGCAAACAAAAATTTCATGAAAACTTTGACTTGGTTCACGAACTTTGCATTGGGTGGCAACCAAGATCACAGCCATCTCCCCCACCCGCACCCAAGTGGGGAGATGGCCATGATCGCAGTCGCGTTTGTGCAGGGAAGACGTGCATGTTCGCGGCTGTGCTGTGCCCATCTTTCCTGCAGGAGCGCGCCCGTGAACATGCACGTCTTCCCTGCACGAATGCGACTGTGATCATGGCCATCTCCCCACTCGGGGTGGTGGGGGGAGATGGCCGCGATCGTGCTGGTTGCAGAGTAAGGAGAGATGGTCTTTCCTGCAGGAGCATGCCCGTGCCAGGATTTCTTTGAGAAGCACCATCCCAACATAACTGTAATGAACAGGGTGTTGAATGATAACGTGGTCTCTCATTTCCGGAGGGTTATGCAGCACAGGAAAAAACAAGGACTATAGACAGATTTTTCACCAAAATTGACCCTGCAGCTGAGAGATGTCCTTATGGAGGGGGATTCTCTCTCAAAACAATAACCTCCCCTTCACCTAGGTTAGTGTTCTCCACTGTACCGTACAGTACTTTGTTACTTTGTTCTTTGTCCACTTTGTTTCAAATTTTTCTGATTAAAAAAATAGTTACAGAACGGATTAACCTTATTCACATTGAATCTTATGGGGAAATTTGACTTGGGTCACAACCAATTTGGGACACAACCAGAGTCATGGAACAGATTAAGTTTGTGAGCCAAGGTACCACTGTATTAGCAATGAGTAGGGCAAAAAAATCTCTAGATTTAATATGCCTCGGACACGACTTTGCAACTAACAACAACAAAAATTTCAGATCTACAATACAGAGCTGGAAAATGAGTTTGACAATTTTGAGGATTGGCTATATATTTTTCCGCTTCACCGGGGCAAAGCAAATGAGGATGAAGATGCAAATGATGAGGAAAATTTTGTGGGGAAATATAAGGTACTGACTATTTGAATCTTATTTATTGCTAGTACCACAATACATTAGCAACAACTGATTTTTCCTCTAAAGGATAAAAAACTGTCTTATATAATCTTGTGCATGTTTGCTATAAGGGAGTAAAATATAGTAATGGTACAATCATATGTATGTTTATTGCTTGCTGTCAAGTCATCTTTAAATTATGGTGACTCTGTGAATAAACACCCTCCTTCCTTGATAGCCCTGCTCAGCTCTTGTAAACTCAAGGCTGTGACTTCCTGTATGGACTCAAGCCATCTCATAGCTGGTCTTCCTCGTTGTTTTCTGCTCTTGATTTTCCCTTGCATGATTGTCTTCTCCACTGAGTCTTACCTTCTCATGATGTGCTCAAAGCATGACAGCCTCAGCTTCATCATGTCTGCATCCATGGCAAGTTGTTTGCTTCCAGGACATGACCTACATGTACCTCTTTCTGTCAGTCCAGGCTATTAGCACAACTCTCCCCCAGCACCATGTTCCAAATGTATTGATTTTCTTTCCTGTCCTACAACTCTCAGCAATTGCCAGCCAGCCATGCTAGCTGAGGAATATTGGGACTTTAAATTGTCTGTTTAAATGTGTGAAGGACTGTACCACATAAGTTAATATAACACTGAAACTCTGTTGTCTAAATGTTTACTGGAGAAAAGGGAAACTTAATGCTTTAATCAACCTGGCCTCTGCCTGTGTGAAGAAGATGTGGTTCAAGTATTTTAAACATCATGTAAAATGTGTAAAATCATTTTAATCATATTCCAGATGACAAAGCAACCTTTCTAATATAGATTTATGATTGTGAGAATAGAAACAGGGGAACAATTCCCAAACAAATAAGGAAACCAAGGTTCAATTTGGAAGTCAGGAAGTACTTCCTGACAGGACCCCTAGGGTATGGAATGGGCTTCCATGGGAGATGGTTGAAACCCCATCAGTAAGGGTGTTCAAGGATAGACTGGACATGCACATGGTAGACATGTCATGAGCGGAACTGGCTGGAGCAAGGGGTCAGACTAAATGGCCTCGGAGGCTCCTTCTGACTTGCTCTGTTTCTAAATATGGGAAAAGTAGAAACAGAAATCTTTCTGTTACAGTAACATTACATTGTTAACCATTTAAGTCCCATTACTGGATCAAAGACTACAATTCCAAACATCATTTTGGATATTATATTGATTTCAGAACAAAGCCCAGATGAGACAATGTTTCTCAGTACAGTCTTATGCATATTTCAGAGGTAAGCTGCACTGACTTCATTGGCATTTACCCCCAAGGAGGTAGATATAGGATTGTCCTTTTACTAAAACGGATAACATAGATTGCAGCATTCTAGTTTAATCCTTCTGTTGCAGGGTTCTTTTTATGTATACCGGGCTGAAGAGGCAGGTACAGAACACAAGATCTCCCAAGGCATTCCCAGAAACAGACCCATTAAGGTCCTTGTCCGGATCTATATTGTTAAAGTAAGTATGTTCAGTGACTTCACAAGACTTGATACCTTTGTTGAGTTGAGCAAATAAATTCATAGCCATTCCAGTAGATCTCAGATAACTGGGATTCTATTATCTCTGCTGGCAAACTAATTGTTCTAAAAAGGCCTATGACCTCCTGGAGATGCCCAGAGGGGGAGATTTGGCACCAGGATTCCAGGATATTGGCACCTCCTTTGAGCTATGCAAGGCTGATCTCCAAAGTATGAACTCTATCAATTCTGATTGAGAATTCTGTCTTTCTTTCAATTCAGGCTGCTGCATATTGATCTTCTAATAGTTGTGTTTGCATATGTTTGAGATATTATTACAATCCTTTGAACTCCCAGATTCTGCCTTCCTTCCAACAATTTGGGACTGCTTTTGTTGCAAATTATATGTGAGCAATTCTATTCTGAGATGCAAGTAGAATTCTCAAAGTTTGTATATTATGCAGTGTTGTCATTTATGCCAACACCTCATAAACATAGTATAGTAGTTTCCTGCTTTAGAATACTAGAGTCTCATTGATATTCCTGTTTTTCCTGTGGAGAAACATAAGACTGTCTTAACTCTTAGGATCTGCCAGTCCCATGTTCTTGGGAAAAATATTTGCCCTTTGGGAAAGACCGCTAGAGAGTGTTAGGACATTTTACTTGCCCAGTACTTTAGCTTGTCTGCTAGCACTTTCTGAAGCTATAGTTGGCTCTGCTCCTGCTTGTGTCTGCCTGGAAGGAATTAATATGTTGATGGAGGGGAAAGCAGCTAATGTGTAGATGACCCTACATCATGGAGTTCTTTGGCTCCCTTCTAGTTCTGTGATTTTATAATCGTTGATGTTTTGATCATGCAACACCTAGATGGAAGTGTCATGTCAGTTATTCTGCTGCAGTAGTAGCCGTTCATGATGGCGTTTCCTGACTAAACTATGGAATGCTTTTCGCTGCAGCTGCTATGTGGCTTTGGACCCTGTACAGTCTCGTGTGTTATGTATTTTAGGCAACTAACCTGACTCCAGCAGACCCCAATGGCAAGGCCGATCCCTACCTTGTGGTTAAAATTGGACAGCAACAAAAAGACACCAAGGAACGATATATCCCAAAGCAGCTCAATCCAGTTTTTGGAGAGTAAGGGTTTTTAACTTGTATCTTGTGGGTGTATTTTGCATTAGAGTGACATCTTCTCCACGTTGCTTCTTGCAGGCTTTGTCTTATTGCAAGGCAGGGCTACCTATTTCAGCAGGTGTGCTCCTCCCATTGTAGATATAAACTGGAGAAACTTGGATTCCCAGTACCACCTATGTATGTATATATGGACTCTCCCAGATCAGCAATGGAACAAAGAAGAGTTAAGGGCCTGTTACTGAGTGTCCTTCTTATATAGACGTATACCTGAATGTGCAGCTTCAGACTTGCAACTTTGACACTTGGGGGGATCTTCTAAACTTTGAGTATTAAGTGTTCCAAAGGTTTGCACTTTGTGGAAAGGTGATTTAGGACACCATTAAAATAGGAACCTCTTTTATACCAAATTTGGCTAGCTGTTCAGCTAGGTAGCACAATCCTGTGCACAATGACGAGCATAGGTTCCCCAGGTTGTCAGGAGGGATTTTTCTTGCCTCTGATGCAGATGCCAGGCATTGAGCCTGGCATCTTTTGCATGGAAAGCAGGTGCTCTGTAGCTGAGATACTATAATCTTGTATCAGTATTTCTCTCCCCATGTCTTCCAGTAGCCTCCAGGCAGGGGGTGGTGATTGCAGGGAAAGGATTTGAAGATGGTGTCCACATCCCTGCAGGCTAGATGGGCAACCTCTGCAAATCAGAGGTTCTCCACCCATGGACTATGGTAATGGGAATTGATAATTTTGCATTTCATCCAAGCAAACTCATGGTTCTGAAGGGGTTTATGACCTCTGCATCCTCATGGTAAAATTATTGTTGCCTATGGACTGCTTCTGAAAGCATTGTACTACCCTTTAGTAATCCAATGACTCTCTTTCACACACACTCTTGTTCTCTTTCATTCAGAGTGCTGGAACTGAGCATATCCTTTCCTGTAGAATCAGAAGTCACTATATCAATATTCGACCATGATTTGGTTGGCTCTGATGACTTAATTGGGGAGACGAAGATTGATTTGGAGAATCGATTCTACAGCAACCATAGAGCCAACTGTGGAGTGGCCTCACAATATGACACGTATGTACTAGAGGGAGTGAGATGGTTAGCTAATGGTGAATCCCTCTCATCATTTTGATAGTATTTTTGTATTGTTATTTTTCAGTTCTGCCCTTACAGTTGCCTGAAAATATCCTGTAGTCTTCCAGGGGAGTCTTTTATTTAACCTCCCACAGCAGGAATAATACTTGCTACTCTACAGGAATGCCAAGATTAAGATGACATAAACTAGGTCATTGTCCAAGTCTGCTCCAATTACAAGTTAATGTCTGAATTTGTTTTTCCCTTACAGAGAAGGCTACAACATGTGGCGAGATGCTTTCAAACCCTCACATATTTTGGAGAGTTTGTGCAAGAAGAATGCACTCCCTTCAGCTGAGTACAGGAAGGAAGAAGTCAAAGTAAACAACAAGATTTTTAAGATCCCTCCCGAAGCTTTTCCTGAAGGTATTATTGGAGCTTGTGCATCTCTTTCCATCTGATTCTGGCAGTCATTTAATCAGGGAATTGTAATTTATGAGAAAATGTTCTTATCTGAACTAGGCTTGGTTAATATTAGTTTCTGTTAAGTTTACAATTCTGTGGTTTGATTTCCTGGGTATTCTGCTGGATCAGGCAAATCTTAATATAAATACAATTTCATTCCTTTAAAAATGTTTAAAATAGTTCTAGATTTTCCTTTGCACTCTGTTTAGTCTCATGCAGTAAAGACTTCAATAACTAGGGATATTAAAACAGAGTAATTATTTCCAGATTAATTGAGTTTCTGTAGATTTCATTTCAGAGTTTCTTTCTGCATCCTGCAACCTCCAATTATCAGCCAGGCACAACACAGAGCCCCTTCATGGAGAAATATACTCAGAAAGAAAACATATGTGCATTTCCATTCTATTTCTTCTATAATAATTCTGAAGAGACATTTTATTGGAGTGCCTTAAAACATTAAATTTTTAGCTATTTGAACTTGACATTCCTAATGATAGGTACAATTGTATGCCTGACTTCTCATTCTTAATGTTCAGTCCAACAGTAACATAGTATTCTGATTTACTTGACTAGCAAATGATCAAAGGTTGAGTTATAAAGAGGATGAAAAAACCTGACTAATTTTCTTGTTGGTTTCAGCTCTTCTGAATTTGACCTCCTCCTTTCCATATTTTTGCATGCATTGATAATGTGGCTATCAAAGGGCTGTACTCTGATTGCTACATCCCAGCATGCCAAATCCTATCCTTGAAATGTAGACCCCTCCTCCTGCCATATTATAATCTGATTTTGAAAATCTCCCCAGAATCATATTAACAAAGTGCGTATAGTCAAGGCTAGGGTTTTCCCAGTTAGAATGTATGGCTATGAAAGTTGGACCATAAGGAAGGCTGAGCGCCAAAGGATTGAGGCCTTTGAATTGTGGTGCTGGAGGAGACTCCTGCGAGTTCCTTGGACAGCAAGGCGATCAAACCGGTCAGTCCTAGAGGAGATCAACCCTGACTGCTCTTTAGAAGGCCAGATACTGAAGATGAAACTCAAATACTTTGGCCACCTAATGAGAAGAAAGGACTCACTGGAGAAGAGCCTAATGCTGGAAACAATTGATAGCAGAAGAAGAAGGGGACGGCAGAGAATGAGGTGGCTAGATGGAGTCACTGAAGCAGTTGGTGTGAGCTTAAGTGGACTCCGGGGGATGATGGAGGACAGGAAGGCCTGGAGGAATGTTATCCATGGGGTCATGATGGGTTGGATGTGACTTCACGACTAATAACAACAACAATAGGAGAAATACAAACCCAAATCAACTTTAGTTGATATTACTTGCTGTGCACATCTTTGGATCCCAACCCTAGATTCCCAGTCTCCCTTTTTGAGATCTGCAGGATGTTTTCAATAAGAATATGAAAACTTTCTCTAGCCTACTTTGTGCAAATTTTTAGAGGAGAGAGCTTAGTCAAAACTGCAAATTGGCTGGCGCCCATTGTTCCTCTGTGAATCTTTGTTGGTTAATGATCTTCATAGGTTAATGATGATTTATCTGGCCCACTGTCTTATGGGCTTCTGACTAATTGTATTACATTGCGTTACATTCTAGAAGCCTTTGTAAAAGACAAGAAAGAAAATGATGATGAAACTTGGTCTGCTTATGATGAGCACAAGGCTTTGTATGTTCTTCAACACTGGGATGAAATGCCTGAATATGGATACAAATTAGTACCAGAACATGTGGAGGTTCGATCCCTTTACAATCCAGATAACCCGGGTCTCTTACAGGTGAGGCTAGAATGTTGATTTACTCATTGTACAGCATAGTTTTATTTGAAAGCTAGTTGATAGACAGTAGCAGTGGGGAAACTGCAACCCTTCAGATGTTGTTGGACTCAAATTCCCATCAGCCCCAGCCAGCATCACCAATGGCCATTTGGAAGTGGGATGCATGTGCATAACAGTATGACCAATGATAGGATGGTGTCTAAATGGTGATGGCTCTGTGTGGCAATTGATCTCACGTTCCTATGTTACTTTCTCATGATGAATTCAGCCCCAGCACTATGTTAGTAACTTGATTCACATGATCAAAACTGCCTGGCTATGGCTTGTCATGTTATGCAATCCAAAGGAATATGGTTTATGCGAGGGTTAATCAACTCTCCAGTAACACAGCAACAGACTATGGGTTTAACTGGTGGTGGACACAGACTTCATGGATGCTGTCCCTTTACTGAGAGTACTCACAAAAGCTTATGCCATAATCAACGTGTTCGTATTTAGGGTGCTACAAAACTCTTCACTGCTTTTTCAAACAAGCTTGTTTCTTCCCCTTTTCTCAGGGATCTCTCCACATGTGGATTGACATGTTTCCAAACGATGTCCCTCCACCACCTCCTGTTAACATCAAACCACGACTTCCAATCAGGTAAGGTCTGTGTGAAATGGAAGCCAGTTTCCAAACATCTCTATAGGTTTTTTCATTAATGTTGTATGCATTGGCTGCAGCTTTTTAATGGAAAAGCATCTGAAACATGTGCCTGCCTTGCTTTATCTCCTCTAATAATATATAGGAATTGTGCTATATGCACCTACCACAAAGCAAACTGTATCGCCTTAAAGGGGAGCAAATTTTCTCACAACCACTTAATGAAGAAAAACATAAATGAAGCAGTTTTCATTGATCATTGTTGGCTCATTTCCACAAAGTTGGCATTTGCTCTTACTAGTAAGAATTAAAATATATAAATGTGAAGCAAGAGGATTATGCAGTTGTGTAATGATACATGATGAATGGGGAGGACAGAAGGATGACAAGAAGCAGATCTAAGTAAGCCATTGGCATGTGAATAAAGTATATTAGTCTTCTCCGACTTGGCACTCTCCAGATGTGTTTCACTGTTCATGCTGGCTGGGGATTGATGGGTGTTGTAGCCCAGTATGTAGAGAAAGCACTGGATCAGGGAAGACCACAATATGCAATTCCAGTAAGGAAGCAGTGAGAAGTATAGTCCACATGTCATTTAAGCATCAGACTGGATGTGGTGAATCTGCAAATATAGGTGCAAGTTTGCCATGCAGACTTGCCCCAGCTTCGCCTGGGAGATCACATCTAAATTTGGATGGGCTTAAAAAAACTCAAGTGAGGAAGTCTTTTTTAATAAAGAGGTTAGATTTCCATTCGTACCTTTGATCCATTTGACATTCTTGTGGTCTGGTTCAGATGCTGGGGTTACTGGAGGTCGCACTTTGTTCTTGTATTCACCAGGACTTACAAAGAAAGACATTATCTTTTAACCAGCTCTTCTTTTCCATTTCTTTCTAGTTATGAGCTACGTGTTATTATCTGGAATACTGATGATGTGGTCCTTGATGATGTCAACCCAATAACAGGAGAAATTTCCAGTGACATCTATGTAAAAAGGTGCCTTAGCTGAGGCGGGCTAAAACAGCCAGCAAGAGAAACACTTTCAAGTCCATCTTTATAAGGGTTTTCTGCTTAGGCTAAAGCAACCTCCTTCAGCCTCCTGCCCTTCAGATATATTGAACTGCAGCCCTCATACTCTCCAGCCAGCATGAAGCTGGGTTGATGACAGCTGTGATCAAGCACATGTGGGCAGCACCAGGTTGGGAAAGGCTGACATGGAGGTCCATCTAGTCTGCTTCCAACACACTGATCAGCAAGATAACTGGGAAGCAGTCTTTCTCAGTTGTTTGGTTCCTAACATTCAATATTTATTTGATGAATTATCCAGTCCTCTCTGCAAGCCTTCACACTGATCTCAGCTGCTTGGATCCAAGTTGTTAAAGGGGGTGATAGCCATTGATTGTGGCCTTAGAAAATGCAGCATCAGATACTCATGCCAGTATAAGAAGACTGGTGCTCAGCAAAGCAGAAAATCAGAGATCCTGCTGCTTTTGTAAAGATTGTCTTTCAGAGCATTGCAGTAAATGGAAGGTTTACACTGTTATCATTTCCTTTGTTTAGTAAGAGCTCAGGTGATGAGGCCTTAGCCCAGAATTTCTTCTTTGCCCTGCTGTTTGGGGGCTGATCAGTGCGGCAGGAGCTGACTATGGAACAAAAACTGACTTGTTTGTGAGTTTTGTACCAATATAGGGTGCTTCTTCCAATACAGGTTTGCAATGGAAATACATGGCCTGTATAAGAAGATGTGGGTGTTTTGCAATATGAGAGAGGATGCACAAGTTTCCTCTTTGGGGTGCGGTTGGTATATGGACTGAGAAACACTATGCAAGTGAGGGTCTGTGCTCTGTGTCTCCCATCTTATTTAGCCACATATTCAAACATTTTGAATACTAAAATATTGGTAGATGCTAATGAAGGTTCTTCTGCAGTTGGATCAAAGGGCTGGAGAAAGACAAGCAAGAAACAGATGTTCATTTTAACTCTTTGACTGGGGAAGGCAACTTCAACTGGAGATTTGTGTTCCGCTTTGACTACCTCCCAACAGAGAAAGAAATAACATACAAAAAGAAGGACTCCATCTTTTCCCTGGAGGAATCAGAATTCCGGGAGCCAGCAGTCCTTGTCCTTCAAGTCTGGGACTATGACAGGATTTCAGCAAATGATTTTCTAGGTATCTTTTTTTCCCTTTGCTTTTACAGAATGTTGATGTTCGTTGTCGCCTTACGCTTCTCAAAAATGCTTTTAAGACTTGAGGGCCCCTTGTGGGCAAAAAGGTGTGTTACACATAATGCGACCTGTAGGCAGGAAAGTAAAGCTGGCTCTAGATCTTCTAAACAAAGCTAAGCTACACCCCCCATACGCCTTCTTCTCTTCCTCTCATTTGAAATGTATCGTATTTTTCCATCTATAAGATGCCCCCATGTATAGGACGCCCCCCACTTTTCCTACCCATCTCCAGTGAGTAAGTTACCGCCTCGCCACCCCCCACCGCCCCTCCGCGCACACCAATCTACTCCCCCAGAATGCCCATAGCCCCCCTTCCGTGTATAAGACGCATGCCCATTTTTAAGTAAATGTTTTTAAGAAAAAGTAGCATCTTATATACGGAAAAATATGGTATTTGAGAAGCTTTCAGCACCAACATCGTGTTTCCTAAGTCTGCTAGAGCTACACAAGGCATTTAACCTGCTGTTTTACTGAAACTTTGGTTTTTTTTGCTGAAGAAAGTATTTCCTTTCATGCAGGGGGTCTTGTTTCCCCTGTGGAGGTTTTCTTGTCTTCCTATGTGCTCCATTGTACAACAGAAGGTAGTGCTGTGTTGTAGAGCAGAATTGCAAAAGTCTGAATTAAAAGAACAGGGTAATAAAGAAAATTATACAAATTCATTGGAACAACCACCTGTGTGAAAGGAGACCTTTCATGGAGCACCATCTAGTGGCTGCAAAATATTTTCCTGGTTCTGAATTTCACTCTGATGTTGTTGCATCTGTTGTGGTTGCACTGTGAGCTTTTCTGCATGAGGAATTTATGTGGGCCCAAGTCCTTACATAGTTCTTTATGGGTTTCTTAGAAAAGTTTCTGATTTGATTCTGTTTTTAAAAAGCATTTTCCTGAATAGGGTAAGGGGGTTGGAGTACAATAAAGGAAAATATATTATTATTTCTCAAAGTGGGAAAAATAGTGTTTTCTTACTTATGTAGTTGTTATTCTGCTGTGGCACAGCCCGACCTAGAGATTATTTTATGGAAAAGCAGTAGTGAAAAAGCTACGTGGTGCTTGATCTCAATTCTGTGAAAAATCTACAGTGGATACAGTAGATTACCAGCCTCATGTAGAAAAGATCTCATTCAGAACAGTCTGTTCAGGTTTATTTTGAGATCATCAAACCAGATGATCTGAGCTGCACTCCTTTGGTGTCATCTTTAATGCATAGCTTATTTCTCCTTTCTATGGCTCAGTTTTGCATCATGTAATATGAGGGTCTACAACAGCATTCTCCAACATGGTTCTAGATGTGCTGGTTGGGAGATTCTGGGAGCTGTAGTCCAACACATCTGCAGGACACTTTTTTCATAGAAGGATCAGTTCTGGCCCCAGGCTTTGGAGAACCCTTGGGCAAGACACCCTTAATGCCTCCCCTCTCTCAGCGAGTCTGCTTCTCACCACCGTACTCTCCAACTCATCCTCTTTCTCATCATTGTTACTGCTTAGTTGCATGACATGCATGTGCAGCTGCTCTGTCCTTGCCTTCTCTTAATGGATTAATTGTCTGTGTGTGGGAGGGTGAAGGGAAGAGTCTGAATAAGCAGTAGGAAGGCATGGGAGAGTTACAAATACGGCAAAGTGACAGCACAATAATGCCCTTGTCTGGAAGCATCCTTTGAATACAGGCGCTCTTGCGCTTCTCTAACGTACAGCTTCGTAGCAGCTCTTTTACAAGGAAAAAGGAAGAAGATGCTGCTAAACTGGTCAATTGTTCCTGGGCTATGCCTTGAATCTGCTTTCTGACTCCTTGTTTCCTTTGCCTCACTCTTCTCTGACTTCTCCCAAATACCGTCCAGTCCTGATTGCACATTCCCTGACAGTTGGCCTTTGGCCTCCCCCTGATCCATGCCAACACAATGCCTATGTCTCAAGTTGCCACCTGACGCTGACTAATTCATGCCTCTTGGTTCACAAAGAGTTTTTCCTCCAAGTCAGACTGATAATGACCTCAGACTTGTCATGCCTTCTGCTTGTGTGCATGGTTTGTGTGCATTCAATGAATTATCTCAAACCAACCCTGTAAGCATTTTTCTGCAGGACATATCCTAACTAGTGCAGTCTCATCTGCTGGGTTGAGGCTCTTGCCTTTAACAGGGAGCAAATGAACTAGTTGACTGAATGGTTTGGTCTGATGCTGAGTCTTGTAACCATGCTGGATCCTAAGCTTGGCTTCATACCCTAATAGGGGGCTGATGATGCTCAGGTCCATGGACCAAATCTGACTCTTTTGGATCCCAATCCAGCCTTCTTGGGTTGCCCAGGTAATCACACACCCTTCCTCTGATCCTACCTGCTTTCCTCTAACCACCAATCATTAAATGACCTTTTACTTTTGCCTGTGTTTTCCTTGTTGTAATATATAGAAATATCTCTCCTTAAGATTAGTTACTGGCAGTAAAAGCTTTCAGTGAAAATATACTGGCATTGTGGCTCCACCTCTTTTGGCTTTGGCCATTCCCACTACTGGAATACAACCCCTGGGAGATCATCTGTAGTTTCATTAGGCCTTGGGCTGAAATATGCCAAACACTACTGTGCTAATCGCAGCAAACAAATTTCCTGTAATCCCCTATGAATTAAAAGGCCAAGTTTCAGCCATTTTGGCAATTGCCTAATATCTTTTATAAATGGCTAGTGTCTAATGTTCTCCATTCTTTGCTCTGTTTCAAGGGGCCATTGAGTTAAAGCTAAATGACATGGTGAGAGCTGCTAAGAGTTCAGAGCAGTGCACCATCAGGATGGCCAAAGAGAAGGCCATGCCTCGCTTTTCCATCTTCCGAAACAAGCGGATGAAGGGCTGGTGGCCCTTCATCAAACTGAAAGGTCAGGAAGACATTGAAAGAGAAGAAAGAGAGGCTAAACAGAAGAAAAAGAAGAAGAAGAAGAAGTGGGGGACCTCAATAAAGCCAGAAGATGTTGAGTTTTCAGATCCTAGTGGAAACATCTTCATCCTAACAGTAAGAAAATATGCTGATATTTCCCTGGCAGGGAAGAGTCACGTGAAAGACTCAGGGGCACAACCACAAAGAAAGTCCTTTTTCTGAAGGACTTCCTTCCTAAATAGTTGCCTGAGGGAATTCTTTCTCCTTTACTTGTGGCCTCCTAGAATTTAAAAAGAGTCATGCCAGACCAGAACAAGGGCCCAGATTCTGCTCACAGAGTATCCAACCAGTTGTCCACAGGATCCCACAAGCAGGATATGAGTATACCAGCACCCTCCAGCCCAGGTTCTCCAGTAACAGGTGTATATAGGTGCACTGCCTTTCATACAAGTCCTACTAGCCTTTAGGACTAGTGCACTGCCTTTCATACTGGAGGGAGCATACAAGTCCTACTAGCCTTTAGGACTAGTAGCCATTGATAGACTTCTAGTACCAGGGAAGTTGGAAGCATTCAAGAAGCAGTTGGACGGTCATCCTTCAGGAATATTTTAACACTGAGCAGGGAGTTGGACTTGATGATTTTATAGGTTTCTTCTAACTCTACTATTGTATGTTTCTATAAATTGCTAACCACATAAGCTGGATTTCCCAGAAAAAGGCTGCATGGGAGAAGGATTTGGCCTGTCTGTGATCAGTTTTTTCTCATAGGTCAAACAGAAGTTTTCTTCAGACAACAAATCGTTGCAATATGTCAGGCACTTACCTATGTTGTATTTCTCTTCAGGGAAAAGTAGAAGCTGAATTCCAGCTACTAACCTTAGAGGAAGCTGAGAAGGCTCCGGTTGGTCTAGGGCGGAAAGAGCCAGAACCACTTGAGAAACCCAAGTAAGTATCTATAGATTTGAAAATGGTCTGGCTATGCTCCTGACTAGCTCTGCTTTGCCACCTGCATTATACCAGCAAAAAGGAGTGGTTCCCCGGAATCATAGCATTTGGGTCCATGAGGAAACAGTTCACCAGAGGATTGGGGTAAATTTACGGTGTGTGACCCACTTGAACATAGCGGTCATAATGCTTTGCTTTGTGCTATGCTCAATTGTTTGGGGTATCACCTTGCATCAAGATAACTGGTCCATGCTTCAGAAGATGCAAGGAAGAGGCACCCTACTGAGGGTGAAAATCAATGTTATCACAGTGCTACTGTTAATTGCCCACTTTTTGACCATAAATGTTAAATTCACAGTAATGCTTTGAATAAAGTGGAATGCATTTATTCAGTTAGAACATGCTCTTTTAATTAGCAACATGATTCGGTACAAAGGATCCGGGATTCAGGTGCAAGTGGAGTATGTCAGTTTTGATCAACTGATAGAGAACTAAGATATAAATGGCTACAAGTCACGGTGACAACATGCTACCTTCAGTGGGGGTACGCAAACCCTTTCAGTCCAAGCACCAGACTCCAGTTTGGAGAAGATCTTTGTGGCTGAGTTCCAAGAGACAGACAGCACTGAAGGCAAAAGTGGTGGGGTCAAAATACCAGAAACTGCTAGGATAGTTTAGCTCAAAGCCCTTACTGCCAGTGATTAAGCCTTAAGAAAGACATTTCCATCTTTTAGAATGGGAGAAAAATGTGCAAAAGCTGGGAAACCTCCAATGGGAGTACACTTGTGTATTTCCCACAGGCTTCTGGCTTACTACTGCAGGAAGCAGGAAGCTGGACTCAATAGCTTTTGGTCTAATTCAGCAGGGCTGCCCATATCTTTTAAAAATACAGTTGTTCAAGAGTGTTCATTGATTGTGAGATTAAGCTTTGGCTACTTTTAGTTTCTGAGTGGTAAACAACACACAACTTTGCTGTAATGCTCTTGTTCAAACTCACACTGAGTTTTTGTCCGTCTTTCTTTTCTAGCCGCCCAAAAACATCCTTCAATTGGTTTGTGAACCCAATGAAAACGTTCATCTTTTTCATTTGGAAAAGGTATAAGAAGTACATCATTGCATTAGTGATTATTGCAGTTGTGACCATATTCTTGGTTCTCCTTCTCTACACTATGCCTGGATACATCAGTCAGAAGATAATAAACGGCTAAGCACACTCTCTCCCCGCATCCCCACAACTCCTCTCCAAACTGCAACAAAGAAAGTGACTTCTGTAGCAAAGATATTGAGAGACCTGCACAGGTAGCTAATTGTGCTTGGAGGATTTTGGAAATGCATCTGTCAGTGAAAATGGTAGCACTGGTTGGACTGCTGGCTCATATCCTCAGTGTGATGATAGTAGTCTCTGAAGGAACTCTGGAACTCTTTGACAACTGCCTTGCCTGTTAATGCACACCTATGGAGCTGGCTCCATAGCTCTTCTTGGTAAAAAGTATCTCAAGCACCAACGAGAGGAAGCCACCACTGTGCAGAAGCACTGAAACCCACCCACCTGGAAGGGGATTCACAGTTTTATGCCATTGCTATCTACATTCCCAATTCATCAGTTTGGTAGACAAAGGAAAATGTGAAAATGGACCTTGCACTGCCAAAAACATTACACAGGATCAAATCTTAATATAACCCAGTGAGATGGTGATGAACTAGTTGTTTAGACTGAAACTTAGACTGAAAAACAACATACATCAATCATTCAATGATCATTATGCTGTTTTTCCAGCAGTCATTCAGGCAGGGCAATTTTAGCCATGTAAAAGAACAAGAAACTTTAGATGGGGAGTTAAAAATGGGAAAGAATGGAGAGCTCCATAACTACTTGTATTCATCCTATCATACTCACAATACTGATTAAAAGTAGGAGCATGACATCTGTCTAGCTCATGTCTGCCCAACTGCTGATCCACCAAGCCAAACTTACTCTGTTGGCTATCTTCGTTGCCCACTAAGGTCCTGCCTCCACTGGAAAAATAGTGAAGCACCTGGCAAGCCACAAGGAAGACCTGGCTAAGTGGTGTTTGACTTAACAAAGCATTAGTTCCAAAGGCCTGAGCAGCTGGTACAGATAATAAACCTGTGTGACCTCAGCCACATTTTCTCATTAGTGTAGAGGTGAGTAGCTTGAGGCCTGCAGGTCACATTAACCCCCCTGACCTATTTTGCAGCCTCTGCCACCCCCATCATGACATGCCTACCACCCCACATGCTTTGCATGCCTAAAGTCAAATGTACCCTTTTGGCCACAGTTGGAAAATTGGTGGCAGGTATGTGGAGGGGTAGAATTCTCAAGAGATTCTGGAGGGCTAACTGGCCCTCAGATCCCCCAAGCTGCCCACTCCTGCTCTAGTGCAATATCCATGCAACTGGCTAAGGGTATGAGAAGAAATATACTGTTTAGTTTGGGCATGTACTACTGTTCATTCCACTTGGTAGAGTGGGGTCCAGATCATTAGAAGAACAATCCCAGGTTCACCCAGCCAATATTTATTAAAAATGGTCACAGAGTGGGGGAATTGAGGATAGGCTTATGTTATTCCTCAGCTTCACCAATACTGCCCAATACTGCCTGCACTCTTTCTGTAAGCTAGTACATGAAACAACAGATTAGCACTACCACGTGAAAGAGTTGCACTTCCCAGTATCCAGATACTACTGAGGAAATGTGACAACTCAGCAACAGAAAAACCTGACTTCTCTGGTGTGTCCTCAGTAAAGTTGTGACAATTTCCCTCCAACTGTCCTCCACCCCTCCAAGGCTCCACTAACTGAAATGCTGCCTGTTGCTTTTCACATTGTGAAATTGTGATTTTTGTTGTTTCTGTACAGTCAAATCTGGATTTGTTTTAGTGAATCGTAACTTGGCCTTTCATGCACTTTTTAATAAATGACACTGACACTTTACGAATTAGCAGTTGCAGGTATTGCTGTTCCTACAGATGTATTTCCTGATACAGCCAGAGTGACTGGCATGTAGAAGCAGGTTTCCACTGGCAAGCCTGCCCTGCTCTGTCACAGCAGGCTGGTGTGTGCACAGCATTCCTCTGCCCCCAATAGTGTGCAGTATCTCTTTTTTTTAATAAAGATTTTTTATTAAGATTTCTAAACTACTACCAAAAACATCATTCATCAAATACATCGGACATACTGGGTCAGCCCCCTACTACATATTTTTTAACATTCTATAGTCATAATCAAATCCTTTTATAACAACTTAAAGACATCTTTAAATCTAAGCCAAGTCTCATTTCTCCAGCCAGTAATAAAAAAGTTCCCAAGTTTGATAGAAGTCAGTATCTTCTTTCTCCTTCAGTGATAAAGTCAATCTATCCATTTCTGCACAGTCCAGAATCTTTCTTAGGATCAGTTCATCGGTGGGTAATTCCTCACTTTTCCAATGTTGAGCAAATGCAATCCTCGCCGCAGTGATTACATGTAACATCAAATACATTTGTTTGTTAATATCTTCCGGTATAATGCCTAATAGGAAAACTTCAGGTTTAAAAGCTAAAGGTTTTTGTAGCATTTCCTCAAGCCATTTATGTATTTTAATCCAGTACTTTTTCACATTGTCACAAGTCCACCACATATGATAAAAGGTGCAGTGTGCAGTATCTCACTATGCAACACTTCTGAGGACAGAGCGACTTGTTGAGGAAATATGCGATTCCTAATCCTCTGGCCATTTCCAACTCTACTATTCTATGATTCTAAGGGTATAATCCTATGCAGAAATGAATTCTGCAATTCTCAGCATTCCTCAGCCAGAATAGATGGCTAGGTGATACTGGAAGTTGCAGGATTTGTTTTTGTCTCAACATGTGCAATATGAAGCCAATAACGCGTTAAATAAAATGAGATAACCCGAGCAAATAGGAACACAGAATACCTAAAGGAAACATTTAGATGCAACTACAAACAGAATCAAGAAATTGTATCTTGGAACAACAACAACAACAAAGTTCTCATGGGGTGAGCAGTAAAAAACCTAGGAAGTCTGGAGCTGAGTCAAAATATACCTTGGATCCTCAAAAATCAAAAACTCAAAAGCGTTTGGACAACTCTGTGCATTAGTTGTGATTAGCTTGAAAGACTAATGAAGTTTTCAGGAGAGGGTTAAAAACATTTCCAATCAATGACCAAAGTTAAAATCAAAGTAAAAAGACTTACAGCTCATCTAGAAAGGCTCTTTTCATTCCATAAAATGATTGTGACAGCACTTCTTTATTTTTGCTTTACAAATTCAACTGAACATGACTTAGTTGGTACACTTCCAGCAAATGTGAAAATGTCAGTGTGGTTTCCTGGGTTTTTGGGTACTGTGGCAGCTGCTATTAAGAAATATGTTGATGTGTTTGGAAATTTGTTTTCCTATTGTTGCCTCATAATCTTTCCTTTTTTTCTTTTTGCACATGTGGCTCAAATGCGAGATGCATTCATGTGCACAACACACATGAGTTCATTCTCTGCATGTGGCTGATTGAGGATTCTGAGACCAGAGGCACAGTTGGGTAACTTTATAGGCAGCACAATCGGGTCTTATGATGCACTGAGGATTTAGTTGCCAGGTGTATTACCTCAATTGTGAAGACCACACCTAACATTTCTCTTTGCACCTTGCATTACTCCTTGCATTATATACACATACAGGTGTATATACATTAAAAAGTGTTCATCAGTCCTGAAATTAAAAAAAAGAACTCTGAGCTATCAGTTTTGCATTTTAAATCACTTAAATTAAAGCTGTTATTTCAGATCCATCCAAGTGCACACCTCTGTACTTGCACAAATCTGAATTGAAAAGCAAACAAGAACCTTATTTTATTGATTTTTCAATTCAGATCTGTGCAAACCCACATATGAATGTATATATGGTTTTTAAATAAGAAGTGTTGGCAATCTTTGCAGCAGGTAACAACCCTGAGAGCTGGCTGTGATTGCTCCTTTCTCCTGAGAAGGAAGCACTTGGGCATTTTCCTGAACAGCTGCAGTCCTGCTGAAAGATGCAAAGCATGCACTATTCCAAGTCAAGGACTGTCAAGGTTAAAAAGAAAAGTATGAGTGTCTCGCCATGGGGAGGATGTAATTTATGCCAGCCCTTTTTACAAGCAAGGATCTCTCATGCCTTTGCTTCCCTGACAGCTTGTCTTTGGAAAGCTGCTAGGGGAAAGCAAAGCAAAAAAGTTCCTGCTTGGAACTTCACTGGGTCAATGCTCAGGGATTGTATTTGCTGCACTTTGAGAGCCGGTATGCCCCCCACCCTCACCCAACAATGTCCTGGAAAGGCTTCCTACCTCAGCAGTTGTGCAAGCCCAAGTAGAAAAAGGTTAAAACCCAAGGAAAAAAATTGTGCACATCTAGTGCATGCATTTATTGTTTAAAAAAAAAAACCATTGGTGCGTTTGAATTCAGGTGGTTTCTGTGCTTACCTGGGAGGCTGGACTGCCTGATGTTTGGTCTGGGAGCTCTGGAGAGGGACCACCTCCAGTGTTTCATGTGTGCTCTTCAAAAGGTTCCCCATGGCAGCCAACAACCACAAGGTAAAGAGAAAAAAGGTGCAGTGAGCCAAAAAAATTGCTCACAAGTGGGAGACAAGTTGCTCTGATATCTCCTGGGATATCAGCTGGTGGACCAAGGGAAGGAAAACCCATTTTCTCTAACTGTGTAGGACACTCAGGTTCTAGTATGATATGAGAGAGACCATCTTCTCCCTACTCCCTTTCTCCACACCATACATAATTTGATACAAGTCTACCATATCCCTACTACCACCCTTCTCACCATTTTTCTAAGCTAAAAATCCCTGTCCATTCTTCCCTGGATGATTTTGGTTGTTTGCCCTTGTCTACAACTTGATTGAGGTTCATTGTGCTCAAGTATCTTCTGATGCCTAACAAGATATGCTTCTGGTATGGCTGTAGTTCCACATCCCTTGAATCTCTCTTCTTACAGCTTTGGTACAACAGGAATGGAGACTTGCCTCACATCAGTGATCAGGGTCTACTTAGTTGTTTAGCTTGTGCTGTATCCCCAATTCACTCCCCCTTTACATCAGGAAAGGTGCGTAGTTCCTATGCTAGGCTATTTTTTGTATTCATAGGTATTGCCATGCTGGGTATTAGACCCAACTTCCTGTTTGTTGTTTACTTGCTTGTTGAAACATTCATTTCCTGTCCTTCTATCAAACAACCTTCAAAATGGTGATATTTATATTGATAAGAGTACAATCCCAGCCAGCAATGTGTGTGTTGGTCCCCATTTGTGCTGTTGGACATAAGGAGTCCAGATCTGGCACACTTGGCCCAATCAAGCACAAGAAGAACGACGGGTAGAAAAAACTGTATTTTACTCTCGAGAATAAAGTCTGATCACAGTGAAATAGCAAATGACCCTGAGTGTCTGGTGGTGTCCCCTTTAATACCTCCCATGGCCAGCTGCTTATTGGGTTGAAATTCCAACTGTGAGCACTGATTGGCATATTTGAATTCAGGTGGTTTCTGTGCTCAGCTGGGAGGCGGGGCTGCCTGAGGTTTGGTCTGGGAGCTCTGGAGAGGGACTCCTCTTAATCCCTGCCTGTGTGGACTCTGGTTACACTGGAAGACGTGACTAGCCTGCCCAGGCTTAATGCTGGCCAGCCAGGTATGTCCTACAGTGCTATAGGCACCCTTCCCATTTTTATCACCCCTCTATATTTACTGTATTTTGGTTACTGCATGACTTGTCCCACACTATCCTGCCCCTCTACACCAGAGTGCAGCTATGGCTGGACTTTGGGGCCAGGAGCAGAAGCAAATTCCATTTTATTCCTGTGGTCATAATGGTGCTACAAGTTGAAAATGCAAATCTGTACATGCTCAGAGTGCTTTTTTGTTTGTATTTCAATAAACAATAAATGATTTACTGTTGTTATTGCCTTACTATTTGTGTAAACTGTCTTGAGATTTCATTGAAATATTAGTATATAAAGGTTTTAAATAAAGAAGAGGGGAGAAATAGTTCAGTCAGTGTGAGGCGGAGAGCTTTCATGGGTTACTTGGATGTCTGTGTTGGGAAGGAAAGCAGGAGGATGACAGGACAGTTTTGCATGCCTCAGGGATATGGAGGGACAGTTGTGGGCCAGCTGCTGCTCTGCCTTTTAGATGTTTGTGGCCTCCCCAGCCACCCTTAGCTGCTTCCTCTCATTCCTGTTCCCCTTTTTTTGTGGCCTGCCATTCCGATACTGCAGCTCCGCGGGATAGCCAAGCGCTCTGCTAGGGAGCCCAGAGCTCTGCTTTAGCTGACACGATGCCTGAGCTAATCTCTGTCCAAGACTTCATCTCCCAGACCCAGGAGGATCTGAGCTCTCCAACCACCTCCTCCTTCACCAGCCACATGGGCAAATGCAAGAGCACTGTTGGCAGCCTGGAAGAGGTAAGCAGGGAGAAGGGCTGGAGGTAGCTGGTGGGTTCACGGTGGAGGGAGCAGGACTGGGGATCCCTTGGAGACAAAGTGCCTCTCTTTATGCACAGGAAGCCAGGAGCTTTCCCCTCTCAGGCTCAACAAACTGGGGAGTAAACACTTTTAAAAATTTAAGGATTTGTGCCTGACTTTTCCTTCAAAAGAGGAAGCCTCAAGCAGCTGATATAATACGCCTAACATGCAATGGGAAACAGCAAATTACCTTAACGTTCACTTGAACCCCAGATAGTATGTAAAATATTGAGAAGAACAAATAGCAACCCATATGCAAAATTTTTAAAAAATTGCCCAGTGAAATCAATAAAAAAATTCCTCACTAAATCAGTAGTGTTCAGTTGTCTTCTGAATGATGCAATGATCAAACTTAAGTGAGTGACAGCTGGAGGACAGATCCACAGCTGCATGACCAGCTAGAGGCCTTACTCTTTCCTTCCACTGTTGTTACCTCATGGGCACCTACAGCAGGGCCCTTTTTAGGCGTGGCTGAATTACCTGGGTAAAGGCACTCCTGGAAACATGCTGGTAAGCCCCTCCAGCATGGTGAAATAGGAACTGGAACTGATTGTTTAAATTATGCTCCTCTTGGTGCACTCAGTGATTTGAGTTGTCTTCAGCAGCTGTACCCTTAAGATAGCCTTCTCCAGTTGGTGCCCTCTAGATGTTTAGGGCTCTAGCTCCCAGCAGTCCCAACCTGTGTAGACAGTGGTTGGGAATGCTGGGAAATACAGTCCAAAACATGCTCGCCCAAAGTGTGCCCTGTTACAAATGTCCACATTAATTTATTTGGGTGGGAAAGTTTTAGGATGCAATCCTACACTATTTATCTGGGGATGTCTCTTTGAAATGAACAGGAAAACTCAGAAAGAAGGATATTGTTTTTGTGTGATATGTCTATTTGTTTTGCTCTGCTACTAAATCAAATAGCTTTTGATACATCACTCTTTCAAAATTGTGGAGTAATGGTTAAAAGTGTGGGACTGGAATGTAAGTAATCTGGGTTCTAGTTCCATTCAGCCATGAAGCTTCATGGGTGACTTTGGGCCAGTCACAGATTTTCAGTCCAGCCTACCTCACAGGGTTGTTATTGTGAGGATAAGACTGAGAGGAGGAGAAGCTGCCTTGAATTCCTTGGAAGGAAAGAAAGTAGGGAAAAATACTTAAAAATGCAAAACGTCTTTCAGCTATCTTTGCAGGACAGTTGAAAGCATAATCTATTTTTTTTCTCCAGTGGTAACTTCAAACTAGTTCTCACCTTCTCACTTCCTCTTTTGAAATCTGTTGCATATGATTTCCCAGATTTTCAAATATGGGCCCACTGGGTTGGTTTATGATTATGGAAAGGTCAAGACTTGTTTTTTTTTTTCTCCTTAGCCAATATAATTATCAGTGTTGGGGTGGATTTTCATGATACCCAAAACAGATGAAGGTGAATGTCTGGAGTGGGTTATGAAGCATCCCGAAACCCATGGCTTGTTCCAGGGTTGCTGGATACTATGTAAACCACCCCAACCACCTGCCTTCACTGGTCACAACAACTTACATCTGGTGGGTACAATTATGCTAATTAATTCTCTTCCCAGCACACATGGGAAGAGAGAACATAAAATGCTGAGGCTTATTTTCTTGTGTGTAAGCTTGGATCCTGAGAAGGTGAATCTAAAAGGGTGAATATGCTTGATCAAACTTTGCATGATAAAACTTATCCTAAAATACAGTTAAAGTCCCTTAGGGCAGAATGGAAAAACAAAATTAAAGCTAGAAACAGGAAACCATTCAGCAATATTAATAGTTTCTAGGTTCAAAAGGAAAGCTTGTAACATCAGGAAACGGAAGTGTTGCATGAATTCAAACAGTGTGAAAGGCAGTCATAGCCAAAGTATTCTCCGGAAGCTGAAGAGAACACATACAAACTGGTGAGTAATGATAACAGTGAAGGAAAAGCATTCACTTGACATGTGAAGATCACTAGTGTGGTTTTGGGTTTGTTTTAACGCTGCCAGAAAACTAGAAAATAGAGCTATCAGCCTTAATAACAGTACCATGGAAAGTGCTGCAGTAATCAATTGAGGAACCTTGAAGTGTTTTCAGCAAATAATAAAACAGTAATACACTTGTGGTTCTTGCTAACATTATTCTAGTGCTAGCCCTATTCTGTAATAGAGAAGATATCCTCAGTGGAGATGAACAATCTTTCCTGGATTCACGGAGGGCACCCTTATCTAACCTGGCATCCTCCTGATATTTTGGGGTGCAACTGCTAGGTTTCTGGATTATTGACTGGTGTGGGCTGGGTCTGATCAGTGTTGATCCAAAATCTCCAGAAGGCACCTCGCTGGGAAAGATTAGTTTATGCTTTGGGCTCCCTAGAGTAGCTAGGCCAGTGTTAAGACTATAAATGCTACGCTCCAAGAGCACCTCAGGTTCCCTCTTCAATCTCCCCGATACCCCGAAATTTCGTCCACCCTGCCACTCCCATTCTGTGGAAGTGGCATTTACTGCTTTCCAAAGTTCACACTACATAATATGTGCCATATGATTTTCGTTTTAATGACTCCCCACTGCAGAATGTTCTGGAGAATCCCTTCAATAGAGAGGCAAACTTGACAAGCATGGGGTGTGTGTGTGTCATAGGCATCATGGTGTCCTAGTCTCAACCTGCTTAGCACAGTTTCTGGGGAATTGCTTAACATGTCCCGGGAAGCAGTATAGAGTAATATGCTCTATAATAGCATGGTCAATTTAGAACTTAAGCAAATTGTATTTATGTAGCTGGCTGAGCATGTGGAGCAGGACACACACTACAGCTCAATGTCTCACTTGCTTGCTTGTTCATTCTTTAACCTTTTTAGGCCTTGGATCTAGATCGAGTTGTTCTGCAAAAAATAAGGAAAGCGGTGAAAGCAGAGCATGCAACTGGACAAGGTCAGAGCACAACCAATTACAATAGGAAGTGGGATTAGAAGTTCCAGATTAGAAGGCTTGAGTTTTTATTTTAACCTCATGTTGCTTTCCTCAGTTCTTAAAGATATAGGTACCTTCCCAAACTCAAGGTGCCCAATTGTGTATGGCTGCTCAGAAGTAAATCCTAGGATTTACTGAAACTTAAATGAGACTTCATTCTCACATCAGTGTGTATAGGATTGCAACTTGACCCTAGCAATGCCGGATGCAGTTGACTGGAGGAGAGGTGTGCTTTCCAGGTGTGCCCACATTTGTAAACCTGTCACTCATTTGAAGGACAGCCTTCCCCAGCAAGTGGGCTGGAGCACAACTCCCAACTTCCCTAGTATAGACAGTCTGAGATGGGCAGTTGTGGTCCAGCCCATGTGGAGAGCATCATGTTGGGGAAGGCTTAGATAAGGTATTCATTACAAGAAGCCATGCCAGCTAACCTAGTAAAATGTATGCACACGTTAACTTGCCTGATACTCTTCATTTTACCAACCCATTGTTTTGTAACTGTGTTCAAGCACATGCTTTGTACAGAAATGCCCCAGTTTCAGTCTATGGTTTCTCCAGGGAAGGTAAAGCAAGACTCCCATCTGAAACTCTGGAGAAGATCTGCCAGTCTGTTTGGGCAGTATTGAGTTCGTTGGGCCAATGGTTTCACTGAGTATAAAGTAGCTTCCTAAACTGCTCACTTTTGCAAACAATGTGAAATCCAGGGAGAGTTTACTTTCATGTGGACGAGTAATCACTGAAAACTTGTTAATAAGCATATTGGTGATAACTACTTGATCACATAAAATGCAGAGGTAACAGTGTTGGCTCATAAATAAAAAGCAGGGCTATATCATTATTAGACCATCAAAATAACAAGAAATCTTTGAAGTTCTAAATGTTAAACAAAGTTGGTGTCTGGAGAATGTGGAGGGGAAAAACTGGCCAATATTGAAACAGATTCCATGGTTTGCTTCCAGATTTAATCATATTGTGGGTAAACCCATTGAAATTAAAGGAACTTGATTGGTCAATTGTTCCTTCAAGGGGTCTACTGTAAGGATGATGGAGACGGCAATCCCATGATCCCCAAGAAAGGATCCCAGGGAGTGTTGCATGGTGCACAAAGACTCGGAGGAGGGCTTTCTCAGCGGTGGCGCCTAAGTTATGGGACGCGCTCCCCAGAGAGGTCCGCCTGGCGCCGTCGTTATTTGTTTTTCGGCGCCAGGCGAAGACCTTTTTATTTAAGCAGCATTTTAAATGTTAATATTATTGAATTTTATCTGGCCAGGGTGGCTTATTTTATATTGTATGTATTTTAATGTTTATATTTTTAATTATAATTATTCAACTACTTGTTGTAAGCCGCCCCGAGGCTTCGGCGAAGGGGGCGGCATAAAAATGTTTTAATAAATAAAAATAAAATAAATAAAAATAAAGTCAGAGATAGTGCTGGATGTGAGACCAGACTCCAGACTACTCTCCCTCCCAGCTGGTGAAGAGAGAACTGTGTCAACGGCCTCTCCAGTGTCCAAAGCTTGACCTCAGAGTGGGGGGCTGGGGAAAGGGAGATGTCCTGGTGGGCAGGGAGGGGAGGAGAACAAAGATTTCGAGATGTGAGCTGGCCTGAGACTCTTTCAGCCTCACTTACTCTCCCTCCAAATTTACCTAGCTAGATGGACTGAAGAGCCCAACCAGGGAAATCTGCAGGGCAGAATGGGGAGATGAAAATTGCCTCTGTTACTCCCCCTGCCCTGCGTTAGGTGGTTGGACACCTCTGCTAACTAAACTCCACAGAATCCGTTTCAACATAAGCCGCCCCTGCCATTGCCCTTACCCTGGGTTTTGGATTTTTTTTTTACTATAATACAAACAGAGTGCCTTGGAAACAGACAAGGAAAAGCCCATCCCTAATTATGTACTTTATACTGCATCTTCTTATATCCCCAAAGCCTGTTTAAGCTGCAGTCATACACACTGACCCATGAGTCCCATTGCTTACTTCTAAGTAGATACATAATAAGCTTCTTGAGAGTCAGCCTGACACCTCCCTGATTTATAATTTGAAAGCATATTTCTGTTTGTCTCAGCAAGAGCTTGTACGTTAATGATTCAACAACATTCTGTTTCTGCAGATCTCATTGGTCATTTAGAAGCTCATATTGCTGCCCAGGAGAAGTTCTCAGGAAATTATCAAAACAATGGAGAGGAGAAGTTGGCTGAAGCATTTAGCTCTTTTGCCTCATTTTCCAGGGAGCTGCTAGAAGCTGTCAAGAGCATGGTACGAACCTTTTCCCCCCTCCCCATGTATTTGTCTGCAAAATATGGTTGAGGGCATATACAGGAGGAAGAGTAAAGGACCTGAGAAAGTCCCAAATTTTCTTACCTTTAAATTCTTTCAGAGGAATTTAGGAATGCAGAAATGCTTGCCAACCAATTCCTGCCCTGATTTTTTTTTTGACATCATATAATCATTTTATTTATATTTTATGTTATTTTGAACATTTACCCACTTTTCAATTGAACTTTGGTTTTCCAAGGTGACTTACAATAAAATCCATCAATTACTAACCCGCCCCCCACAAAAAAAGATAAACACCAGAGGCTAAAACAGAGGCTATTGTGACACTCATTTTTAAACCTACCAGAAAAGTACATTTGATCAGGCTGTGTTATCACCTGAGCTTATAGAAGCAGAGAGACACACATAGGATAGGTACTCCACTCCTGACTATTTGGAAACCTTGCATGGTGTAAACCCCTCAGTTCTTTGAAGAAAAAGATGTAAGTTGGACAGCCCTAAGTGGTATCAAATCCTCAAGTCTCTTGAGGGAAAAGGTACAGACCCAGGGCCCTGAGTGGACTGAGAGGGGACCCTGTCCAGCTTTTCCTTCTTCTCAAAACCCCAGTTACTTCTGAAATGGTAAGTGCATTTATACTTAGACGATACCACTTATATTGGCCAAATAAGGTGTAAAACAGAAGAGTGGAGCAGCTGGGAAGCACTGGAGATGTGCAGGTACACTTGGGAAAAGGAGGTGGGGGGATCCCAATTTAGGACTGCAGCAGACCAATCAGGAAGAGGCCACAGCAGCCATAGGAAAGGGCAGGGAAAGGACAGGGAATTTGCTCACGGCCCTCAGGATGTGTTCTGAGGCCTGGGGGATGAAGTGGGGAGCACAGAAACCAATCTAGCCAATCTCTTGCCAATCTAGCCCAGCACTGAACAATTTGGAAATGCCCTCGTATATATTCATATAGGTGTTTACAAAAAGACCTAAGTATTGTTCATTTATTCTATTCCCTAATAACTCACCCTGAAAAGCATGTTCTAGCCTTTATTCTACTCATGCTGAAGAATATGAAATATTTTGTTGTGCTGCTTTCAAATGGAACTATTTTATTTCTAGTTACTGAGCCTGTATCACAACATTAACTTTGCCCTGGACTCGCTGATCAAGGGTGATTTCAAAGGGGTAAGTAAATGCCCCAAATTTTCTAGTTTTCCCTTTCACTGTGAAACTGCTTGGGAAAATTTACTTGTAATTTCAAGATGATAAACTCTCAAACTGGCTTCTCACAACATGATAAACTGTTATGGGTGACAAGCCATTGTGGGTTGTCATGTTGTGTGATTCCAGACTGATTCCTACAAAGAGGCTCCTTTGAAGGCAATGAAATCCATGGCTTGTTCAGATTTGTTGGGTCCATGATGGGTTGTTTTGTTTTCTGAACTCAGGCAACCAAGCCCATCAGAGGTTGTGGAAAGTTGCTTGGCAAAAATGACATAGATGCCTTGATGCTCTTGCCCATCTAGCCCAGGGCACTGCAAGTGCCAGTCACCCCACTGATACCCAGGTGGCATCGTGGAGTGACTGTTACCGGCATGGTGCCCCCCAATGCGATCATAAGCCCTTGCTGCTGCTTACCATGGCTCCTCCCTCCCTGTCTGCTCCTCATGTTTTTGGGCAGGGGGAATTAGCATTTCATGGTCGCCAATTTGACAACTAGTGGCAAGCCCCTTCAAAGTGCCCAGAGTGCTGTCACAAGTTCATCCCCCCCCCCCATTTTTAGTGCAGAAGATTTAGTGCAGGCAAATATTTTCAAAATTCTTAGTTGTTTAGTTGGATACACTTGCACAGGCCTGAAATGGTAAGGTCCACCTAGGCAATGTCTTCAGGTTTATTTTTCATGATGTTTTTTCTTGGCAGCTGTCAAAATGTCAGCTTTCAAGAGAAACCAAAGCCTGGGTGGTCTTCACTGACGAAAGGGAGCGGCCGGTATTTACCCACTTCCTGGTGCACCCTCCACTCTCTCAGCCAGCACAGAAAGAACCTCTCCAGCTGTTGCAACCTTGGAGATGGGGTTCGGTGGCCATTCTGGGGAGCAGGGAGTGGAGGATACGTGTGCTGCCATGATGTGCTGCATCTCAATCTTTCCCTCACACGCTGAAACATGGCACTTGGATAGCTCAAACTGGCTGTCTAGGAGTTCTGCAGGAGCAGAGTGCGGAGGCAGCATCTGCCTCTATATTCTTTCCATGATGCATACAATACTGGAGGGTTACAGGCATCCAGACTGGTGTGCAACCTAGGAAATGAACTTTTCTTGCAGTTTAGAAGGTGTACAACTGTGCACAATGCATCAGTAGGACTGAAGGAAGTGGAATGAAAAAGAACCAGATTTTTTAAAAATTGAAAATAGACACAAAACATAATGTTAAGCCGATTTATTTAGTACTTGTTTTTAGTAAAATCCCTGACCTTATTATATTGTTTTTACTGCTTGATTTTATTGTTATGTGCACTGGTTATCCTATTCAATATCTTAAATTAATTGGATTTTAAGTTGTGTTGGATGTGCATGTTTTAACCTTGTCATGATTTTATGTTTTTGCTGCTGGTTGCTGTTTTTGTGAGCCACCCAGAGAACCCTTTGGCTATGCGGGGGACATACAAATGTAATAAGTTAGGTTGAAACTCTGGAAGAAATCTTAAACTGTGCTACAAAAAACATGAATGTTACAGGGAACATAATAAGTATCCTCTCCTTCCATAGAGGGTGATGGTGATTGTTTTACTTAACCTGGTTCTATTCTTTTTGACTTGCAGGATTTCCAAGTAATTTACTTAAAAGCACATGCAATACAATGTTAAAATTCACATTAAAACATTGTGAAACAGGAAGTACCTTAACACAGTATAACAAAGCAGAAAACCAAAACAGTGTCATGATCAATTAGAAATAAGAAAAAGCTTGAGCAAGTACGTACAAGAGGCATTAGTACACCAGTTTCTTTCTCTTGAAACATGGGAGAATGTTCCCAAGATTAGGTGCTGCTACTGAGAAGGTCTGTTTATATGTTGCTATCTCATGACTGATTGTTGGTCATGCAACAATTTATAGGAGTCCTGAACGTTTGAGAACAGAAAAGAAAAAATAAAGAACAAATACAGGATTCTTGTTTGTCTCTTAACAGGACTTTAAAAAGCCTTTTGAGAAAGCCTGGAAAGATTATGAGAGCAAACTGTAAGTTGGTCTGGTGTTGATCTCCTACTACACCAGTGTATTGCAACTTTCCTTTTAGCAGATTCCAGTAAAATACAGATATGTGTGTGTGTGTGTGTGTGTGTAAAAGCAACTCTGTCTTGTGCTCAGCAACTAATATTTGTCTTTTTTTTCCTATGTGAGCACAAAGATAGAGAAAGAAAAGCGGGAGCTGGCAAAACAGTATGGAATGGTGCGAACTGAGGTAGTGGGAGGAGAGATTGCTGAGGAGATGGAGAAGGAACGAAGGATGTTCCAGTTGCAAATGTGTGAGGTGAGGCAGATGGAGAAGTGCTTCTTTCCACATGGCGATTTCCTGGGTGGATGTCACACTTGCTGAGACAACTGCATGGCTGGTCACACAAGTTGGAATTCAGGAAACTTACTTCCCAGTATGGAGGAGAGATCATGGGAACCCTAACTTATGTGCACACACACTACAAAGTAGCAAAAAAGTAGCTTGTATAATGTAAGAAACAAGGTCCACCTCTTAATTCCGGCTCTTAAGCAAAGAACTTGTAAGCCAAACTGAATCAAAGAATGTCCTTCTAATGAGTCTTTCTTCCAGTACTTAGTGGAAGGAAACAACGTTCCCTTATGATATCATGACCAACCTAGATTATTTTTTTCTGCTGTGCATTTGAGTGTGGATTCCTCGGTCATCATGTAGGTCATTTCTACACAATGGGTTGGGTGTAGACTTGAGCTCAAACAGAATGACCCTAACTTTAGGAAGAGTTTTCTGCCTCTTGTGATGGAAGATGAGCAGTACCAAACAGCTGGAGGACACGTGGAGACCTAGTCGCCCACCCTGGGCCACCTAGGCTGCCCTCAGGAGGACACTGACATAAGATCCACATACCAGTCTGATGAACGTCTATATAGGGTCTGGGAAGAAGTCGCCTAGTCTTCTCAGGCTGCAAAACATCCATGGCCAGCCCTAGCATGCTCACCTGTCCTCTGTTGCAGAGAATAGCTCTTATTTGGAGATACCTTCAGTTTGAAAGGCTGTCCTGTTCAATGGCAGTTTAAAGGTAAAGAAACATAAAATTGTCTCCCATCGGAAGGTAGCATCAGGACAGCAGACTGAACAGGTGGGCAAGCAGGTCACCTGGCTACAGTTTTTCACACTATGCAGAGATGTATTACATTTCTATTTAAATTCTAATGTTTAATTTTCCATCTATACATATAAATTAACATATTCAAATACTGGTGATATTGCTGTCCTATTTTTAAATGATGCATTTCCTCTTTATTGGAAAATCTTTTTTGGCAAATCACTCTTAGTGATTTCACTGGAGAAAGGAGTGCAAATTTTGGTGGTTTCCTCCTTCCTGACAAGTTGCTATGGAAGGTTTTGGGGACCCCTAGAGCAAAATGACTGGTTTTGTATGACATGACAGCTCACCTTACTTAGCCAGCCATGGCTAGTTGTTGTGTTGTTCAAATCCAAATCATTTTCAGCAGAGTGACTTTTCCCCTGAACAACCCACACAGAGAACCTCTAGTTTGTTGCAAGGTTGTTTGTCCACACAGTTGCTTCTTGTAACATCTGAACTCAGGAGACCAGTTCCATGATAGGTCATTATAGCTAGCTACACAGCCACTATCCCCGTGCCTTTCATTCTTCTCAGTCTTGCCAGTGACTGCCCTTCTATCAACGGCCAAAGGACTGTCATTCATTCACAGGTTTTGGCGTGTGGGGTAATGCTCCCAACATGCACAATTATGGTTGCAATCTTTTTATCATTATTACTTTTAGTCTTTTGCAAGTGTTCAAGTACACACTTGTTAGTTACAAAGTCGTGTCCGACCCATCGTGACCCCATGGACAACATTCCTCCAGGCCTTCCTGTCCTCCACCATCCCCCGGAGTCCACTCAAGCTCTCACCAACTGCTTCAGTGACTTCGTCTAGCCACCTCATTCTCTGCCATCCCCTTCGTCTTTTGCCCTCAATTGTTGCCAGCTGACTGTCTAATATGTGTAGCCTTTTCTGATTCATTTTCCTGTGTCAGCTATCAAAAGGAGAGGTTAAGTGGAGTAGGTAACGTACAAGATATATTGACAATGCAAGGTTGCATATAGGCTAATTTGTGCACAGTCCCAAAGGACAGGGAGAAATAATAAGAAAAATGAGGGACCTAGCAGTGTACAATGGGTGGAGAGACACACCAAAGGAAAAAGTGCACTGTACCTGTGGATCTCTCCCTTAACAATGTGATCCTCTAACTTATAAGTGTTGAACTGATACTTGTCTGTCCCCCATCTTTTCAACACTTCCCCAACTTTCCAGCTTCTCCAGAAAGGGGAAATATTAAGTCTCCGCCCTTTTCACAGTTCCCTTATCAAGCTATTATTGCTGCTTCCTGACAGTTAAAACAAAAACTCAACTGAGAGGGCAACAGCACAGGATGGGGTAGATTGGACCTCTTCTTCTCCATTTTATTCTATCATCCTCTTACAGTTTCCCCAAAAAACCCCATTGAAAATAGCTGTCCAAATATTTGGATTGGGAAGTAAATAGAAAGAAAATGTGTGCATCTGCATTAACTCTCCTATTATTGCAAAAAAGCCCTTCAGTTCATGGAGGGACATGTCAGGATTCCACTCTACAATTTTTAAGCATAAAAATTGGAAGTATTTATTTCCAATTTGTTCAATTGTTACCTAGTAGACCATAGATTTTTTGCTGGGATACCGCATTTTTCTCCAGCACTTAAAGCATAATGATATGTACCTGAGAAAAATGCAATAGTTCTCTTACATCGCCTATGCTTTGATATTCTGCCTATGAAAGATAAAGTGGTTATGCAGGTACAAGAGGTACCCTAATATCATATTCACCCGTAACAATGAAATATGTCTGCTGCTAGTTACTAGAAAAAATACTCTTCCCATCCCAGACATTGGAAAAATAAAGGTTAGTTCCTTTTAGAGCATAATCCAGAGGGGATGCCCATAAGCTTCTGGCCTCAGAGGAGCAGTGGCATCACATGCAGTGGGGGAAGGAGGCAATCTTTGCTTCTGTGTTTCTCCCACCCTGCAAATCAGCCAGATGGCGAACTCCAACCATCTAGCTGAGGCACTCTGGATGTGGAGGGAAGGGGACTGCAATGCCACCAGGATATATTGTATTTTGGTGGGCCTTATCTCCTTTCTTTCTCCCCTTGAATGCTCCCTTTAACCTTTCTCTGAGGTTGGTCTTAAAACCTCAGAGATGCAGCCAATGGTTATTTCTGTGCCAGCTGTGAGGAGGGAAAGGAGAACTGAGTACAGATCTCCACCTCCAAGGACCTTGGATCTCTACCTCTTTCTGATTATGGAAGTGGAAATCTGAGAGGTCCTATGGCTCTCTAGACACTGGTTAGGAATAATCATAGGATTACTTTGTTAGTCAAGAATAGATTAAGAACCAATATCAAACATGTGTAATATCTGCTTCTGTTATGTTTTTAAAGACACATAAAATAGATTTGTTACCCCATACAAAGAACTAATTTATCTAAAATAAAAACAACTGGTTTATTTTATAGTTTATGTAAGGGATGATTGAAACCAATCAGTAAAGAAGAACACGTATGCCATGTCCTAATTAGATGCATATTTTGGATTTGTATAGAAACAGAAGGAATTAATAACTGGAGAATGCTAGAAAGTCATGAGCAGAGCAGGGCTGAGCAAACAAACAAAGGCATAACTCAGCAGGTCACCCATGTCACCTCTCTCCCCAGTATCTAATTAAAGTGAATGAGATTAAAACCAAAAAAGGAGTTGACTTGCTGCAGAACAACATCAACCACTGCAACTCCCAGTTCAAGTAAGTGCCATTGGTTTTCTACATTCTCATTCCTCAAAACGTTATTTCTGAACAGAGCACCTTTATTAGTGGCATAAACTTTTCCAGTGAGACTAATTTATGATCATCATTTCCCCCTTTGTATGAACCACTGTCTATCATCTATCACATTTCTTTACTACCCAGTATAGCTGAAGTTCTCTGTGATCTCTCTCTCTACCACACATCTTTTTTAAAAATTAAGATATAAAACATTCTTTTCTCCTGTGCTTAGATGTCATTTCCTCCTCTGCTATTAAGTTTGCAGGAATACTTACTGTCTGTAACATGCTTTCAAGGAATGCCTATCTCAGAACATTCTAGCCTCTCTAAAATATGAATGGCTACCCTTTACTTTAGACCACATCACTCAAAAGAACAGACATCGCAAAACCTGAAACATAGCATCAGGACACAGAGATTGTACAAGTCAAATCAAAGGTCTAGTTCAGCCAAATTCTCTGCCTAAGCCTCCACAAGCTGTAGAATGAGCTAGCAGAATGCAGACATGATGCTGGGTGCAGAAAAAATATGGACCTCAACCGGCAGGACTGAAAAATACACAAATGTGTATATGCTCATTTACATATGCCCCAAATCTTTCTGTGTGTGGATGTGTATCTTTAAAGGACTGGGTCTCCTAAGTACAACCCTATCCATAAAAAGAGACATATGGATGGGGAAGAGGAGAGCATTGGATTTCAGAAAAAAACATCAGGCAGAAAGATTCACGGGGACACAGCTGGAAGTGAAGCACGTGTGAGCAAAAAGCCAGCTAATCCTGGGGCTCCGAGCATATCAGGTTGCTGTACCTTCATTTCAGTAATTGCCCGTGGAGAGCAGGGAGGCAGCCTCTAGCTAACACTGCTCTTGGTAGACTATATTGTACCACTTCAGATGGTATGTAGGCAATAGTACACATGAAAGCTCCCCCATGTGAAAAAAGAAAATGTCCCTCAAATAGAGAACATGCACATTGGGGTATAAGGTTCTATCCTGGCTGTTGCAATTGATTTTCAGCATAGGGGGTTGTTCAGAAAAATGATTTTCTACCTGGAGTCCATTCTAGGGCCTCATCTCACTGCATGCATAGGATAGCCTCCCACCCACCACTGTCGCTAATAATGGAAGATGCCAAAAGACTCTTGCAAGCAAAGCAACAGCTATCCATGCCATTCTCCACTACTGGCAGAGTTTGACTATCTCTGAAGGAGGAGGTGCTGTTTTAAGCTAGTTACTATAATGGAATATGGAGATTTGAAACTCAGCAAAGCTTATGCTTGAACTGGGAGATATTCTGCTTTTGATCCATTTTATTTTCTGTTAGTTTTTTCCAGACATGTTTAAAGGCAACAGAGAAGCACAAACATTTTATAGAAAATCTTACTCCAGAGCTTCAGATTGTGAGTATGCTTTGTCCTGTTCACAAGGCTGTGTTCACACATCACAATAAACCATGGTGTGGCACAATATGCCTAAGCAAGGAACAAGCCACAGTGAGCCTTGGGTCTGTATATACCTCTGTCCTCCTCTCAGGCAGCCTACTAGCATTAGGAAACTTTCAGTTTTGCTTATAGTTAACCTGAGTTGTCTAAATCCAGAATTGTGGTTAATATTAACTATGAGTTTAAACAAGCCAGCTTCAGAAAGCATATTTCAAACAAGTTGGCTTGTTTGAAACTGATGATCATTAATGCTGACCATGATGGTTTGTGACTCCAGATAAATATATCATAAGCAAAGTTTGAACCTCCTCCCTCCTCCAGGGCTTGCTGTGGCTTGCACATGTTACGCTACAGCCTTGTTTAGTGAGGCATGCAAATATGCCCATAATGTAAGAGAGTAGGTACATTTGAGGGCTGATTACAGTGGTAGAAAAAGTGTATGCTTGTGTTTAAATGGTTTTCAATAATAGTGGCTTGCAGCTTCTTGTAGACATAAGAAGCTCCTAAGTGTAGAATGCAAATCAGGAGGCATGTAATGGCAGGCATGAACACACTCCTTTGCTTGATGGAATGTTTGATGCAATGCCTTTCAGATGAAGGCAAAGCAGGAGGAGGAGAAGAAGCAGCTCTACTCCCTTCGTGATCAGCTGAAAACATCCCTGCAGCTGGAGCCCAAAGAGGTAAAGCTAGGAAGGGCCAGATCACCTTCTTTTGCTTAGGGAAGAAAAGAGATGCCCTGCAGCAGTGGCGTACTGGTAATTCCAAAGTACAAGTGCTCATCATGACAGCCACTGGAGCCATACTTCAAAAATGCAGGCAGCTGTGTCAACCCATATCAACAAACCAGCACTGATAGTTTGAATTGCTACTGAGAGCAAGTCTTTTCCACGGAAAACCAAGCCACTCTGACAGACTTCACATTACAAGAGAGATAGCTCAGAAAGATATATTGTTGCTGAGAACATTCATTCCTTGCTCCCAGCTACTGTGAGGACTACTGCTAAGGTAGGAGAGAACAGGGAATTGGAGGGGGTGGCAGTAAATGACATCAGCACCCCCTTAAACAAGGCTGTCTTGAGTGCTGTTTTCCTTGGTGGAAAGGCAGGGTACAAATCAAGTGCATTGATCAAGAAAAGAGTTGACCCTGTGAGTGCTGCCCAGTGGAAAAGTTAGCAGGCACCTGATGAAGCATTCTGTGTAGATCCTTGTTGGGGCTGGAAAGGAGAATCAGCTGGAGAGTGACAATTTATCATACCCTCTTGCTTTGTATGTGAATCACAGTAGCAAGACTCAAATCTTCCATCACAATAGAGGAGTTTAAGTTTGGCCAAGGGAGCCAAGATAGCAGTGGTTACCTCTCTTTCTCCATTCCATTACCTTGGGGCTGTTTGGCCAACACAGGAAGAAGGGCTGGCAGAATTGGTGCCAGATACTGGATGAGCAGTTTGCATGTATTGATGTCTCATGTTTTTCACATCAGAAACACAGCACTACAGGGAATTCAGCTGGTGCTATTAACCTTTCTGGGCAAGTGTGCTGGACTTGTGCCCAATGAATATCTCTCCATCTCAAAAACCAATGATCCACAGGAAATGTGATCAGTGGGGAAGAGAAGACTAAGGGAAGCAGCCTTCGACTATCTGAAAGGCTGTTAAGCAGAAGATGGAGCAGTCTTGTTCTTTCTTTCTGGGATGCAGATTTGGATCAATAATAGGAGAAACTTCTCAACAGTGAAATATGTTGGGCAGCACCACAGGCTACCATTGGACTTCTCCTTCATTGGAAGTATCTAAGCAGAAGCTGGACAGCCATTTGTCAGGGATAGGCAACTTTTGCCTTAGCATATGCTTTGGCCTACAATTCTTATGTTCCCTTTGCTTATGCTGGCTAGGACTGATGGGAATTGTAGGCCAAAACATCCGGAAGGCAACAAGTTGCCCACATTTCTGTAGCTGCACAGTGCTTTGTAAATGCTCCATTAAACAGTGGGCTGGCTTAGATGACCTTCAAGAGCCCTTCCATCATTCAGTGATTGTTTGGAATAATTTCAAGGATTCTTGGATATTTGCATCCCTGGTCACTGTTATACTTGAAAAGAATAATGACTGGATTCAGACAGCTCATTAATTCACATATAAGGCTTGAGTAGGTTGTTATTGAAATGTGGGATAGCAGGTTGCCTGAACCTTATTAAGGTGACAGGCTGTCATAAACAACCCACAGTTTACAACCCAGCAACAAGCTATAGTTTCTCTTCATGGGTTATTAGTGCACCCAGGTTCAAACAACATGATCCTCTAGGGTTCAACAACAACAACCTATAGTTCAGTGATAACCCATGTGCAATCCTTACTCTGTGCTTAAGTGTGGATTATCCTGCTGTCTGGACCCTATCAATGAAATACTAGGAATAAATACTTGGTCTATTTGTTTTGTTTTCCAACAGAATACCATTAGCAAACCACTGAGTTACAGCATGCACCAGTTGCAGGGAAATAAGCAATATGGCACAGAGAAATCTGGGACCCTCCTTAAGAAGAGTGATGGGTAGGTGCAAGCGCAAACATTTTACGAGACTGAAGCACTAAAAGTTCTGAATTTTCATAAAAACTCTCAAAGACAAATTTAGCACATGTTTATACCTGGGATGGAGAACCATTTTTCTGATAGATGCTTTTAACATAAAATTTTCAAACACAGCTTTTCCTTATAATTGTTTTTATTCATATTGTAAGCTATGTTGGGAAAGTGTTTTCTTGAATGGTACAAAGTATATCCAACAATTGCATAACAAGCAGAAGCTTTGTCATTCGGCTTACACATGCTGAGAAAGGGTATTCTTTTTGTAGAATTTTAGCTTGACAGAAGTTTCTGCATTAGCTGGTGATTTTAGAAGATCTCACAGGCAAACATTTTAGGTAAAGTGCAGTCCTATACTAGTGAACTAATTTAAGGATGCACTCCTATTCATGTTTAGAGAGAAAAAAAGTCCTACAATTCCCAGCATTCTCCCATCAGCCATGATGACTGAGGCAAGCTCTCCACTGTAGGACTCTCTTCTGTCTAAGCATGCATTCTGCATTAAATGAATCTCACAATTGGTCGACCTTGGGGTTGACTCCTCCTTTTGCAACCCCCAGTGTCTTCAAGAAGCCCCCAACCCCCTAATATGATTTTTTTGCCTAAGGTTTAGGCAAAAAAGTTCTACAACTCTTAGCATGCCCAAGCTAGCCATATTGGCCAGGATCTGTTGGGAGTTATAGGCCTTTTTCCTGCCTGACCATGCATAGGATCATGCTTTACATTAAGTTATCATAGGATCCCAGACACAGTTATATTCCTCACATGCACAAACCCTTTGTTTGATTTGCAAGTGAAGGGGCCACAATTGGCATATTCCAAGTTGGTTCTCATATCCATGATGTTCTCTTTTCAGTTTCATGTAACAGGATATGTAACTTTTAAATTTCAGCTTAAGAAGAATCTGGCAGAAGAGAAAGTGCACAGTCAAGAATGGCTATCTGACCATTTCACACAGCACGGTATGCATCTCACTCTGTGACAGAACCTGTTTAGTGCAGATGAATTAGAGAAGCTTCTTGGAAAACCAGTTATGTACAAGGACTTAGCCTATGCAATATTTGCAGGCAGTCAGAGATTCTCTCCTCTTAACTGTGTTGCAAACCCAAAAGTGAAAGAGGAGGTATCCCATAAAAGAAGTATTTGTTATCTTGGGATCTACCATTTCTGCAGCAGTTGCTGTTACCCTGCATGGATCAGTGTTTGAGCCGTAGCTGTCAGATGAGGACAGGGTCCTGAAAGGTCTGACCTATCCTTTAATTATAGGCCTAGACAGCAGTTCTAGAAATAGACATTTAAGGCCATACCCCTCCACACGCTTTCTTGGGAAGAAGCTCCATTGGACACAATACGATTTACTTCAGAGTAAATATAGTAGTGCTGTGCTGCCACAATATCTATAAAAAGATAGTGATTCACAGAGAATCTACTGATTAATGAAAAAGAGAGGAAGGAACGTAAGGAAAGATAGTTATGAGAAGCCCAATTGTGTGTTCCAGCCAAGTTCTACCATAGCTTCTTAGAGTAAAGAATACAAATTAGGAGAAGGAGCTGAAGTACATCAAAGGATGTACAATCTCTGTTTTCTGCTATGATTGTCTGTATAACACACTTTTTTTTGAGAGCACAGTAAGCAGACATTAAATACCACTGTCATTTATCTTACTACTACTAAGTGAAGGCAAGAGCAGATATGATCATTCTGTGAAAAGGAGCCTAATAAAACTAATAATACAAATAACAGTATGGTGAATTCCAGTGACCTGAACTTTTGTGAAGTAAGGTTGAGAATCGTACTTTATGGCACTTACTCTCAAAAGACCCAGTGGGATATACTCTAAGTACGCACTGACCTAGACATTGTCAAAGCTGACTTTTTAAAATAATCTTCTAGCAACATCGCCCTCCTGTCAAGCTGAATTTACTCACTTGCCAAGTGAAGCCAAATGTGGATGACAGGAAGTGTTTTGATCTTATTTCACGTAAGTCCTACCTAATTCGTGTAAGTCCTTATTTCCTTAGGAATCATTTGACAAAGTAGCCTGTTTCTGCAGTATCATACAGGAAAGTTTATCAGTTAGAGACATGTGCAGAGTATGCAGGGAAAGAGGGACTCTCCCCTTACGTTGCAATTTTGTGGCCCTGAAAGTCATCCCTTTCTGGGTGGCTGTGGCCAATCACCCCCTAATCTACTGCACAGCATTATTTTGAGATCAAAGTAAGATAACCCTATGTGTGCTTTGCTGAGGACCTTGAAGAAGATTAGGATACAAATACAGTTTCCATTTTGTGAGGTGTTCAGATACTAAATAAGCATCTTATTTTTTGTGCATGGCTCACATGGCCAGCCAGTCCAGTTGCTATTTTACTTTTATTCATCTATTGGGCTTTCGTTGTTTAAATATTTGAACATGAGAAAATATTATTTGGGACATTATTTTCTATACTGCTGGTATTACAGTTAAAACTTACCTTATTCTTTTGTTTGTCTTCTGTTTTTTTTCAGATAATAGAACATACCACTTCTTGGCAGAGGATGAGCAAGAGGGTACTATGTGAGTATTAGAGAAGAGGGGCAGAGCTAGTCTAGAGGCAGAAAAGATGAGTCTGGAAAAGATAATAGCCTTCTGGCATGGTTAACTTTTGGAATTCTGTCCCTAGAAAGATTTGCTATATTTTGGTGCCAGATAAAGAGATCTGATGTGATTTGATTTGATATGATGTGATTTGAATGCCACTTCACTAGCCGTAGGCTCTCTGGGCTGCTCACATCAGTAAAATCCATGCAACAAACATAAAACACACAAGACAATAGACAATTAATACCAATAACATTAAAATCATAATGCTATCAAAATCCAATAAAATCAGAGTACACAAAATAAAATAAATACAATATGTAAACATAACCCAAAGATAAAACAAGGCCATTAAATTAATATTTTAACAGGTTAGCAGCAGTGCAATTAACAAATATTAAAACAGCAGTAACAAACTCATCTAATCAAAATAGCTACTGAACAGATGTGTCTTTAGTTGGAGCCTAAGAGTCAAAAGGGCGCCAACCGTATCTCTAGTGGGATTGAGTTCCATGGACACTATTTGCCAGGCCTCTTAAAAACTACAATATAATTTTATAGTATTAGTAGATGGTTTGAAACAATCCTGTAATTGCTGCTGCTGCTGTTAATATTTTATGATGCTCTGTTGTTTTAATTGCTTTTAGGCATTGGATTTAACTGTTAATGGCTCTAGGAGCCCTATTATTATTATTGTTATTGTTATTGTTATTGTTATTGTTATTCATTACATTTCTATACTGCCCATAGCTGAAGCTCTCTGGTTGGTTCACAACTTGAAGTCACCCTTTCAGATTTCAACCAGGCCTGACCCTGCTTAGCTTCCAAGTTTAGGCAGGATCAGGAATGGGCAGTGGAATACAACCATTTGTGAAATAAAGATGTTGTGAATCACCAAATCCAAAACCACCCACGAGTCTTGCAGAGCAGTCCATCAGGGGTGGAGAAGCCACTTGCTTTTATTGTCTGGCTTCAGCTGCAAAAACAAAGAGATTGACATGAACTTGGCATAGACTCAGAACAACGGTGTATTAGCATGCGATAAACCATAGTTTGGGGGCCGTGTTCAGCTTGGTGAATCGCAAGTTATGCAGCTTATGTATTAGGTAACTCAGGGTGCAGAAACTATTTCAGCTCATGAACCAAATTCCATCTTGAAGCCACTTTTGAGCTTGTATTCCGGTGGTGAGTGGAACTGAAGTCCAAGGGGATGGGGACAAAGGCAAGGGGGGCAGGGGCTAAATGCCAGATAGGAATCTGAGTTAATGGGCAGTATAGAAATAAATAAATATTCCAGTTGAAATCTCTTATGATCAATTCTTAAGCCTTCGAAGCAGCATTTTATCCTTTGTGAAGGGGAAAACACTGCAGGAAACCAGTAGGTGATTTTCAGAAATGGGGGTGGAGCCATGGAAGAAGGCATGTCCATCTTCTGTGTGGGTGGCATCCCATCTGTTCTTCCTTCCAAATAGCAAATAAACAGCTTAAGGTATAAACATTAATACAGCTTAAGGTATAAACATTAATACTAACATTAGCCTGTGCTAATGTTCAGGGTATATTTGCCTTGCATCTGTTTCTAATGAACAGGTGGAAAATCCTACTTACCTGACCACTGTTTCCTCCATTGTAGATGGGTCTCTGTCCTCAGCAATAGTAAAGAAGAGGCCCTGAACGTGGCGTTCCAGCAAGCTCAAGGCAGAGAAGGATGCAGCATGGAGGACTTGACTGCAGCAATTATCAGGGAGATAAAGCACATGCCAGGAAACGGCATGTGCTGTGACTGCTTGGCATCAGGTGCAAAAGGGGATCGCTGCTGCCGCTGCTTACTTTGCCTCTGAGTAACTGTGCAAGGAGACATGTCCAGTAACCAAACTGTAGGAACAGCAATGTGGTAGACATACAAGCACCATCTTTTGCTGAATACTACTTGGACTACAGCACCCATTGTTTCCACCCACATGACCAGGGATGATGAAGTGTAATCCAAAACTTTTGGAGCACACCAAGTTGGGGAAAACTGTCTTTTACCTTTGCTTTAGCTTAGCAATAGGACCCAAAGTATCTTCTCTGACAGGGGTGGGTAGACTTCAGGCTTGCGGGATCTAATTTGTTTGCTTGTTTCTTTTACTAGAACTAAAGTACTTGACAATTCTGAGCCCAGGAGTTAATTTTCATTGCCAGAACAGTGCTGAGATTATAATCCTTCCACATAAACCCACTCCTTCGTACCCCAAGGATCTTTCAATTCAGCAGTGTGTGTGTGTGTGGGGGGGGGTTCGTTGTTCCTACCACTTTTACACAATTAAGAGTAGAAGGGGACTAGCATCAAGGTGAACATGGCTGGCCACCTGCCAAGGGCCTATACCACAACACTGCCAAGAGTCCCTGCGGTTGTTCTCTTCTTTACCACTGCAACCTCCCTGTTCACTCCCCTCTCATTCTGGCCCAGACATATAGTTTTGCTCTCATATGCACAATTAGCCTTTTTTCTAAGAGTGTTGTTCCAATTCTAAGAGAGACTGAGTGTTCATAGCAGCATGTAGCTGCTTTCAAACTTTCAGTTAATTCATATAGATGAAACTCAAGAATTGCTGCTGTGAGCCTGTTCATGGGCTGCCTGAAAGAAGCTGGTGTATGAAAGCCCTTTTGGCCCAAATATGTATTTGGGAACAGGTTTTCTATTTATTTTCACCATGCATTTGCATGGCGGCAATGGTGCTGTCACAACCCGTCTTAGGTCAGATTATGATACTATCCTGATACCAATCTATGGAATGCGCTCCCCAGAGAGGTCCGCCTGGCGCCGTTACTTGTTTTTCGGCGCCAGGTGAAGACCTTTTTATCTAAACATCATTTTAATTGTTAATATTATTTGCTTATTTTATCTGGCCAGGGCAACTTATTTTATATTGTTAATTTGTTTTATATTTTTAATGTATTATATTTTAATTTATGTTGTGAGCCGCCCCGAGGCTTCAGTGAATGGGGCGGCATAGAAATGTTTTAAATAAACAAATAAACACTCCACCTGAACACCAGTGATCCCATTTGACTCAGAAACATGCTTTCTCTCTCTCTCTCCAGGTTAACTAGAGTAGTTTCCTTCAGTTGGCCTGTTGCTTTTCCATTTCATTCAGACACTGTGGCCATGAGGCATTTCAGATATTCTATATTTGAAATTCAGCTGATAACTTGTTACAGATATATTAGCAATGCCAGGAGTTCTGTGCTGTAATTGGCACTGGCTTTATGAATCTCATGCAATGATGAAAAAACATGATTGGAAATTACATTTTCCTTCATCAGGGGCTGCAGTAAAAATACAGATATATCATCATCAATGTTGCTCCAGAACATCAAAACAAAATGCTATGGACTTTTATAAATTCCATAAGTGGCAACTTTCCTTACAAAATCTATTATTAAAATACTTGTACAGATCTTAAAACCAATATGTTAGCATTTACATGAAAGTTCTATGTAATTAAGATGTGTTGCATCAACACAAGAGTAAAACATCAAGTCTAAACATTCATAATGCATTCTTATGATGAAAATAATGATCTTTTCATGAGGCAGATTTGTAGTGATTTTGCACCATGGTGTTAATCATCTTCAGAGTGGTAACGCTGACCTTATCTATGGTTATCCTTGCTTTACAGATCCAGCATGGCTTTCCATTAATTTGGGAATTCTGATCTGCATTGAATGCTCTGGCATTCACCGAGAGATGGGTGTTCACCACTCCCGTATCCAGTCACTAGCTCTGGATAAGCTAGCAACCTCAGAGCTTCTGGTAAGGTTTTGACTGTTCTGCACCACCCAATTTCACGATATCATTTCCCCTGCCTGATTGAGTCTTCTTTTTGCTAAGCTGGTTTTCAGGGCAGAGTTTTCTTTGCTTTCTTATTCACACCATTTCTTGCAGTCTGCCATCTCAAATGTACTTCCCATGGTCTTACCTCTGCTGCCAACCTAGTGATTCTTCCCTCCTTATCCTTACCCTTGCCTTGTACAGTTTAAGATCAACAAGACATAACCAACACAAAGATACTAATCAAACGCTACCATTTTTCAAAATTTCTTCTGCCCTTCGCTGTCCTAACATCTTACCCAAAATCAGTATGCTAACCTACAACACACACTTAGTGCTGACATGGTATGATTTGCTTTACTCTTAATTTGTATGTGATTTGTTTTGCAGTTGGCTAAGAATATTGGAAATTCACGATTTAACGACATTGTAGAAGCCAATCTACCCAAATCGTACCCAAAGCCTGATGCTGACAGTACAATGTAAAGGATCTTTCCATTTTCCAACATGATCTAAAAAGCAAGTGGGCACACAGTGCTTTGGTGTCACCTTTAATGCCACCTGGTTTATTGTGGAAATAATTTTTGGAGAGGTTTTTCCATCAGACGCATTGAAGTGGTTTGCAGTGGGTTGTATTCAGCAGTGTCCTTGATAGCACACATGATGGTGCACTAGTGGGAAATGGGTTCTGAACTAAGCACAAGAGGAGAATTCAATTACACTTATATTTCTCCAAGCTGTTGTGCAACATTGTGCACACTACATTTATTTATTTAAAACATTTCTATGCCGCCCCATTCGCCGAAGCCTCGGGGCGGCTCACAACATAAATTAAAATATAATACATTCAAAATATGAAACAAATTAACAATATAAAATAAGTCGCCCTGGCCAGATAAAATAAGCAAATAATATGTGCACCCATTGTGCTTTAGTCATTGTGCCATGCATCACAGAAGCATAATGTAGGTAGGTTATGCCAAGATAATTGAATAAGGATCTGCTTATGACATATTCTAATCATATGGGTGATATGGCTTACATTTGTAGAGAGTTACTATGTGATAAGGAGTGATTGTGCCTAAGGGCTTGTGAAAACACTGATTTCTGTGCTTCTGTTCCAGTTTAGAGGCCTAAGAGGATAGAAAAAGTCAGAGGAGGGAGTGAAGAAAGAAAAGACAGAGTCTCTGCTTGGAGTGATTATAATTCTCACTAAGATACTGGCTCATATTGGGGTGGCAACCTGTTCTCTGCTGGATGTTTTGGACTACAGCTCCCACAATCCCTTGCTATTGGCCATACTGGCTAGGGCTGATAATTGTAGTTCAAAACATATGGAGGAGATGAGATTGCCTATCTTATATGGAAAAGTGTGACTAAAAGCAGAACTGGAGCATGTGGGAGCAGGGAAAGGCCTGGGCTACTCTGTGTGCATTAGAAGTGTTCTGTTTTGTAATCTATGCAACCATTATTTTTAATATGCTGTAGCCTTGGCTTAAGTTTTTGTGCTTCTGCTTTTTAAGGCAAAGAAAACTTTGCCATTGACAGTATTTCTGCCAGTTCCACATCCATGTGGCCTTTTGACTCTGCAGGTTCTTCACTGCAGTTGTTTTCCCTGTATTATTACAGGACTCTTCGCAAGGATTTCATCATTTCCAAGTATGTTGAGAAGAAGTATGTTGCGCGGCGCATGATGGGGAGCCCAGCAGACAGACTCAGGGGCCTGCAGAAAGCTGTCAGGGAGAGGGATATCTTTGTCTTGCTTCAGGCATATGCTGAAAAGGTGGATCTGAGTGAGCCTTTGCTGGAGTTCAGCCAGGTGAGGCATCCTTCCTCCAGGAGCTGACAAATACATACAAGGCCAGGGATACAGATTTGTAGGAAATGTGCATACTCTTAGTTTATACGGAGAGATGCAAATCAGACAGATACATTAATTTAAAAGCCCATAACCATCTCTGCCAGTGAGGGAGCATTTGTTTTCTTTAAACCACAGCAGATCACAGATGTCCACTTTTCTCTGCTTTGCACTGAAAAAGCCTCCTTTTCTCAGTGCTTAGCAGTGAAAAACACATCCCTGGCAGATTTCTCTTCTGAGCAGAGGAGGCAGAGCCAAGGGAGGAGGCTGCGGAGTGACTGGGGCTGTTCACACAATACAAATCACCAGCAGTGCTTTTTTCCTTTTTAACCCACAGTGAGGCTGCAGAGGGTAGGGTGCACACAGCTGCTATTTTGCATGTACAACCTACATTTGGGTTGTTGTGTTGTGTGAAAGTGGTGAGTGTGATTTATGTGAGGAATGAACAAATCCTTGTAAGTCTGTTTAACCCTTGCATAGCCCACACTTCCTGGTGTCACTCCACATGGCCATCCTGATGTGGGGCGGGGGGGGTGTATTTGCAATGGGGCACCAAGGGGCAGTGCAGCTTATTGTTGGTTAAATGTCCCATGATGAGCCATGACAGATAATTGGAACCTGGTAATTTAGGCCTGCTTCCTTTTGAGCCTTGTCCTGCTTACTACTGAGTAAATAGAGAACCCTGCCTGGCTTATGGGTGAGTAGACACAGTGCTTGCGCTTGTATCTGAGCAGACGTGCAGAAATGTGTTGTTTGGAGTGCTTCTTGAATGTGCTGCTAAATTATTCTTTATTGCTTAATTCTGAGTAAAAGGCTCATTCTGCTTTATTTACTTACTTACTTACTTACTTACTTAGGGAACTTTTATGCCGCCCCATTCGCCGAAGCCTTGGGGCGGCTCACAAATTTCCAAACAGACATACAGACATTGCCCCAGTTATTTGAAAGTAGCCGTGCTGCTCATGCTTGCTTTTGTGTATACTTGTTTCCTACTGTAAATTTATAACCATGAAATTTGGGCTGCTGGTGGATTTTTTAGACCTTGCTCCTTTGCCTCTGTCCCTACTTCTGCCTTTGGTCTCATAGCATGTGGTCCTGAGAGCTTCTCCAAAATGGAGTCTGGTGTCCTCACCCAATTTAAATACAAATACAACACACATTATAGCAGGGAAGGCTGTTGCTGGATGACCTGAATGTCCACTCAGTCTAATATTCAGGTGATAATTGTTGCTATGCAATTGTAGGGCCCTCGTTCTCCCTTTCCATGGTCCTTTCATCTTTACCAGACTTCGACTGGACAGCCCTTCAGGAGGGGATGTTTTCAAACAGAGGACTCTCCACAGTAAAGTAGGACTAAGGGTAATCGTAAGTGGGAAGCATGCAATGCAGCAGTAATTGTGCAGTTTTTGGTGAAGAGACATTGGGTTTGTAATCATGTGCCTAGGAGGAGAATAATCAGCCTGGAGTCACTAAATATTATTGTTTTGGCTACTGGACTGTTTCTCCAAGGTCATTTGTTTGCATGACAAGGAAATAAAGTCATTGCCTCTTCCCGCTTTTGATTCATTTCCCCAGGGTTCATGCTCTCCTCCCTCCTATACCCCGTTTTTCCTCCCTTCCATTTTTGCATTTTCTGTGTTTTGTCAAATTTAATTAACAAATTAATTAAATTATCCCCCTATTTATTAATGAATGCACAGCAATTTGGACATCCTTCTGTTCCAAGATGTACAATAATTGCTAAATTGTTTTTAATGTCTGTTTCTGGATACAACTCAAGTTGCAATAGGCTGCAATTCTGTGCATTTTTGTACAGAAGAACTCCTGAAACATGGCTGGCTGGAGAATACTGGAACGTGCAGGATTTTCTCCTACCTAAACTTGTATAGGATTGCACCCATAATGCCCTATACAGCTTGGAAGCAGCCCACTTGAAAAACTGCCTTCCCCCATACAAGATTACCTGAGTTCGAATTCTTTGGGAGAGGCTGTTCTATTGATGCCTCCCCACCTTCAGGGGAATGTTTGCTGGCTTTATTGAGCGAGGTTGGCTTTCTCTTAACCCTCCTCCTGCTGGCAGGCAAAGACAAGCAGGTCTTTGGTGTGTAAGCTGGTCTATTGAATTGTGTGTGTGTGTGTTTTATTCTTTCATTCTTGTGTGTCAAATTGCATTTTGATGTCCTTGTTTTCCTATTTTTAAATCTTTTTTCAAAAACAGACTATAGTTTCTTTGACTCTAAGCCACCTTGAGTGACATTTTCTTGGTAGAAAGGCAAGATACAAATCAAATAATAACAGCAGGAGACTTCTTGGTTGAGTAGATGAACTGCAAGTCCAGCAGGGAAGGCTTCTTTATGTGGGGAGGGGGAGAAGCTGCTTGTTTGCCTAAAACCGCAGATCTTGTATTGCTTCCTTTGTGGATGGGAAAGCGTCTGCAGATGAAGTTTTGAACAGGCCCTTCGAAACTTTTAAACCACCACTTGCAGCAAAAGGGTCTGTGGGTCGCGGAAGAATGGCCAAACTACACAATAGCTTGTCCTGAAGTTTACACAGGGTGTGATCATAGCAAAAAAATAGCTTATGGCCTGTACAAGCCTTCTGCTGATGTTTTTGCTTGTGGATTTTTCTCTGAGGAATTGATTCCCATGATGCTACTTCTGCACTGATTCTCAAGGAAACATCTATACGACTTGGCACATAACTTTGTTTGTTTCTTGTTTATAGGAACCCGGGGAGACTCTTCTCCATCTGGCTATTTTAGAGTGTGATCGAACTTCTTTGCATATTGTAGATTTCCTGGTGCAGAACAGGTTAGCTGACTCCATGGGACTGCGTGACAGATCTTAGGGAGCTTCCAGATGGGGTTTTATTGTGCAATTGTATTGTCTCATTCACAGAATTTGTTGCCATCTTCCAGTTTATGGTGTCTGATGGGTTCTTGGTTGCTGATCTAAAGCTTCCTCTCTGGTACATTGGAAAAAGAACTTTAATATGCTCTACATATTTCCATTTTGTGAAATGAGAGATGTTTTATCTCTCTGGTCTTACCTCTAGGGGCGCTCTTTTGCCACAGCATGGTTGTCTCTTTGTAACAGCTTCATCTTAATTGCAGGATTTCATTTGGTCTCCCTGCACAATACTTGTGCCATTATTAAATAAGAATTCCTAGCTAAGGTAGAATTCTTGCAGTGCATTCTAGATCTTGGGATGGTTCATGCATACATGAATATCACTTGATGACTTACAGCTATCAAGTGTAAATGTGTGAATGAACTCTATGAAAAAAATGCATTTGGATCAACTTGTGCTCCCTGAAAAGTATTTCCAGAGGGTTGGGTCACCCTCCTGAACAATGGAGGGTGGTTGAACATATGTGAAAAGTAAAATCACACCAAACCAGTCTTGGAATCTAAGGTAAGTTAACCTTAAAGAAGTTCATGAAAGAAAATGTTCACATCATCAGTCCATTGGCAGCTGCTGGGCCCATGCCATGGTGTGCAAGGGGTGTCTACCAACTGTCCAAAGAGATTTTTCAGGGAGCATAGATGGCTGCAGCAAGGAGGTGGTGATTGGAAACTTCCCCTCTGTGAAGTTCCTTACGTTAATTTATCCTAGCGTCTAAGTCAAGCGGCTGCAGTCTTTGAGAAATGAACATGTGTGTGGCTACAGATGAATGAATCTATCAATTTCATTTTCTTCCATATTTAATATTGGAAATCTCAAGTTTTTCCCATCCCAGATATGAAAGAATTTGAAATTATTGGCACATTTCTGTAAAGGTGAAATGAAATTCAACAAGTAGGGCTATTTTCAGGATAGAGAGGGCCATGTTGTACCTTTCTTCCATATAGCTGCTGAAGATGAGAAAAAAAAGATGTGGCAACTTTAAGTTGAAGGTACCAATTCAAATCCAGACCTTTAAGAGCTAAATTTCAGTGTCCTGGATCTGGATAGATGAAACTGTTGATCCAGATCCAGGACACTTCTCCATGATCTTTTTTCTTATTTTAATTTCAAGTTCTACCATCTGAATAGAAAGAAATTAGTGAATGTGGGTGAATTCTTATAAACAAACAAAAATCTCCCCCATAGCTAATATGAACCTGACCAGTTTGAAATCTATCCCATATGGGGCCATCCTGTCTTCTGAGACTCCTTCTACCCCCCAAAGCACAGCAGTTGATGACAAAGAGTTTTGCTGTTCTTAGAAAAATACTTCCCATGTATATTTCATTACTGTTTTCTCCCAGATTGATCTCTGAATGCAGGCAACTGAAAAGGTGAAGAAATAGCTGGAGAGTATGGAATGAAATTGGCCAACAGCGAAAGGAAAGATTGTACTTTCATAATTCTCCCTCTGGCAGTTTTTACACCATGTAGGAATCGCCATTAACAGATAAGAAAACTAAATGCTGGAGCGAAGCAGAGTGATGTCAGCTGTTCTTGACACTGTGGCAGTAATGGACAGTTCCAATCATTTTTGCCTGCCTGTTAACTCTATAAAACTTGGGCCAGAGTCTATCGTATAACCAACCCTAGATGATATTGCAATACGGTCACATTTATTTGGAGTATAAAGGTTAAAGGTTAAGCATTTTGTGGAGAATGCCTTCATTACCAGTTTAATAACCTCCAGTGGAAATAAGTTGGCTTACAAGGCAAATAGACAACAGGGCTAATCATTGTCTCTCGTCCAGTGGCAGCCTCATGAAGCAGACATCTAAGGGAAATACTCCCCTTCATTACTGCAGCCTTCACAATAAGCATGAATGCATAAAACTTCTTCTGCGAGCCAAGGCCAGCATTGAAATCAGTAAGTGGTTACCAAACAAACAAAAATCATTTGGGGTTAGAACTGGAAATGTAATTCTAAATCCCCCGTTTAGCCTTATTCCTCTCTTTTTAACAGTAATGATAATGTTCAAAACGACTGTTGTGGCTGTAATTCTCTTTAAGGTAGCCTACTTGAGTTGAGTCCAGCTCAATATATCAACATCTATTGGACTGACATATTTCAGTACAAGCACACTGATTTAATTAGTTTGCATAGTGTTTTTAATTTTGTAATCCTCAAGCAATTTAATTCAGAATAAATCAGTGAGGGGGCACTAAATTCTGTGGATCTATTCAAGAGAACACATACTTGCATTTTGCAGAGATTAGATTTGTTGCTTCAGTGCATTTAATACCAACAAGCCACAAAGTGACTACATTTGAATGGCTTGATAAACTCTGGTTTGTTGTGAGATGACAAGCAGAGCCTTCCCCTAAGCTTGGTGCTTCCCCTCTATGCTCCTTGCCTCTGGTCCAGCTGCAACAGAAGCTTTCATTTCCAGTCTTGATTGCCCACAGGTTAATGTTACATTCAAGCACAAAATTGCATTTAATCTTAACTCTGGTTTGTTTGAAACTAGATAAATAAGCTTGATATTGGCTTATTTCAAACAAACCATAGTTTGTCAAGTTTGGATCGCACAGAAAGTTGTGCTTGGTCAAGAATGGAAGTAAACGCTTCTGAACTTTTCCTTGGGAAGGGGAACTGAGGATCATGTGAGCTTGGTGGGATGACAAGTTTCATTTGCATCACAATAAAGCATGGCTTAATCACAAAGAAGGCCATTCTTTGCACTATTGCTTACCCTTCTGAGCCATCCCATGGGTGTTTCAGTATAGGTTATATCACCCTACTCCTGGTGCTGAGTCAAGAAAGGGTGTTCCCATGGGATATGGCACTTTCTTTTCAGGGGAACTTTGCTCACCTTTCTGGGCTGCTTCCACCTTGTTCTATATAGAATGCATATCCTTCTTTCCTTCCATTTTACAAAGAAGCTAGATTATGTTGTTATCAAAGAGTTACACTGCAGGCTTTTCTGTGTTATTTTCCTGTATTTTTCACACCTCTTTTTTCAGCTTTCCCAAGTTGCCTCTACCTGATTTTCCTTGATCCTCCCTTATAACTGCAACTCCGATCCTGCATCCCAGGCCCTTCTTTTGGTTTTCCCAGCCCCAGGAGATGCTGTTCTGGAAGGCCAGTGGGCTGGAAGAGAGAGAGTATTGCATTCACATCCTTATGCTCACATGTCACCAAATACCACCCATCATGAGATTCTGTTTTATACTGTAGATTTAAACATTTAACTTCTGTATTGCATTTTATGTTTCTAAATTGATTTTTAAATTCCTGTGACTTGCTTAGAGAGCTTCAGCTAGTAGGTGGTATAGCAATATTTTTTTTTAAAGTTAGTGTGCAAGCAACCCTTGCTTATGGCAAAAGCTCAATATCAGAGTCAAATCTGTCAACAGTTACCCTCAGTATCACTTCTTTGGTGACATCTGATATTTTTCTACAGCTAATCAAGCTGGAGAAATGGTCCTTGATGTTGCCAGACGAATGAAACATAGTGTCTGTGAAAATCTGGTAAGAAATGCAAGATTTCTCTCCACTTTCCAGCCATGTGACAGGACCATGCAGCTACAGACTACAGGGACTATAAAGTTATATACACATTTGTTTGTAGTATTTATACATAAAACATTTTATTTATGTAGGATTTTTAGTTGCGTTCTGGGGTGCAAACACACCTGCCTTCCAACACTAGGCAAAATTAAGAAACGTGTGACTTTGAAAAGATCTCTTTTCAGGGATTCACATGTTCTTTCAGTTATCCTTGCCTTTTGGACATGTGTTAATTTTGCATATGTGCCCTATCTTGTTCCCTAATCAAAGTCACTTTTCAGGTTTATATAGCAGTTTAAGGTGCAATCCTGTGTATATTTGGACAGTCATTCCCTGGTTAGCATTTTTGGTGAGGACTTAAGAATATAACAGAAACAACCACTGTAGACACAAAATCTTGTCTAGGTTGATATACACCTTTTTTGTTGCTTAATTTTTCCTTATTAGATAGGTTTGCTTATGTCAAGAATAATCAGGCTTAAATCTGGAAAGATGCATCGCCTGGCCATAAGTACAACCAGGTAGCAATTTATAATATTGGGAATATATTATAACTCTGGAGAGTCCTTTTCCTTTTCTTTTGATATTGACTCACTGGAAGTCCTGAAAACAAAAGTAAGTAGAAAGTACAGCAGCAGCTTTAGGATTTGCTTTGACATTTTTCCTACAAACTACTAATATGAGCAGAATCTGAGGATTGTCTGTGTATTCCAGTTACTGCAAGCTCAAAATAACCAGTTCAACATGCGTGCTCATGTGGAATATGAGTGGCAGTTGGGCCAAGATGATATGTTTGAAAGTGATGATGATCTGGATGAGAAGGTAAAGAGTTAGACTTTTGATTAGTTGTTGCATGAGCTGATTTTGTTCATCGTTTCCTATATTTCATTTGCACCTGAGACAGCGATCCTTTCCTCATTAACCAGAGAGAAAGTCCTGTTTAAATCAATAGTACTTGCTTATGAATAGAAATTCATGGAATACTCAACATTTTCCAACAGACTATTGGTCACTTGGGTAGGTTCTGGCAGGAATTATATGACAATTATAAAATTGTATTGATAGTCTGCAGAATAGACGGACTCCCAAGAATACTATCTAGGATTATTACTAGGTGTCATTGCAAACAATATATTCCAGTCAATATATATTATTGTAGAAACCTAAGTGTGCTTCAATCTGTGTGAGGTTGTAACTCATATTTTAATCCAACAATTCCTCACCAAGGAGGAATACCTGTTACTGTACCCAAGACTATAGTAGGATCACCTGCACACTTTTATAAGAGAACCACTTCTATTTTTATACATATAACAATGAACTTTTTATCACAAATATATTGTAAGCATATCACAAATAAGAAAATGCATAATTATAAGCATCTAAAATATTTAATTGTTATACTTAGGATGAAATCCTATGCACATTTGGACAGAAGAAAAACCTGCACACCTCCAGCATGTTCCAGGCAGCTGTACTTGGAGCTGTAGGACTCTTTCCTGTCTAAAAATGCAAAGGATTCCACTTCTAACTTCTCATACTCTAATACTTTACTTTACTTTAAAGTGTTAATTCACGGACCATCATCTCTAGATGCCTTCTCTTCTTCGAATCAAAAATATTTGCATAGTTGAACAAAACCATCACTTCTGTATGGTGGCAGAAAATCAATTACACATTTCCAGCAAACATATATGTTCTTTTTAAAGAACTTATTTTCCCTGTTACCTCCAGTACAGAAGAGATAATACAGGAGGTATTATCAAAAATAAGATAATCAGGCATTTCAGAGAGAGAATTGAAAATGTTTATTAATGGAATTGCTATTGACTAGTTTCACTGCTAGTTTTTAACTATCCAAGTAGCCACAACTATATGAAATTCTGTATTATAGTATCCCTTGGATGGAAAAATGCATGGCTTAGCAAATGGGAACTGTTCCTGCTACCCTTGTAAATGGGCAACTTTCTCAATATTTTTACAGTGTAATTTTTAGTGTCTGCCCAGAGGTAAGCCCCATCCTATGGAGACTTCTGAGCATATATTGTGCGGTCCTATGCATGCTTATTCAGAAGTAATTCCTACTGACTTGAATAGGACTTACTACCTAATAGGTATGTTTAGGATTGAAATTTGAAACCACAATCTTTGCCATGTTTACTCAGAAATACGTTCATTCTGTTCAATGGGTCTTTTCCCCACTGTGTTGGAGCTCTAGTCCTGTGTCGCTTTACTAAGCAGTAAGTCCCACTAAAATAGTGGGACTTGCTTCTGTGTAAACATGCCAAAGATTATTGCTTTAATGTGGAATCCTACATATATTTGGGCAGAAAAAAGTCCTACAGTTCCCATGGTTCAGTAGGGCATGCTAGAACTTGTAGGACTTTTAAACGTGCATAGACTTGTGTTTTTAGTCATAAAAATCTTGCCTGAAGAGAGAGGTTTGACAACTCTTTTAAAAGGGCTAATGACATATTTTTGCATAGAATTCTTTTGCATAGAATAACATATTTCAGGATTGGATCAAGAAACCAGGTTAACTCACTAGGTGCCATTGTTGACTCCTAACTGAACATGCCTTGAGGGAGGAGGAGGAGGAGATGATGATGATGATTACATTCATTACACATCATCAAAAGTTGTTTCTGCATTTTCATGCACTCTGTGTGTCCTGTTTGCACAAATGGCTGTGAAACACAAGGAACTTGTGTTAATGTGGTCTGTATATTTCTTCATTTCAGCTCAGTCCCATAAAAAAAGATCGCTTTAATCGTCCTCAAAGCTGCTATAATCTGCCTGGAACAGCCTCTCAGTCCTGGAGAAATCCAGCTGACTTTTCGAAGGGAGCAAGTCCAGCATTCCAGGAGAAAAGCCATGACCTATATGCCAAGCCTCATGCTTCTCGATTGGCTGCAGCAGCAGCATCCTCCCCTGTCTCTGCCTGTACAGGACCACCGCTGCCTGCGCGCAACACACCTCGAGGTTAGACAGTCCAGCTGCATCATGGTATTGTTTAAAGGTTTAGGTTTATAGCCTGAAAACCACACCAGAATTAATCCCAGGTTAGCTCATTTCCTTCTGTGCTGTGCAATCTTTCCCCAGCTGTCTAAATCCTCCTTTCCCCATTCTGTCTGGATAGAGATGTTGGGTGCAGTATTTTTCAATCTCCAAGATTCCACAGTGTATTATGTGTACTGTAGACCTTAATATGTGGTTCCAGAGTAAGGCTCATATGGTTGATGCCTAGCCAGTGTTTCACCCTATTTCTCAAGAATGTATTTTAGCAGGGATTTGTTGACACTTAGAGAAGGAGGGATGGGATGAATGCATATTATTTGCACTCACAGTTCCCATCTGTATGAAATGGACTAAAATCCATTATGGCTGCTTACAGCATTCACTAAATTGCCTGCCACTGTCAAGAGCACTTACTGCCACAGATACCAGGACATAAAACCTTGATTTGCATCAGCCACAGGCACTAGGATATTGTTTAAAATATACAGAAATAAATGCACATTAAATGTACTGAACTAAAATTGTCCTAATTGGATTCTATAATTTATATTAAATACTAATGCAAACATGAATACATAAATGTAAAAATAAATACTAGGCCTGCCTTTTGACAGGAGCTATCAAACCTCAGGTTTCCTTTTTTGTTTTTTAAATATGAACATATGTATAAATATATGTCTCTCTCAGAAAGACTTGATTAGTCTGTCAAAACCCCCATTTTAAATGCTGCTGCTCTATACTGCTATTAAATGGGTAGCTTGCAGTTTTCTGTTTTCCCTATCAGGTATGTTAAATAAAAACAAAAACAAAAGCTGGAAGATATTGCTGTGAAGGGGTGTGATCATCAGCAGGGGTTCTGTCAGTTGCAGTGGTTCAGCAAGTGATTTCAGCAGGTGTAGGAAGGGTTTTGTTGGGCTCACCACTTCCCTGTACCCATGATGGGGCTGTCTGCCCAGTTTTGGAAGACACAACAACCCATTCTCCAGGTAACAAAACCTGAAGAAGCCACCCTACAGAAAGCAATTAAGATTCATAAAACATGACAGCCCACGACAGGTTGCCACCCATGATGGGTTGTTGTGTTCTACATACCCAGTCAATATGTTGAAATATTCTAACAAGACAATATTTCTCAAGTAGAAATATATTGAGTTATTTTTTAAAAGTTCCCTAAATTGTCCAACTGTACTAAAGTTATTTTCCTCTTCTCTGTTGAAGATTAGACCAATCCTTTGTTTATATACCATCGTTTTGCAGAGAGTCTCTTTAATTTGAAAGCATCTGAAGATAAAGGCCTTTCTCTACACATCTGATGATAGTTCAAGGCAGCTGCTATTGCATGGGCTTAATTTAACAAGAATGCTATCCTTGTATTTATTTGTCAGCTCCCAGCTTTCCTCCCCCACCTCCTCCATCCAGCTGGCCAGTCTTCCCTGCAGATATGGCACCTAGGAAAATTCTGCCTCCACCTCCAGTGATGAGACATAAGCGGACCTCCTCAGAGCCACCCTCCAATGCACTTCTGAATGACACCAGCCCAACTCAAGGTAAATGAACTGACCATATCAGTTGAGTCCTTGAGAATTTGATAAAGGATGGGCATGAAAGACATGAACAGTTAAAACTGCTTTACAATGGTTGAGGCAGTAGCTCCATCAAATTCAGTACTGTTCATTATTGCAGCAGACACCTGTCCAAAGTCTCAGAGAAGATCTTTCCAAACCTTGATATTTTTGTAATATCAGAAATGTTTGTCTGCAATCCTGATAATCCCCAGTATTGGTGGCCTTGAGCTGAGGGGAGTTGTAGGCCAAAATATTTGACAGGTGACAAGTTGCCTTCCTCCATTTTAACAGGAGTAACCAGGAACTTCATGCATGCAAGGAGTCTTCTCTGGTATATAATCTTTTGATGCTGTTCTAAGATTTATGTTGCCACACTTTCGTCTGTTACTTAAAATAATTATTCTGCTATTCAAGTTGAGGAGCTCTCAAATTTAGGGGGTTCCCAATAATAAGCACAGTTGCAATACATCTTGGAGGAATGTTAAGTTACTGTGGTAAATTGCTGTGATATTAATACTCAGAAAATTCAATAATCCCATAGCAGAGAAAAGACAGAGTTTATGCACTTTTAAAAAATTCATCATCATCATCATCGTTATTATTTATTGTGATAGATATTTAGTGAAGATTATGGGTTGAGTATCTAGAGGGACTTGGGCATCATAGGTCTAACTCATATTGAATGCATGAGTCATCACATTTTGCAAGCCTGTAAATAGTGAATTGAATCAAGAGCTGGTGAACTGCAGTTTTCATTTGTCTTACCATTTGCGAGTTCTGTTTGCCGTGCTAAAAATCCCTGAAAATATCACTTCAAAATGACTTTATCCTTTATAAGTATTTTCTTTAAAATGTGGCCATGTATTAACAGTGATATGGCTCTGATATTGTATATGCTGAGTCACTGTTTATTTGAATCTTTTATGTGACAGAAGGCATCAGCATCTCTCAACAGCATTTTGAAATAAGCCAGAATAGAGGAGTAGGACATATGTATTCCCTGCTCTTCTGTGGCAGTAAATAATCTGCACTTAATTATATGAAGACCAGCTGCCTCTGCATGTGGACATAGATAGTGGGAATGGAGCATCTGCTTCCTGAATGCAGACTTTGGTCAGCTCTATCAGATCAATTCACATGACTTTTTGACTAGTAGTGAAACTACGCCATGAAGTTATAATGCACGTGACTGTCTTTGTGAGTATTCTGACATGCTGAGATGGCCATTTAAATGCTTCCTAGCTTCATCCATATTCTGAAAGATTTCCAAGAGGTGATGAGACGTATTATGGACATGTGTGACAGAGCTGTCACAGATAAATATTGGTAAATATTTACAAAACTAGCCATTTTTACAAACAGGAAACGTACACCATGTCTTCACTATGTCTTCTGCTCATCAAGAAGATAGTTTTTTCATGAGCTTATAATCTAGTCAGATCCTCCCTTAGAAGCCAAGTAGCAATGTTGTCTCCGTCTGTCTCTTATCAGACTCCAGATGCTTCTCACTTCCAAGAAATTGCTCCCCAGAAGGAACTTCTCCTAGCAGTCTGAGGTAATAGCATGTGTGCCTTTGAAGCAGCTGAGCTGGGGTGGGCTCCCATTTAATGCTCAAAAGTAGCGAATAGGTGTTGTCACACAAAGTCTGAAACCTGTTCTTGTGTCAACTGGTTGGTACTGTTGTGAATATAAAACATGGCGAAATCTACACTGGTCAGAATGCTTATTCACACTATAGCAGCTTTCTGCTTGCAAAGCAGGTAGTGTGAGTGTCTTGGCAGCAACTGTTCTTCAAATTTCCAGTGGGAAATGTGGGATTGTTCAAGATGAATGAATGCTTCTAGCCCTTCTCTCCCTTCACCATTTCCTCTAGTTCTGAGTCTTCTGGACTCTCTGAAGCAGTGCAGTCCTGGGAGCCAGGTAAGCTTGTTGTATCAAAGGCCTCTACTAAACTGGGGTCCACATATCTTTTTTCAGGTAGGATTTACATTGAAATGGCACTTTCCTTAGTACTCAAAATTTTACTGCTAGAAAAAACTTTTGGAAGTGCTTTAGAACATGAATGACAGGTGGATGTCATGTGTGATTTTGCTCTTTTTCTCATTTTTCCTAAATGAACCTTGTTCCGATCTTTCGGCAAATCATTCTGCAAATTTATTTTGGAAATGCTGCATGAAAAACCATACATATGTTGTGCATATTTATAAAAATGTATGTATTCTTGTGTGCCCATACACACACACACACACACACACACTTTTTGTATCAGTAAATGAAGAAGAATTTCTATTTTTTGTCTGGAATGTCCTACCATTCAGCTTTACTAGGTGACACTGAGTTTTAGTATTATGCAAGATAAACAAAAACTTTTCAAACTATGATATTATACACCTCTATGATATAACCCCCTACTTACCATTTTTCTAAACGAAACAGTCCCAGATGTTGTAATCTTTCCCCATGGGGAAATTGCTATAACCCCTGATTATTTTTTGGATGCTCCTTTCCCAGCTCTATTATACCCTCCTATACTGTGAACTCTTCAGTCAGCAGTGACTGGCATGAACGTTATCTAATTAAAAAATAACTTCCCTTTTCCTCAGAGCAGCAGCAGTGATGTAGCAACCATGAGGAAAGGTTCTTAGCAGCTGTGGCAGGTGCCATAATTAAGGTGGTGGAGTGGAAGGGTAGACAAGTGCCATGTTGTCTCTTCTGAAGGAGAGCCATAGCTTGGGAGCAATATATAACAGCCTGAGCATTTGTAATGGTATTATCCCTTCCTCCCTGATTTTTTTTTTTTTTTTTTTGGTTATCCTTCAGAAGTATCCTCAAAGTGACACAATGTGCCTGCTTGTATTTCAGCTGTGACAAGAAAAACAAGTATGCCTTGGTTTGAACCAAGCCAAAACCCAAGAGAGAATCACTGGGCTTCCTCCCACTCACTGGAACCACCAGATGATGTTCCACCACCACTGCCAGCAAGAGGAAATGTGGTATATTCTTAGTCTAGATGTGTATTTCTAATCTAATTTCATTTTAGTAAAATGTTACATTTTAGTGTGCCATTAAGTAGGCTTTGCATTTCATGGACCTAAGCTGCTTGTTCCTGTGCAGTAGGAAGTCTCTAAAATGACACCTGAAATATATAAAACACTGATCAGTTTATGCTCCTGAGAAATAGGAGGTAGTGGAAATAGCTTAGGACCTGGATATCTGAAGGTGTGTCTCCTTCCCTACATGCCTTCCTGCCTCTTACGATCTGGTGCAGAGGTCCTTCTTTGGGAGCCCTCCCTGAAGGAGATTAGGAAGGTGGGTACCCGAAGAAGGGCCTTCTCGGCAGTGGCGCCCTGGGTATGGAATGCGCTCCCCAGAAAGGCTCTCCTGGCACCGACTTTGTATTCTTCTTGGGGCCAGGCTAAAACCTTTTTATTTAACCATTATTTTAAAAGTTGATTAGGTTTATAGTGCATAATTGTATTACTGGATGCTATAGTTAATTTTTATCCTGTCCATTTTTATCCTGTTTTTATTGTAAGACTGTCCCAAGACAGTGGTAGTCAGATGGTATTAAAAAACCTTAAATAAATAAATAAAATTGAATAGAAATTGATATCTCCATAGTGAATTCATGCACATCTTGAATCAGAATCTATTAAATATGGCAAAGCAAACAGATTGTTTCCTTGTTTCCTTCAACGGATACCATTAATCTGGTTCAGAGGTTGGAAATTTATTTTGTGATGGACCCATCTTATGTGGTGAGAAATGCTTCACAATACAAATGGGATTTCATTAAGTTAACCCTTTAAATGTACCAATTTGTCCTATGAGCTAAGGGCACATGACAAGATGGCCAGAAATTCAAATGCAAACATGCTTGAATACTCAGCATTTTTTTTCTTGCCACAGCGCTTGCTTGTGCACATGTAAGTGATGAAGTACATCCTCTTGAATAATGCTCTCCATGTCTGCAAGCTTGACATTGCTTACTGTTGTTGATTTTCAGAGGAAATCACCTCTGCTTCGGGTCAAAGCCCTTTATAATTGTGAGGCTGATCATGAAGATGAGCTAACTTTCTTTGCTGGAGAGGTCATAATAGTAGATGGAGAGGAGGATTCCAGTTGGTGGGTAAGTGACTAAACTCTTTCTTGGGTGATTACTGAGGAATCTTTATTGCTGTACTAAACCTTATTCCATTCCCCCAGGACTGTCTGCAGCAATGGGTACTCCCAGCAATGAGCCCTGTAGTGGTTCCTCCCCAGTATCAATAGGCCATTTCATACCAGGTTTTATCCAGTATTAGTCTGATTTGAGTCTCATTCATTTCATTGGCTGAAGGAGAAACATTAGAGAGGGAAAGGCCATAGTTCAGTGGTAGGACACATGCTTTCATACAGAATGTCCCAGGCTTAATTCATAGCATCTTCTGGTAGGGTAGGAAAATGGTGTCTGAAATGGTTAGGAGTTATTTGACAGTACTGAGTTAGACCATTGGTTTGACTCAGAGTAAGGCAGCTTGCTATGGATACAACCAGTGCTTTTTTTGCCGGAACTTACGTCGCCACCGGCAGTAAGCACTCAGTGTGCGACCACACACACCAATCCCAAGCCGAGCAGCATCCCAAGCCAGCAGCGCGGACACAAAAGCAGCCCTCAGGCACTATGTTAATGATGTTTGCTGCTGACCTGCTACGCCGACAGGCAATTCAAAATCACTTCGTAAAATCCATTGGAAAAAAAGGTGCCGGAATGCCGTTCCAGTGTGTTCTATGACAAAAAAAGCCCTGGATACAACCCAGTGATTCTACCCACCATTTTACCCACAGTGCTCCGAGCTGCTGCTGTACTGGGGACATTGTGAGAAAATAAAAATGACAGCTGGACCCAGCTGCACAGCTCTACCAGTGGTCAGGGCTTAAAAAATACAAACTAAAGGACAGTCCGAGGTGACTATTGGATAGTCGGTATACAGTCCTGGGTCCTACTAAGACTGTAGCAATAGCAGCTGTCTGCAGATGTCTTGCTACATCTCCTGTCTCCTAGAGCTACATGCATGAAGAATGATGGGACTGGAACTGAATTCACTTATTTAAATAAGTTATGATCCCATTTATAGCTTGATTTCCCCCCCTCTTGCACAGAATTCAAGGCAACATTCCTTCGTTTTCTCCATTTTACTCTCTCAACTCTGAGGTAGGTTAACCCGAGAGTAAGTGACTGGTCCAAAGTTACCCACTGAGCTTCGTGGCCAGGCAGGAATTAAAAATTACACTAAAGTGCCAGTCCAATGTTCTAAGATTATACCACACTGGCTCTCAGTGTGCCAATGCAGTAATTGTGCAAATGTGTTTTTCTGCAGGTATTATAAGCACTGTGCACATTTTTAAAAATTCTTATCTGTTAAAATGGCCTCACCATTTTTACCGTTTGTTTCACTGTTTGTTTTTGTTTTTGTAGTTCGGCAGGATTGAAGGGCAGCCTCACAGGAAAGGTCTCTTCCCCTCATCGTTTGTTTACAAACTAAATGAATAGAAAGAAGGTGGACAGATGAAAGGACATGTACATTATTTCCTCCAAAAATAGATGTCTCTGCTTTAAGAGGGCTTCCTGCAGAAAGCAAGCACAAGACTTTGGAAGCATCTCTCTCATGTCCTCACTCAGCAAGATGACATGCTGGACCAGGAATCTAGAACTGAAATGCCATCACATGGTATGGTGCATACTCTGTTTGAGTCATTGGTAAGATTTCCCCTGATTTGAATAGAAGAGGATTCTACAGAAAGCATGCTATCTGTTCCATAAAGAGGATGAGGTACAAATGAATTGAATAAAAATTGCTTCTTTCATAAACCTTCACAGTGGCCCAGGAACCACTTTTTGTGATGCAGCCCTTCATTGCTATGGTGTACATGCATAGGAATTTTCCCACCCAGTTATCACCCAGCTCTCAGGATGTGGAATGTTCTAGGTGGAAAAACCTAGATCTTGACTGGACTTTTCTAAGTGATAGCTTCATCCCCATACACTCCCTAAAAACATGAGATCACACTGTAGGGAAGCAGTTACTGCTCTGCCTACATGTGGCTTCCTGGGACCAGTTCAAGTATTTGACATGGAAAGCTCCCCCTCTACTGTAATGCTAGCAGATCTACTCCAACACTGAAAAGGAAAATTATTGTAGTATCTCATGTGAAAGTGCCTTCACCAACCATCTGTGGAGCTGTGCTTGTATGTCAAGACTAGAAACCAACACATTTCAATTGTCTGTTCTAGGAATTCACCACCTAACATAATCCAAACTATTACATGCTAGAAGGAGAAAAGGAAGGAAGCAACCCTAAAAATTACTTGTTGAGTCTATAGCACCGGATGGCTGAAACAAATGAGACAAAACAAACTACATAAGAAGAGCTCACCGCTCCTCCCTCTATTCAAAAACAGGAAAATATTTTTTTCACATTCCAGTATAGTGAACAATCAGTTCCTGTCATCCACAAAGTACCTAATTTCCACATCTATCCCATGCAGCAATCTATTTCTACCTACTAAGCAGAGCACCACAACCAAGAATTTGAACCTGCAGAAAGTATTTTCCTGACACTAATTGAGATATCAAAAGAAAAAAAACCACACAAAATATTTGCTTTTGTAAAAAGCCAAACTTTGCCATGAAACCAGAGAAAATACTGCTATAGGGAAGCTAAACTAGGATTTCATATGCAATCATTAGAAACCTTCTTAATTTCCAACCTAGATTTATTACTCTTCTACTACTTCTGGTGCATTTGTAGAATTAAATAGCATATCTTTCTGGCCTCCTTTTTCCAAGTTAACCAGAATAGTTTCTTGTATAAAACCATATGATTTCAGTGAGCATTTGTATTCAACGAGGCCAGTGTTTTCAACCTTTCCACAGCTGGGGACTGGAAAAATAGGAAAACCACCTTGGGGGGAGGCAGAACCAAAAAGCACCAGACACATAATACAGTATTCTTTGTATTCATTTCAAAAGACAATACCAAAACAAAATTGAAAATTCTTCAAAACAACCAGAAACCAAGCAGCAAAAAATGCCACCAAAAAACCAAAATACTAAAATTGGTGCAGGGTGGCTTCCCACCGGCTCCCACTGAGATGTCTCTCCCCTCCCTGGCTCCCCAGCAGCACTGGCGCACCCCGTGAACATGATGCCAACTGAGGAAGACGTGGTGGAGCACAGACAGCCCCGCGCTAATCTACAGTGAGCAGGATGTACCCCACCCTGCATGGGCCAACAGGGAATCTGCAGACTGGCACCAGTCCGCAGACCAGTGGTTGAAAACCACTTATCTCAGGTACCTAGGAATGCCCCACCTGACATACCCAAAAACCTGTGGTTACCACTTTTGCAACTGCATTTCAATGATGGTTCATACACTTTCTGTGATTACCCAGATCCTTGCATCTCTTTCCTGTCTCCATCTTTTCCATTGATAAAATTTCCACCTAAAGAAGCAACAATTTTAGTCCTAAATGTTAAACCGTCTAATTTTATCTCCTGTTTCTTATCCCAATTCATCATGAAAAAATATTCTGGTCTTTTATAGAATAGTACAATGTTTCTATATGTGAGAATGTTCATTTTGTGTGTCCGCCTTTAAATAAATCTTTAAGTATCACTCTGTTTTGTTTTGAGGCTATTCTAGACTCTGATAGTAATTGTGGTTGTTAAAAATCCTTCTGCTATAAGAAGGTTTTGAGTTATGAAGCTGGAAAGCTGCATTGGAAAAGAAAGCATAACTTTTATGTATGTTTACTGCTTGAGATATTTCAGTGTGCCAATATATAAATTAGAGTAGTACAAATAACCCTAAGAGAGATGTCCACATGAATCCTGGTTAGCATACTTTACAGTTATCCCAAGCGCAGAAACAAATATGATGGAATGAATTGGGGGAAGTAGATAATTTTCAGAAGTGCCCAGAACAATATGATTTTATTGGTACACCAGCAGAATTACAAACAGCAGGAATATGTATATACTGTGTTATAATGCCTGTGTAAGGAATTGGGGTTTAATATGCACACATCAGGTATACTATTGTGGGCAAGATTCCCTCAGAAAAAGTGGAGTAGACTTCATAGTCAATAAAACAGTAGGAAAAGCAGTACTGGGATACAATCTCCAAAATGACAGAATGATCTCAGTTCGAATCCAAGGCAAACCATTCAACATCACAGTAGTCCAAGTTTATGCCCCAACCACTGGTGCTGAAGAGGCTGAAGTTGATTGGTTGTATGAAGGCTTACAACACCTTCTAGAATTAACACCAAAACTGATGTCCTTATCATCATGGGGGATTGGAATGCTAAAGTAGGAAGCCAAAAGATAACTTGAATAACAGGCAAGTTTGGCCTTGGAGTACAAAATGAAGTAGGGCACAGGCTGGTAGAATTTTGTCAAGAGAATACGATGGTCATAGCAAACACTCTTTTCCAACAACCCAAGAGACGACTTGGGTTGGACACATGGGCATCACATGGACATCACCAGAAGGTCAACACAGAAATCAGATTGACTATGTGTTCTGCAGCCAAAGATGGAGAAGCTCTATACAGTCAGTAAAAACTGGACCAGGAGCTGACTGTGGCTCAGATCATGAGCTTCTCGTTGCAAAATTTAGGCTTAAATTAAAGTAGGGAAAAGCATTAGGCCACTCAGGTATGACCTAAATCATATCCCTGATGAATATACAGTAGAGGTGACAAATAGATTTAAGGAATTAGATCTGATAGACAGAGTGCCTGAAGAACTATGGACGGAGGTCCGCAACATTGTACAAGAGGTAGCAACTAAAAGCATCCCAAAGAAAAAAAAATGCAAGAAAGCAAAATGGCTGTCTGAGGAAGCTTTACAAATAGCTGAGGAAAGAAGGGAAGCAAAAGGCAAGGGAGAAAAGGAAAGATACACCCAATTGAATGCAGAATTCCAGAGAATAGCTAGAAGAGATAAGAATGCCTTCTTAAATGAACAGTGCAAAGAAACAGAAGAAAACGATAGAATAGGGAAATCTCTTAAAGAAAATTGGCGATATGAAGGGAACGTTTCATGCAAAGATGGGCATGATAAAGGACCAAAATGGCAGGGACCTAACAGAGGCAGAAGAGATTGAGAAGAGATGGCAAGATTACACAGAGGAACTATACAAGAAAGAGCTTGACATCCCTGATAAGCATGATGGGGTGGTCACTGACCTCGAGCCAGACATCCTGGAATGTGAAGTCAAATGGGCCTTAGGAAGTCTGAGCAACAACAAAGCTAGCGGAGGTGACAGTATTCCAGCTGAGCTATTCAAAATCTTAAAAGACGATGCAGTAAAAGTGCTACACTCAATATGCCAGCAAATTTGGAAAACTCAACAGTGGCCACAGGATTGGAAAAGGTCAGTTTACATTCCGATCCCAAAGAAGGGCAATGCCAAAGAATGGTCAAACTACCGCACCATTGCACTCATTTCACATGCTAGCAAAGTGATGCTCAAAATCCTACAAGCTAGGCTGCAGCAGTATGTGGACCAAGAACTACGAGAAGTACAGGCAGGGTTTCGAAGAGGGAGAGGAACTAGAGATCAAATTGTCAACCTACGCTGGATCATGGAGAAAGCTAGGGAGTTCCAGAAAAACATCTACTTCTGCTTCATTGACTATGCTAAAGCCTTTGATTGTGTGGATCACAACAAATTGTGGCAAATTCTTAAAGAGACAGGAGTACCAGACCATCTTATTTGTCTCTTGAGAAACTTATATGCGGGTCAAGAAGCAAAAGTGAGAACTGGACACGGAACCACTGATTGGTTCAAAATTGAGAAAGGAGTTCGGCAAGACTGTATACTGCCACCCTGCCTATTTAACTGATATACAGAGCACATCATGAGAAAGGTGGGGCTAGATGAATCACAAGTTGGAATTAAGATTGCTGGGAGAAATATCAACAACCTCAGATATGCAGGTGATATCTCATGGCAGAAGGTGAAGAGGAACTAAAGAGCCTCTTGATGCAGGTGAAGGAGGAGAGCGCAGAAGTTGGCTTGAAACTCAACATTAAGAAAACTAAGATCATGGCATCCGGTCCTCTCACTTCCTGGCATATAGATGGGGAAGAAATGGAGGTAGTGACAGATTTTATTTTCCTGGGCTCCAGGATCACCGCAGATGGGAACTGCAGCCAAGAAATTAAAAGACGCTTGCTCCTGGGGAGGAAAGCTATGGCAAATCTAGATAGCATACTAAAAAGCAGAGACATCACCCTGCCAACAAAAGTGCATATATGGTTTTCCCCGTTGCAATGTATGGCTGCGAAAGTTGGACCATAAGGAAGGCTGAGCGCCTAAGAATTGAGGACTTTGAATTGTGGTGCTGGCAGAGACTCCTGCGAGTCCCTTGGACAGCAAGGTGATCAAACCGGTCAGTCCTAGAGGAGATCAACTCTGACTGCTCTTTAGAAGGCCAGATCCTGAAGATGAAACTCAAATACTTTGGCCACCTAATGAGAAGGAAGGACTCCCTGGAGAAGAGCCTAATGCTGGGAGCAATAGATGGCAAAAGAAGAAGGGGATGGCAGAGAATGAGGTGGCTAGATGAAGTCACTGAAGCAGTTGGTGTGAGCTTGAGTGGACTCCGGGGGATGGTGGAGGACAGGAAGGCCTGGAGGAATGTTGTCCATGGGGTCGCGATGGGTCGGACACGACTTTGCCACTAACAACAACAAAATTCACACATACTTCAATATAGTGCCCAGCCATCTTGCTTGCCATTCTATTATACATATAGTGCTCCCACCAGTACTAAAATGCTTTGAATGATCATTTTATGAGATTTTATAATCTGATTGTTAAAGATTTTACATAGATATACAAATATGAAGGGCTATCTGGCTACTAGTCCTAATGGCTCTCTGCTATTTCTGATATCAGAAGTAGTATGCCTAGGTGCACTAGTTGATGGTGAACATGGGTGGGAGGGTGTTGTTAACACCCTCCCACCCATGTCCTGCTTGTGGGTTTCTTGTGGCCATCTGGTTGGTCTCTGCATGAACAGAATACAGTGGTACCTTGGTTCATGAACTTAATTCATTCCACGATTCTGGTCGTGACCCGAATTGGTTGCAAACCAAGTCAAATTTCCCCATAAGGTTCAGTGTAAATATGGTTAATCCATTCTGAACCGTTATGTTATACATAAAGGACGGCATATAAAAGTTATAAATAAATATGTTTTTTGAAAAACCAAAAAATATGAGTCACATCCCTGGGCTGCAGGCCAGGCCGCGGCTGCCTAGCCAAGCCCGGGGGCAGACGGGCTGAGGCAGAGCAGGAGGGGTGTGTGGCTCCCATGCCTTATCAGGGCAAGCCGCCACTGCCGAGCCATGTGTCTTCTCCCCGCGGTGGGGAGAGGCAGGAGGCACCCCACTCAGCCAGCCACAGCCCCGTCCCTCATCTTGGAAAGCAGTCCTTACCTCCCTTCTCGCAGCCCTCTCCTGGCTGGGGGAGCCGTCCCACGCCGACCTCTCCAGCCTCCTGCTCCCCTCTCGGAGCCGGGCAAGTGCCTGCGAGGGGACCTTCCTCCGGCTCAGAAGTGGGGTGGCGGTGGGGATCTGGGAAGGCCTCGACCAAGGTGAGCGCACCCTCATGGATCCCCCTCGTGGTGGATGAGGAGAAAATAATTGTTTGGAGTGTTTGTGCAGAGAAGCTGGCTGGGATCGCGATCGTGGTCATCACCCAATGCGGAGTTCGCGAGTGGAGGCAAAAATTTTCTGAAATTGTTTTGGTTGTGAACTGAAGCGTTCGTGAACTGAGGTACCGCTGTACTGGGCCCCTTGCCTGAACCAGAATAGCTGCCCTTATGTTCAACCCATGAGATCAAGGAACTGGCCCTTCTGTCTTGTGGCACCCATACCTTGAAGAACTTTGCTAGAGGAAACTCCCTTTAACAGTATTCCTCTGGCAAGTTAAAACACTTTTTGAATAGAAAGAAATGGGGGGTTTTTTTGACGTTAAAACTGCTAATAAGGACTGCCTGGTTTCACACAGATCCACATGCTATAAGATCTAGTAAAATTTTTCTCTGGGTCTTTCCATACACACCACAATCCACTGAACAGAAAATTGAGAACAGGCCTTTTCTGTAGCAACACACTAGTTGTGAAATACCCTCTGAACGTCCATCTTTTGCAGAGGATGGTGGGATACAGTCTGTGTGCACAGGCATTTCATGTGGAGAGGTGGGTAAGCCAGACTATATATTTATTTCAATGTCTGCTTGCCACCTCATTGCCAAGCACACCACCAAATAATAGCATACCAATTGGTATCGTATTTACATATGCTTATTTGTGGGGCACTTTGAGAAATGATCGCTATCAATCATGTAAATATATTGTGACCAGGTACCCTGTGTTCCTCCCTGCTTCGTCTGTGGTACAGATGCTGTTGATGGGCAGTGTTAAGGTGCCCAGCATTCTCCTTTCTTTCAGTTCTTTCTCTTTATTCCAGGCTTGAGTCTGGCAGACCTTCAAAACAAAGTTTGTCTTCAAATAGAACTGTTCTCTGTGAAGTTGGGCATAATGGGAAGTACATTTACAAAGTCAAATAGCATTAGCAGAGGTCTGCTGAATCTGTCCATTGAGTAAACATGAGCCCAAAAATTATGTGCAACAGATTGCACAAGCATCGTGTACAATCCCTTGTGCAACCAAGCTTATGAAAATGTACAGGAATTAGATCTTTCTGTTGCACATAATTCAGAACTAAGTTTCTGCAGGCACAACATCATTTGCACCGCATTTGGGTATTGCCTGAATGATCCCACCCAGTGAAACATCCTTACATTTGATTATCTTTTCTAGCTTCTTTACTGCTGCCTTTCCAAGTCTCAGACTTCTTCAAATTTCTTGGCTGCAGTTTCCCTTTGAATTGATGGCTGAGTGAAGGTATAGAAAATACCTATAAATTAAAAAAAAATTCCCTATTCCAATTTTTTCATTGCTGACATTAAAGTTCTGTAATTCTTCTGTAGTCATGATTGCTGTTTTTTTAATCTTCAGCTGTAGTCCCACTTCTGCACTTTCTTCTTTCACTTTTATCAGGAGCCATTTGACCAGCTACCATTGTTTAAAAACACACACACAAAAGAAGAGAGGAGAGGAGGTTCTCAAGTGCCTCCTGAAAGGTACCTCGAAGCCAAGAAAGTATCCCATGTTCCAAAATACTGGCAGAGAAAGATAAGTAACTCCTGAGGAAGGAAATACCTTTCGGAAACATCTGGCTTATTAAAGCATATTCAGGCGCTTAAGCTTATCTTTGGTCTTGTGTTTTTGACATACCTCCTACTTCCCTTCTTGTTTTCCGCCTCCCCCCGCCCCCAACTACCAGCTTAATCACACACTGTCTGGTTATGTGTCATATTGACTAGCGGATAAAGAAACTACTGCTAAACATGCTGTGGGGGCTTTTCCTTCTTCGAGGTTAACAAGGCAGTTGGTTTCTAAAGTTTGTGTCCTCTGTCTTGTTTGACTAGAATTAATTTGTTAACTTCCTCTTAATTCTATACAGTTCCTCTTCAAAATGAGCCACTTGCAGCCTACATTTATAAGTCCTCATGATGGTATTGAACACCACCTGCAAAGTGACTAAGATTCACATAGGAAGAAAATGCCACTTTATCTTCATGTCTTCTCAGTCTGAACAATGTGATCACCAACATCTGAGTAAGGTAAGCCTCTGGCAGTGCTAGCAAGCCATTTTTCAGTTTCTCTAGCTAGGAGACTGTAACTTTTTAATAAAATGCATGGTATCTGGCATAGCCTGTCTGCTCATGTGATCCCAGGCTTTTCTTCATGGATTTTCTGGAGTAATTCTGCTCTGCTGTGGCTTTCCAGGCTGCTGCTAATGTTACATTATGATCCTAAGCGATGCTGTTTCACAATGCCGGCAGCTGGAAGAAGCCCTCTTGAGGTGCTTACCAGGTCTTTCTATGGACTTGTGTGTGGCTAATGCAGACTACAGAACTGCAAACAGGCTTTTGAAATCAAATGTACATTTTGTCCAATATAGGTCTGACGATTGCATTATAGAGCTATTGAGATAAAAGAAAACTGACACTTTTGCTTTCCTGTATGGCTCCTTCCTCTGGTATTTTCCCATAATTTGGGGACTGAGCACTTTTATATAGGGCTGCTTTCAAAGGTATGGAGCAGTATCTGGCTCTATTGAAAATCAAATTAACTCGTGTGTGCATTTTAACTTTTGTTAAGTGCTCAGAGAGCTTTAGTTATAGCATGGTATAAACATTAAATAATAATAATAATAATCATTTCCATTGAACCAGTGAAACCCATGTACGTGGTTATGGATGCTCATTTCATATTATTTTTACATAATAAAAATAATTATGTAAAAAAAAGCAGTGCTAACTCCCTTTCTACAAAAAAGCAGTGCTAACTCCCACATAGCATGAGGGCAGCAGACAAAACCCCATTTTAATTCCACCATGAGGTGGAATACTGTAATGATTTAAGTGAGCATAAAAATGCAAACTCTGCATGCGGTCAGTCCTTTTGCCAAACTTTTTTGTTTTTGTTTTTGTTTTTTTTTGCAGGGAGGGGGCCTGCAAAATATTGTGAACGTAGCATTGCAAAATATGGGATGAGAGTGGGGAAAGAGAAATGCCCTTCTTCCTAGATTTGTACATTTTATTTTTCCCTGTCTCTTTATCTGACCTATCCATTTAACCTGTGAAGACTAGTTGTTGTTTTTTATAGACACACTTACTTTGGAATAAGTTTGAACTCAGTAGCACTTATTTCTGAGTAAATATGCATGGGATCAGTATAAATACACTATGTGTATTTCTCTGGTGGTTGTGCTTTCCATGACCATCTAAAGGACATGCCCTTGTAAGACCATGGCATTCTGAGCCTAAAATTATGTGAGCACACCACTTGATCATTTATTCTGGAAGAGAGCCTTTTTTCTCATAATAGATGCTTACATGGCTGGAACACTTTGAGGGAGTGCTGCAAGCTGACCTTTCTGAAGTACTGCATAATTTGTAGAAGCCATTCTTAATAAAACCGTAATTACTTTGCTAAGGCTTCATAATGAAATTCTTAAGGTAGGTTTGCCCCAGTCCCTGCCTTTCATTATTTTCATTTTCTTCCAGTTTTGTTTGTTCTGCTACCATGTGCTTCTCTGCTGCTCTGGTCTTCCTGAGTTTCTTGTTTTTCTATATCTGTCATTCATTTGTTCATTCAGTTAGTCATCATTATTATATCCCACCTCTTTTCCTGTAAGGAACCCCATAATCCTCCTCCTTTTTTCCATTTTATCCTCATAACAAGCCTGTGCAGTTGGTGAGGCTGAGAGGCAATGGCTGGTCCAAAAGGAGCTTCATGGCTGAAAGGGGACTAGAACCAGGTTCTCTTGAGTCCCAGTCTAGTACTCTAGCCACTACAGCACACTGCCTCAGTGAGTCACCTGTACCCTCACACACCCGTACATCTCTGTTGGAGTGCAAACGAAGGGCAATCTCAGGCTCTGTGGGCTTTGGGAGTAGCTAGGGCCGCACAATATCAGGAATGCTTACAAACTGGGCTAACCAGTTGCAGCCAAAAGAAAGGTGTCTCTTGGCTGACAAGTTAGTTGCATTGAACTCATATTGAAATCACACAGAAAAATAACCAGAATAGAAAGCTGACCTCTAGCAACATGTGCCAATGTTCTTTTTGAAAAATGTCACAGTGCTAGACTTTTCAACCTGCTGACTGGTGTCTGACAAGTATCATGGGTATTTCCCTCTCTGTTCCAGCTTTCTGAAGATGTGATACGTGAATGGAAATTTACACTGACAGAACATTGGTTGGCTGAGTTAATGGAGAATGAATGGAACCCAGCATCCTTCTGCTTTGGGAGTTGCTGAGCTTCAAAATGTTCCTCCTTTGGGAGCAATAATGACTTGTAGAGCAAAAGGTTCCACTTGGGGAATAAAGTTATACTAGATCACATGATTGCTTTGCCTCCTGGAAGCCTTAAGTGTGTGATCTAAATGAAACTGATGGGGTGAAGGATGCTGAGCAAGGGCAAGCTGTGGGGCATCCTGGTCTTGAGTATTGTACTTTCCCTGTGGAAGTTGTACATGTCTGTGCATACAGGCCTTTCTCATTCCTCATACAGCCCTGGCCAATGGCTGTTGGCAGACACCATCTTGGACGGTAAACCTTGCAACTATAGCAGGTGTCATGATGTATGGGATTGGTTTTGTGAACACTTTAATGCTTCAATAAACTGCCTGCTGACTCCTGAAAACTCGGAGATTCCACCAGAGGTCCTGCAGTGGTGGTTGGTAAGTACTACATTATATTAATAAGAGCATGTTGACCAAAACACCTGGAGGGGCAAAACTCCCATCAGCCCTAGCCTGCATAGCCAATGGGGAGAGACTGTGAGAGCTGCAGGCCACTTGCAACTTCTACAGTTGCAAGCTGCCCATTCTTCTACAGATCAATGAGGGAGTCGCTGTGAACCAGCAAATCTCCTGGATAGAACAATGAGAAGTATTTGGAAGCACAGTTGCTTCCTCCCTCTCCCCTACACAGTTGTTTCACCTCAAGAAGGCTTTACCCATGGTTTGTAGTTGTGTGCAAGAAGACACCCCACAGAAAAAGCAGCTTCTTTGCTTTCTGTGCCTCCATAATGTTCTCATGGCTGTTCCTTACAGACACAGGAGTCATGTTTGCTTGAGGCACTGGCTGTCCCAGTTAGAAAAAGTATCTCTTTTGAAAAAGTATCTCTTTGGCCAAAGAGATTTTCAGTCAATCAGGTGGTCCGCCAAAGGTACCTGTCTGTATATTCTATTTAATCATATAGTTCCACTTTAGGCCGCTCTAGACTGCTTGTCTGATTTATTCATGCATCTTTTTTCTGCCCAAAGAAGGATTCTGAGGGGACTTAAAATTAAAATGTTTAAATGATTTTAAAGCTTAGAAACTTCAGCAACAGCAGAACTGCAAATAGTATTTAAAAACTAGTATGGAATTAGTACATTCAAAATATTAAAAAGCCACATAGAACAAAGATAGTTTAACAGCCCAACAAAAACTGAACGGGCCAGAACCATTTTCTTTGGGAGAGGGTTCCATAGGTGTGCTGCTGCCACACAGAGAGACCTTTGGTCTGATTCAGTATTGCTGTCCTTACGCTGTTATGACCCCAGTCTTTTACCAACCTAGACACTTTTGGTGGTGCAGCATGAAGAAGGGCACTGGAAGGGCATCTTAAACTCAAAGCATGTTGCAATAATTTAAATGGGGGTGGTTAAGGGATAGATCACTGTGGCCATATCTTGTTTTGTCACAAAATGATGTAATTGAACACCAGTTGAAGCTGGGCAAACACACTCCTGGCCACATCAGCTACTTGGCCTCTGGGAACAATGTTGGCTCCAAAAGCTGTACACTTGGTCTTTCATAGGGAACATCCGCCCATGGAAATGTGGCTGTACCTTTAATTCTCAGTTAGTTTTTCTATTTACCATAGCTGTTACCTGGATTGAGCCTTAGTTTATTAACCCACATTCAGTCCATTCCTGTGTTCAGGCAATTCTCCTGTCTTGAAAATATACTACTGGGAAGCAGGATTCATTTCCTACCCAATGCCCTTCTGTTTTGTTCCACAGAGGTTGCAAAGATCACATAAAGGGAAGCAGGTCCAGGAGATCATAAAGCACTTGTTTGACATTCTTCCATCAGCTAGACTCCAGGACACTGTCCCATGTGGAACATGTGCTGTGGTGGGGAATTCAGGAAGGCTGAAAGGCTCTAAATATGGAGGTGAAATTGACTCTCATCAGTTTGTGCTGAGGTAAGTAGCACAGAGAAATACCCCAAAGCTAAGGAAGCCAGGGTCTTGGCCTAATTTCAAAATCTTCTAGAACTGATTTGTTCAGATCACTGGCAGAAGAGATCTGCCCCTTCTCTGGCTGGATGCTGGATGAATGGGGAGGGGGGAGGGGGGGCAGACACTGTGGCTTTGAACAGATTATCCCTGAGGGCATGACCACCTTGACAGAAAAGAATAATCCCCTCTATTAAGCGTCATACCTTAGGATAGTGTGTGTGTGGTTGCTGCTGAGACATTGCTGCTGAAAGGAACTCCTCTTAGCTCTTATAATGTATTATTATAGCAACAGCATGAAAAATAACAAGTTGCTGTTTGCAAGAGAGAAAGATGTGAACTGGCTGAAAGTGCCCTGGGGAGCAGCGTCTATCTCTCAGGACTTGCTGATACAGGTGAACAGAAGTGTTTGTCTCCCTTTAACTTGTAATTTAATACTGACTTGAGTCTTCCTGTGCACATGTAGCTGAAGACAGAATGACACCACCCAAGGATTTCAGAGTTGTGCAGATACCCAAAATATTTTAAATGCAGGAATATACCACCTAAGATCATGCTATAATAACTGAACATAATAGCATGGGACATTGACAATAGAACAACTGAGTTGAAGGAGAAAAATAACTGGTTGGGGGGAAAAGAAGCTAGATATACAAGAATCAAGAGAACTCTCTCATGATGTGCATGGGTCAGTGCCTAGTTTACACAGAAATGAGACTTTAAACTGTGATGGAGGAACAAGGACCACCACCCCCATCAATTAATTAAATGTACCAGAAATAAGATGCAAACGCCTCGCTCTCTCAACCAATGATGAGTGAGCACTTTCAATAGGCATGGTATGATGACTACCCACCTTAGAGAAAAAAATGAACACATGATGTGAGGGGGCATTGGGCTGGGGTGAGCGAGAAGTAATTTATACTGCAGCATTTTTGTTATAGGACTCCTCTTGGAAAGGCAGATACAAGAAAAATGTTATATGTCCTCCATGCTTTCTCCTCCAAAGGAAACCCAGCTAAATTAGTGATTATACCTCACTACTCAAGGAATCTGGGAGTACACAACAATGTGTAAACGGCTCACCACATGCAAACAGAGCAACTAACTACAAAGGAGGAAATGCAGTTTTAAAAGGTGGAGAAAGTTTTTTGGCAAGAGTAACTTTTCCTGCAGGGAAAGAAATATTTGCATTTGCAGAAATATATGCTGAACAAGTATTTATGTGAAAATTGACTTTCCTAATACCAGTGGCTTTCAGGAAAGTGTAAACTGAAGGGTTTCTGTACAATAAACCCAGTCTATGATGTAAGCCCCTTACACATGTTAGAAGCGCACGATGGAGTCTCAGCCACATGGAAGAAAATATTCAGTGGCAACTACATTGCCTCCATTTACACATACAGAGTGATCCTTCTTTGAAAGGTGACAGATATGCCACATTCTGACTAGTGAGGCAAATTCACAAAGTACAATTTCAGAAGGCATGCTCAGAAACAATATGGCAGGTGAAGAGGTAGTCCTGCATTCATCCTTATCAGCTCAGATCCTAGAGCTTCTCTCCATAAGGCATTTATCATGCACTTGTGATCCCTCACTTGCAGAAGCTTGTGGGGCTTTTTCATTATGTCATCATTCTCCAGGGCCTCTCCTGTTTTCCAGCCATTTTCATGGCTTATTTTAGAGTCAGGAAAGTCTGCTGTTTTCTGAGCCAGCACCCTAATTTGCCCCATTTTTGCATTTCCATTGACTACCCCAGCACCACCTTGCACTTGTGTAATAGAATGCATAAGAACAAATGGAAACTTGAAGAATGGAAAGGCAGAGAGTAAAATCCTGAGGGAAAAGCCTTTTGTGGAGGATGATATAATCCTCCTGCAAAGAAAACAGATGCAGCTTCAATAAAATGGTAGGCTGTATGTCTCATCTAGAGAAGCCCTTAAGGTAGTAACCAACAGTGTCATTTTGCAAATAGCACTAGGGAAGGTTCCCCAAATCTTCCAGTTGCACAGCACATGCCTGAAAGTCATTGTTCAAGCATAACTTTAATTATATGTCTGGCTTCCGTATAGTTTGTAGCCTAGTTTCTACTAGTGCCATGTCCTTTGTGAAGCAGAGGAACACAGTTGGATACTGTTCTGTATAGCCTTGGCCCCACAGATGAAAAGACAGAGATAAAAATAACACCATCATCTATTGCCATGCCACCTTGAAAGCACCTGATCCCTTTGATCTTAGAATTAAGGAGCCTGGGCAGGGTTAGTACTTGGATGGGAGACTGTCTAGGAATCCCAGATATTGTGGGTTTCTTTGGGCCACAACAAAGCAGACCAGAGTCCTGGGAGCTGAGCCCAGAGAATCCACCATATTCCCACCTCCAAAACTAATTCCTCACACACCCAGACTCAACTGTCCTTATGTGTCTGGCCTGGATGTTTTGTACAGACACATCTGATGGTATTCTTGTGTCCACTTAGGATGAACACAGCACAGACTGTGGGTTTTGAGGATGATGTTGGAACACGAACCACCCACCATTTCATGTACCCAGAGAGTGCTGTGGACCTCCATCCTGGCATCCATCTTGTACTGGTCCCTTTCAAACCCTTGGATCTTGAGTGGCTAGCCAGTGCCTTTTCCTCAGGAGCTATCCAGCAGTGAGTACCTTGCCTACCTAACTAGAATAGGCAGTAATATGGTGACAATCTGTGTCCAGGCTTGTGTTTTCCTTGTATTACAGACTTAAGGATGTAAGAAGGATGTTGGATCAGGCCATGTTGGATTTATCTTGTCCAGAATTTTACTCACAGTGGTCAGTTAATTGCCCATAATAAACCATTATGGAAGACTTGAGAGCGATAGTACCCTTCGGCCCATGTTTTCCAGCAACTGATGTACACAGGATGCCAACCCCATCAGAGGCTCAGAGCATTGTAACTAAGGGCCTTTTTTGTGGTGCACCCCCCCCCCCGGAACAATCTCCCTGCTATGGCCTGCCTGGTGCCAAATCTGCCATCTTTTTAGCACCAGGTTAAAGACAGCCCTCTTTGTAGAGGCCTTTAAAGATTTCCCGGGTCATCCACAGGCCTGATGGTGCCTTTTTCCCTTCCTTCTTGGCCACGTCTTTTAAAGTGTATTTAATGTATTTTAATGCTATTTTCTGTATTTTATTTTTTGTTTTATATCCTGTTGTAATAATATTTAAATGTATTAAATAAATGTATTATTATTTAATACATTTCTATACCACCTGTAGTATAGAAATGTATTAAATAATAATAGGCATGCTGCCTCTGATACTGGAGGTTGTATATATCTACCAGGACTAGTAGCCATTGCTAGCCTTCTCCATGAATTTGTCTAATACGCTTTTAAAGCTGTCCAAATCTGTGGCCATCACTACACCTAGTGGAAGTAAATTCCATAGTTATGTGCTGTAAGAAGTGCTTGCTTTTATATGTCCTGCGTCTGTCCTGGGGATGACTGCAGATTCTAGTATGATGAGAAAGTGAAAATGCATAATTTCTACACCATGTATAATTTTGTGCCTCACTAACCCTTTTCCTAAGTTAAACTTTTTAGCTATTATAACTTTCCCTCATAGGAGAGTTGTGCTAGTCCTGTAATCCAGTTGTACCAGTTGTCCTCTGTATTGTTTCCAACTGTACGATATCCCTTTTTAGGTGTGTGACCAGAACTGCAGATAATATTCTAAATGTGCTCACACTATGGAATTATATAAAGGGAATATGATTTTCAGTTGTTCAGTTTTCCTTTCCCAATTATGCATCATATTGAGTTTGCCTTTTTCACAACTATCACATACTCAATATTTCATTGAGCTTTTTCTTGGCCAGTTATGGCTAACTCAAATGCAAATAGCTTATACCTGAAATTGGGATTTATTTATTTTCTACTTAGTATACGTTACTTTACACCTGCATACATTGAACTATTAGCATTTTGATGGCCACTTAACTACTGGAAGCAGATTACATTGTTTACCATTCCAGGATTGAATTTTCTTAATGATCAGTAGACGTAAAAGGAGACTGATGTGTTTCTGAGTAGCTTTGAATCCAGTCCTTCATCCAGAATACTTCTGGATTCTGGCAGTGCTGCAAATACATTAGCTTTCTCATCCAGTCTTAAATTGATCGAGGCATTGGAAATATGCTTGTAATCACAGCAGGCCAGTCTCAGTACCAGGGAACATTTTCATTGCTTCATTTCAAGGCAAGGGTTTCATGCAGTATGCCCACCAGAGGCGGAGGAGCAAATTAGGAAAAAAGGACTAGAACAAAGTACTAAATGATAAATGACATTCTCTTGTTCTTTTCACAGCACATACAAAAGAGTTAAGCAGTTTGTTGAAGGTGACAAAGACAAGGTAATGAAAGCAGCAATATATCACTTCTTTGCTTCAACAGTTCCTGCCATATAGCTCTTTAGCAGATCATTTGTTTCCTGAATTTTAGTTAAAGGACCAGCTTATGTTAGTTGAGAAAAAGTAATGGAATAACAGAACATTCACTGTGATTCTTCAAAAACTTAACAACTTTGTGCATTTTTAACATTCCAAAAAACTAAGTCATTCCTCAAACCTTTGCATCAAACAAGGGCCCACACTGTGAGTACCTCTTTAGGAGTTGTTACTTAATTTTGCAAAGGGTACAATCCTATGCCCTGCACCCTTGATACATGTAAGCCCCTGAACTCCAAGGCCTGTGTGCATCCTATGGTTGGAATGAGGTATTTTATCTAGCTGGCTATTTTCAGCTATCTAGATAAAAGTGCTGGGAAGGGGCAGGGAAAGAGCTGGGACTAGGGAGTAGCCTAAGTCCTCAGCCACAGCCTCTGCCCTTCCTTGCTCTCCTTTCCCTCTCTGAGGCCCAGCTGTGACCTGGAGGGGGCAGCCAGCATGGGTTTTTCCATGGCAGCTGTGGGGCAGGGGCCCAGCCTTCAGAGCTCCAGCTCTGAAATCACAGGCTCTGAGAAATGATTCTGAACCATCTTATGGCTTTCCATGCAACACTGGGAGGCCATAGACTTGCACCTTAAATGGTGCTAATGTTGCTAGAGTCGAACCTGTAGTACAAATTCAAAAGAATAATCTAATTTGGGCTGAGGCCTATTATAATTGTAGTGACTAACTTTAAAAATGTAAAGCCTGTTTAGATCATGGATGGAGTGCAAAGTAGTCCACAAAAGCTTATGCCATAATAACTAAATTAGCTTTTAAGGCATCAGAGGACATGCCATTGTTTTTGCTACGACATGCGAACATAGCTACACCATCGGAGAAAGAACAGGTTAGCAGTATTTGCGCAAGGGACTCTGAGAGTCCTAGTTCCTTGAACCTGGCCATCAGCCATGTCCTCCTTGCTCAGTCCTCCCCAAGGATGTTACTCACTTGACTAATGCTGCTTTGTGAGATTACACTTATTGGGAGAAAAGGCACTATTGAAGATGCTACTATAATTGCCTTCTCTAAAACAGTGACAATACGTAAAGCCAAGCTGGTGGGTGTGTGGAAAGAAGCATATTCTGTGGTGATACAATGCAGTGGGAGAGATCCGTTTTTTCAGACAGATTGGGTGGGCTCAGTCAGATATAAAACCTGAATCCTGATTGCCATGAGAGAGACCACAGCTAAAGACTGAGAAACAACCCTGGTGACACTTAATAACAACTAATTGGCCGCCACTGTTTTAAAGCTTCTGCATATAAAACAAATTTCATGCAAGGTAAATAAAGATAGCACATTAAAAAGATGATAAAGAAATTTTAGCCCAGTCTACTTCATGCTGTACTGGTTTTCTTCTTGTAGAGAACTTTTGAAAAGGAAGTGGTCAGATCTGGTCTATAGTGGAACAATCCGTTCATTCTACCACTTCCTTCTGCTATTTGTGGGTTTCTTGCTGGAAAAATTGTGTTAATACAAAAACAAACATTTTTTCCAAAGGAATGTGACAGGTATTGGGAAAGGTGCAGTCATTCTTTACTTTTATTTATGGTGCATCTGTAAGAAAATACATAATTGCTGTCATGTGGTTTTGAAGATAATTAACAGAACTGTAGATTAGTCTAGCCCAGAAGAGCCAATGTAGTTTGAATAATTTGTTTTGAAAATCTTAATTTGCCTGAATGAATAAGAGAGCTTGCTACTTGTTAACCTCAGCAATGGATACTCTAGGTACTATGTGGTGCACTTTCAATATCTTTTCTGAGTTTTGGTGATTCACTAAAGTTTGGTGAATATATTTATATGGAGAACCTGACCTATTAAATATTAGTGAGTTTAGGCAGATAAAGGTATTTAGGCATGTGTGAGTTGGAGCTAGTCTGTAAGCCAGATCCAATTGTTGCAAAGCTGCACAGATAGTATTTGTTTCATAGGGTTTTTTTGTAATTTTTTTAAATCAATGAGCATGTTTTTTTTTCTAGGATATTAGGATAATACATTTCTTTCTGGATTTCAAAAAGCAAACAATACAAGGTTTTTACCATCTGTCTGGTAAACAAGCTTGTATGTTAGTTTAAATCATCTTTTATTGTGTGGATAACTTTTAATCTTACACTTTGAATTTCTTTGTAATGATGGTGATTTTTTAAAAGTTTCCTAGCTAAAATATAATAAAGTAAGGAGGAAGACAAAGAGGGAAAGAAAGGATATGGGACCACTATAGTTTGGAATAATATTTACTTCTAGCAGTCAAAACAAAGTAGAATCTGGAGGATCTAACTGTAAATATGTCAGAACAATGAGTTGTTTACTTCAGACAAAGGGGTGGGTCTTTCTCACTCCAGTGCCCTGAAGCCACTAACTAGCTAAAGAACTGAAAATGTTTCAACTAACTGAATATACTAGTGAGGACTGACTTAAGACAATGAGCAGGTAACCAAGGGGGAAGGACCATGATGGAAAGACTGACCTACCTACATTGTTACAACACAGGCCACACCAAGCCTCATCACTGGCTACATTTGGCTAGGGCTACCGAGAGTTGCGGTCTAATAACGTATGGAGAAAAACTAATGGTCTACGGGGTGTGTAAGCATTAAGGTTTCACCATCTCTCTCTCTTTCATTGGTTGTCCTTGTGGCAGGTGTAACAATTTGAGGGATATGCTATGGAAGAGTGTGAGAACCTTTCACTTTTTCTTCTCCCTAGGTCCTAATACTAAATCCTGCTTTCCTGAAATATATCTGGGATAACTGGACTAAGCATCACGGAAGATATCCATCCACTGGATTCATTGCACTAATTTTTGCCATCCATATGTGTGAACAGGTATGTATGCTGTTAGCCAGATACCTAGAGAAGTATGAAGCTGTTGTACTGAGTTGAACAGCATTTGGGTAGATAAGCCATACTTCCAATGAACTCAAATTCAAAGCAGTTTAGCGACTTAAACATGGAGAGCACATGAGAATACAAGGTACCCTGCCCTGCTTTGTGATTAGAAAGCAAATTATTTAAAAAGCTACTAAACAAGATGGCCCTGATGATTAGTTATCACAGAAATCCATGACTTGATTTTCCACTTCACATAAGCCTGATTTGCTTTCTTTACTAAAGAAACTGAAGCTTTTTCACTTTCAGTTGTTGTATACTAGTTGTGGCATATCCTCTGCAGTGAGGCCCACCTGGTACCTATATTATGGGGGGTGGTTGCAGCATTCTCCAAAACATTTTAGTCCTTCACTTTTGCTGTTTCTGCTGCTTCTGCTATAGGTTTACCCTTTCTGAAGTTTTTTGTTTTATCATGTTATATGCTATGATTTTAACTGTTGTGAACCAAAGAACTTCAGCTATTGGGCAATATAAAATTAATTAGTGCATGCCATACAACCTAAAATGGAATCAACAGCAGAGGAATGCTACATATTAAACAGCTCTTTTAGTTAAACTCTGGCTTGTGTGTGCTGCAGTAGGATATGTGTTTAAGATTCTTGCACAAATCAAGTTGATTTTTCAATAATCTTATGTTGACAGGTCTCTGTGTTTGGTTTTGGTGCAGACAGTAATGGGAACTGGCACCATTACTGGGAAAAGAACCGATATGCTGGAGCATTCCGTAGGACTGGGGTACATGATGATGTTTTTGAACTAGGACTCATTGAAAAACTCTCAATGGAAGGCAAAGTGTTATTTTACAAATAGCTTGTTCCACTGCCTCACAGACTTCATGCTATTACATCCAGGCTTGCTTAATTAGTTCAAGTTGTGGGACAGGGATGGGAATCACTTACATATAAAACACACTGGATTACAACACTGCAGACAAATATTGCACTATAGGTATTTCATATGAGATCTCAGCTATTTCATATGAGGCCATATGAGGGAAGAGGGAGGGAGCCGTGGTCCTAATGGTTTTTAAAGACATATGGACAGAAGAAGCAAGTTTCTTTATAAGGCAAATGCTGTCTGAGCTATAAAAGAAAATACATCTTTAATAAGGTTATTCGGTACAAACACTCACCTTAGCAGATTTCTTCATCTACCTCTGGGATTTTGTGGCCAACTGGAATTGCATATAAACCTGCAACCTGGACAAGACTGTAATCCTATTTATTTATTTGAGGAACTGGTAAAAACATGTATAAGAATGGTCTGCAGGGCTGCTATTGTCCTGTACTACAGAAAAACTGAGAATGCATACTTTGATCATTTCAAGCAGTGGTGTTAAGACTCATTACAGTTGGTCGTAGTTACTCACAGATGCCATTACAATGATATGAAAGATCAAGGCAAGCTAAATACAAAACCAACCATTTATCATGTTTAATAAGACTCAACAACTAATGCAAAAACCATGCTTAGTGATTTCCATAAATGAACGTCCATCAGAGCTGGTCTGGTACAGGAAGCTAGGAAGAGCCATGCTGGATCACACCAAGGGTCCAGCATTCTGTACACACTGCAGTCAACTAGCTGCCCATGGCAAACTGACAAGCAGGGCACAAGAGCAACCACTTTAGACCACAGGAAAAATGTTAGACAGGAAGTGTTAAATATTGTAGTCATTTGAGTCATCTAATGTGTTATGTAAGCCTCCTTTTGTGTAAAACAATCACAGTCAATGTCTTTTTACAGGCTTTGGGCAGTGTAGAAATAAATAATAAGTTATCCATTAATAGGAGAAGCTTCTACCTCACCCTAATAAGCCAAACAACCATCCATTTTGTTCCTTCTGGCCAAATACTTCCATCTTGCTTCTTTAAGCAGATGCCAGAGAGGATCAACATCCAGAGCAGCCCTCCCTAAGGAAGTGCACTTCCAGTGTTTTGAACTTCAATTCCCACAAGCCCAGTCAGCATGGTTAATGGCAGGGTCACCATCCAAACTTCTAGTTGGGGAAGGGTCCTCAATCAGGCAGCTCCCACTTGTTTCTACCTCTCAAAGTATTTTCTGCACAAATTTCTGACCAGCTCCTCAACTATGTGCTATCATAGAATATGCTTCTGTTAAGCAGTTAATTGAACACCAAGACTCAGCTAAGTGAGCTATGTGGAAGTAAGGAGGAGACATGACACTGGGGAGGTATTAAAATATGGTAAAACCACAGTATGCATGCTGATCTGGAAAGTAAACCAACTAAATGGAAATTAATTAAATATTTATTGATTTTCTCTTGCATTTTCCTGTATTTTTGTATTGATTTTTTTCCTTTTACAGCCCTGTGAGAGGGTTCTAACTTTAAAGGTAAACTCTATATATATATTTCAGTCAGTGCCCATATTTTTATATATATATATATATACACACACACACACACACACACACATACACATACATATACATATACATATACATATACATATAAAATGGGCACTGAGTGAAAAATACACTTAGGATGAAATCCTATGCATGATTTGAGAGAAGAAAGTGCTGCAATTCTCAGTATACTCAGGCCAACTTTTTCCTGTCTAAATATGCATAGGATTTAATTTATATGAGGCAGGCTTGTCCAACATGGTGCTCTCCAGAATTTACAATTCCTAGGATTCTTGACCATTGGCCACATCATCTTGGAGCTCACAGGAGCTGAAGTTCACAAATATCTGCAGGGCACCAACTTGGGGAGAGCTGTTATCAGGTACTGAGACAGTAAACCAGCTGGAAAGTGAAGAGCCTGCTTGGGAAAAATAGTCCTGAATATAACACTGCTTAATTCACAGTGCTGAAGGGCAAACAAAAAGAAAAGAAATAGTGGATGACTTTATTAAAACTTTTTCCTGAGAGTTTGTTCCAAGCACACATTCTAAGGGTATCACTGGGTACAAATTAAATAGAAAATATTAGTTTTCCACATGTAAAAGTTCTTGCATTCCCTGTTCAGGCGGATTCTGTTCTTTCTTTCAGAATCTAGATGCTTAGAAATTAGCCAACAAATAAGACAAGTACCAAAATCTATGATATACAGAACTCTTTTAAATGTCATAAACATGGATGTTTAAGTTAATGCCCTGTTTCCCTTCTGCTAAGACTGGAACTACTGCCAGTCTCTCTTCACAAGTCCCCAAGCATCTTCTCTTGACATGCTTGAAATCGGACACTGACTTTAGGGTTGTTGCTTTTATGCCTTCAAGTTCTTTGAAAAGGATGGCAGCTACTAATCTATGTTGTTTTGCCAAGCTCTATTTTCTTTTGAATGACCCGAGCTGAATGATAGATCAAAGAATCAATCAGTCCTGCCACTGTAAGGAAGAAAAGAAAACATGGTCAGTTTAGATGTTCTACATAGAATCCTAGAGATTCTATCTCTACCTGGGTTCTACTCCCCGCTCAGCCATGGAACTCATTTGGTAACTTTGGGCTGGTCACAGACTTGCAGTCCAACCAGCCTCACAGAGATGTGAGGACAAGAATGAGGAGGAAGAGAGTTATGTAACCTTGGAAGGAAAAAAGCTGAGATATAAATATAATAAATAAGAGGAAATCTTTTGAGAGCCAGATTTCCAAAAGACTAATGAAACATACTACTTGGGGACACTTTCTGATGAGCATAAGAAGAATTGATGGTAATTGCCTGTATTAGCAGTGAGGATTCTGCCATTTTTATAATCCAGGGAGCAAACCTATGGATGCATCCTCAGTGATTGCAAGGCCCTAAACTTGCAATAACCTATGCAAGCAGGAAAGAATGGAGGTGGCAACCTCAGCATTGTTTGCTAAATGGACTTTTTTGGGGCAAGTTCTAGGTCAGTTCCAAACTCCTGAAAGCAGTCAGTCCAATTCTTTCCATGCCAAATACAAGGGGAAGAGGGACCAAGGCTCTGATCCCTCCTCCCTCTGGCCCCTCAGATGCTGCGTAGGAGCCATAGGATTGCTCCCTCATAAAAAGATTTATTTTGCATTCGCAGATTTGAAAATGCTCCAGAAGTTAGCATATACTGAGATCTGAGAAGGGAAAGGAGACAATTTCAAGTCTTCAAAACACATATCTAATACCTGTAAATACTCCTCCAATAATGGCACAGACTCCTGTGAGAAAATGTGTAAACGACCTACAGAGGAAAAAAAATCCACTCAGATTGTGAAATATAAATTACATAATATTTAAATGAAACATTTCAAAGCTGAAAATAAAAACAGGGAGATGGAATGACTGGTGATATTAGTGCCACTTGCCTATGTCTAAGGAATACTTTAATAGCTGGTTGCATCAAAGCCAACCAAAACACAAGCCTTGTCTCATCCATAATCAAGCTGTTTCAAACAGAAGCCTCCAAGAACCACCTCTACAACCTATTTGTACATACCACAGAATGGAGACTGGTTGGGTAGCAGGCATGCAGACCTTTTAACTAGTGTGGGTTTACCAACTACCTCACCAGATTCCTAGGCCCTTTCATGATAGAGGAGAGTGCTCATCTCTGATCAGCAGCTGAATGAATCAGCCCTGCTGATCATGTCTACTTCTGGGTAGACATACAGAGGTCTGGTATTTGGTGTGGTACTTGAAAGCACTGCTGATTGATTCAGTCCTGCTTAGTTCTTAGTAGGCTTAAATTGATAAGAATCAGAACTTCGCCTTACCTACATATGGAATGCTGTCCTTAAAACCTTTTAAATTAGAATTCAGTCCTTGGAGTGAACATTATTCCCCACCCATTTTATAACCAAGTTTAAAAACTTTATACATTAATTTTAAGTATTTCAACAAAATATGACAAAAGCATAAAAAGGAAGAAAAGCATTACAATTCTCTTAAATAAATTTGAATATATTACTTGTTTTATGTATGTTTGAATAAGTCACTTACAATGAATACATATTAAATATATGCTTATGTCTATGAAAATATAGCTATTAAATAGACACATACATACATTTTAAAAACTTCAGCCAAGCTCTAAAGTATGAGCAATTTGATTTGGGAAAGGTGGTCTGAATGCTGCCTCAGGTTCATGAGAAAGCTTCTCACCTGTGTTTCTCTGTTAGCTTCACCATCATTGGAGAAAGCTCATAAAGTACAAATACTCCAGGCAGACCCTGGTCTCCAATTAGACCATTAGCTATTTTCTCATGTCGTGTTACTGAAAACTGATTCGTTCTCACCACCTGGGAAACATGTGCATGGAAAATAATTTAATTAAAAGAATAATTGTGAGATACAGAAATTGAGGTATTGTTTTAGGAGTATCTGGCCTCGCTGCAACTCCTCCAACTAGAAGCGTTATTAAAAATTCCCTGCTTAGATCTCTGTCTCACTCAACACACACATCCTGCCCAGCTCCAAAGATACCCCACAATTCCAACATACCTTTTTTCACATTACTCTCTCTAAACTGAGGAAACCAGATTCACAGCCATCAACACTCACAACACAATTCTTACTTTCCAGAAATCACATGGTGTCCATGGCTTATCTTCTGGCAACTGTGTCATTGCTATTTCTAACCTTATCACTAGTAAAAGTAAAAAAAAAATCATTTGTAATTCCCTATCCTCCCTTGGCTGAAGCCCACATGCCCCCACCCCCAATAAGAGACAATACAATTACACAAATAGCACTGTTGTACCTAATGAAAACCGTACCATTGAAAAAGAAAAAAGAAATAGGCAGCTCGTACCTCACCATCAACCGTCATATATACTGTAGGAACTACTTTTACAAAGTACTGGAACATCATGGAACCTGAGAGTTAAAATAATGTGTTAATGAGCAAAGACAACAGAGGGCAGGATACAGATGCTACTTTGGGGACATGAAAGGATATGGTCATGTACCCAAGGGGGTTAGTGGGGTTTTTTTTAAGTTTCCTCCTTCAAATGGTAGACTGGCCCCATCTTAAACTGCTTTTATGACTCTCAGTAGTACCAGCAGAGAAATTGGAGACTGACCTGGAGCCTTCTGCTCTACTACTGAGCTATGGCCACTCCCCTAAAGGAGGGCAGAGCAAACAACAGCTCACAATAAAGATTATTCACATATACCATCTTCTCTACCACCCCTCCATATTTTTGAATCTGAAGTTGATCAAAAAATTGAAAAGGAATGGAGAAGAAAAGAACATCAACTATTCTCCTGTGCATGCATTCCTGATAGACAGGAGAAAGGGAACAAAGTCTATTAGTAACTGAGGGGTCAGGTGGTATCCTTTCTAGTTGTATGTGATTGAGAGGATAGTCGGTTGCCCAATATTAAACAAGATTATTTGGTCAAGGCATATCTACAAAATGTATGTAGATATCGCAAATGCAATTGTTTTAACTTATGGAAATCTATTCCTGTCTCATGCAAATCTAACATGGGCCCAGAAGCCATCTTGGGCTGGCATGTAACCTTTATTTAACAGAGGAGATGGAAAGCCTTGGTTGCAGGCTAGTACCTTGCTGTGCAGAAACAACTGTATCATCAAGTGGATTCACAATGCCAGGATAATCTTTCCCAAAAGAAAGGTGGTTGATAAAATGAGTCATGTTAATCTGGAAAAAACACATGAAATGTTCAAGCAGCTGCAGAAGGCAGAGGAGGCTGGGGACTAACCTATATACCAAATGTATATTATCTGTCACTGATGGAACACCTGACTCCCTTTCACCTGTAGCCAGGATCAGGTCCTCATGTGCAAATGTGCACATAAGCTCAACTTAGGTTCCTCTTTTCACTGTGTAAACTAAAAGCAACTTCAACAGCTGTGTCTGATTATATGAGTCCAGGTAATGTTGTTTCTACCTGAGGGCAATGATACTACCTGAGGGCAAAAGCTGTATTAGAAATATGCTCCTCTCCATGCAATTATCCATCTTTTTCCCTCTGGGAACAAAAGCCACAGGAAGGAGATGAGTTGTTTCTGTTCAGTGGTGTACATGATTATCAGAGAGGACATGAATTCTGGCAGAAGATGCTTTCTTTTAAAAAAAGAGTTCTAAGGCTTAGTGACCTACTGGAGTTGGGAATATCAGTTTTCAACAGCTATTTTTCTAAAGAAAAGAAATTTATATTAAATATTCTTTTCTGGGGTTTTGCCCTTATGTTTAGTCAGCTTGTTCTGCAGCTACAACATCTAGCAGTAGCGTATGCTTTGTATTTTCATTGACACTTGCATCCTTCAGATGTGAATAAAAAGCTCATACCCAATTAGTCTCCCCAAGGGTACTTACATTATCAAGTCCAAAGCTCTGCAGATCATGAACTGTGGGAGACAGACATGGTAAGGCAATTTCAGCAAAGATCTTCTTGTATGTGATAACCACATATCTTTAAAAACCAGAAAACCTGACACTTTAACAATCCTAATATCTTTTCCAAGTCTCAGTTCTTCTGAAGATTTTTCTGCATGAGCACATTCCAAAATGTGCATATATTTTTCTTATATTAGCCTGAGAAAGTATTTAGGTCAGGGCTAAAATAAAATTTTCCAAAATTTGGAAACTTTTATTATAATGCTCCTTTAAGACTTACCATTCCAGAGATCCATTGCAGCAAGAGCTATTGGATATAGCAATTTTGCTTCTTTAAATGTCATTTAACACTATGTCAAGTGACTTATAGAAATGTAATAAAATTACTAGAGATTCCACTGATCAACTAGAAACATAATGCATTATAAATGAGGGATTTAAGCAAGGCAAATATAGCAGCAAGTGTCAGAACCAACTTAAATTACTAACATTTTGAGTATCTAGATATTCAACTCTAAGGTTTACAACTAGCTGAAAGTGTTTTGTGTGTTATGCATTTATTTATTTATTTATTTATTTATTTATTTATTTATTTATTTATTTAAAGTATTTATATACAGTCCTGTCTCATTGACAGGCATGAGCTGCTGCTGCTGCTTACATTTCTATATTACTCCATAGCCAAACTCTCTAGGTAGTTTACAATGATGCATAAAAACAAGGCAACAAAATGCAATAAAATACAATATATGCAGTAGTCATGTAAATCATTGCTATCTGGTAAATATACCTCATGATGTGATTAGCTGAAAAAGATAAGTTTGTCACATATATATTTACTTTTGAAAAACAGTTACATAGAAGGTATTTTAAATATGTATCTTTAAACTACCATCAAAAAGTGTTTGAAACTTGTTTGTCTGTGCCTTGCCATCTGTATATGAAGAGTAAATCTTCATCTCTAAAGAAGCCATGAAGAGACAAAGAAGTCTCCCAATCAGTATCACAGTAGTTGTCAATATGACAGTAACTGATTACTTTCATGACTAGTATCTGTGGCTTTTCTCCAGCAGATGATGGAAACAGTTTGGATTTCATCTTTACACTTTTAAGTGGTTCAGTGCTAAGGTCCTGGTTGCTTTTGCAAATAGGAATCATTTCCCACTGAAAGCAATGGAACATTAAACATGAATGCTGTTGCACAACTCCTTCTCCACTAAATGTATGCTAAATGGAATCTAATTAAAAGATGTCCTCTTAAACTTTTTTTAAAAAGCATCATAACTAAGAATGAACTCTTGCTACTAAAGTCTGGCTTGGTAGCTGAGATGATACCAACATTAAACTTGAGAAATGTCTTTTTTCAGCATAATCAAGTTATCACTAAAGCCATACTTGTATTCTCCAAATTAAGTATTACTTTATATAGGTGCATTATAGGATATATGGTTAGTTTTAGGATTTGGTTTTGATGATAAATGGGATTTCTCTGATCAGTTCATATGTACTGTGGTCCAAGCTTATGTCTGTTAATAAATACATCCTTACTTTCATTTTCCAAAAATCTATGCATTTGTACCTTGGTAGAGAACCCACAGTGTAGTGAACCTCAAACCATAACATGTGAAAAGACAAACTTATGTAATAAGATTTGTGTTTTGGTTGGACATGGCCTGTAAACTAAGCACTCAGTGCAAATATCGATTTTTGTAAACTGGTGATTCCTCTCCACTTAAAGATTACAATATAAAGTGAAATCTTTCTAGGACAATGAACTTGCTTAACCATGAACTTGCTGTTAATAATGGTCTAAGATCAGAGTAAAAGTATTACAAAGCTAGCACAAGTTCTCTCTAGAAAATAATTGATTTGTCTACCCAAACTCAGCATGACAAATTGTCCCAACTGCTCTTAAAGCTCACCTAGAAATCATCATCATTTTAGCTACCAACTACTTTACTCAGCAACTGCTTAATGCGCAAAAGTAAAGTATACATGTTCTTAGCTCAGTTTGTTCATCTATGCACAGTATAATTTGCTTCTCACTTGAACTGTAACTGTCTTTGAGAGAATTTAACTCAGTAAAAATAGTTTAAAAGCCTTAAAAGATACTTCAGTTCTGCAAAGTACTGCTGCATTAGAAGCCTTATTCTCACCTTTAAAACCCAAGTTCAGTGAACATGTGGAAAAGGGAGTGGGATTGCACCCAGTTCCTCCAATCCTTGACCATGTGTGTTCTACAAATGGTGAAGAGGTCTCTACACGGATACACACCCCTGTAAATATATAGGCTCCATATATGTGACTGGGAACTCTGCATGAGTAGTGGGCTTAATCTTGCACCCTTTATTACATGATCAGAGGATACTGTTTTAAGGATGAGAAAAGGACTACAGTCCAAATCATCTGAGATATCAACACACACACACACACAGTATCTATAGCCACCTAAAATCCATGTGCAGATCCTTGACTGAAAATGTGCTATACCTGCTGATATTCCCAATTCTGTCAAATCCTTACACAGCACCACGTTTCAACTGGAGAAATCAGTTTAATTACAGAAAGTATAGAATAAGTAGAGAAAAGAAGTCAGCAACACTTACTCTCAACAGCGTGCACTGCAAAAAATGAACAGGATTAAGAAAAGAAAGAGAGAAACATTCAGAGCTCCACACCAAAAAGCAAGGGTGCAAAAACAAAGGTACTCTTTTAAATCAAATGTTGCTTTCAGGAAACTTTCATTACTTTGCCTAGAAAGCACTGGGTCTGAATATTCAGTTTGCAAAGGATCACAAAACTACAACTACACTGAATTACACATAAACCTCTGTATAGAAACTAAAGGAATATTGTGCTGCCCCATACCAGTGCAACGTCAGGCTGTCATTGCAGTGGCTAAAGGCCTGAAACTATAGGTCCTCAGAGAAAATAGAATGCTATATGAAGAACTGCATCAATGTATTTGAACAGCCAATTCCAGGATGAGCCATTTCCATTCTTGTTTTGCATTTGTGTAGAAGGAATTAATGAAACAAGGAACTCGATACAGATTATTCTACCTTGGAACAAAGATTAGAGGATGAGTAGGGATTGACCATAATCAGTTATAACAAAAATTCTCTTAATCTCCACCATTTTCTTATCCAGTGCTATCTTATCCACCTTTTTCTTATTCTTCCATAGTGGGACAGATTGCACCATCAAAGGCCTTTCACAACCAGCACAATGACCAGATCACATCTTGACACTTACAGCATAGGAAATCTACCAAGGAATTATTCAGTCTAAGGAATATACATCTCTGGTCAACTGTCTGCCTCTCAAATACAAAACAAAAAACAAAAATCCCAACATAATTTAGCTGTTCTAAAATCACAAGTTTGTGAGTTTATACATGTATATACATATATAATGTGAAGCAAATTATCAACATTTGTTAAGTTTTCACAGTGCATTGTATATACATAATCTACTGCATGATCTTTTCTTCTATGACTGATTTTTGGCAGGTAATGTTAAGAAACAGGAGCAAGTGACAGAGTAACAATTTTGAGAGTTGAGATTTAGACAGACAACATCAGATTCACTGAATCTTTAGCAAACACTAAGCATCTTTTCATAGCTATGAGGGTTAATGCCCACTGAAACAAAGTGGGACTTAACCTAGCAGTTGATAAGATTGTATTCACTTATGTTGAAATGATCACTGTAATGCCAGCATCCAATACTAGAAAGAAAGATTAGTACAATTAAGTGCAATTGAAGCGGTGGAGATTTCTAGTCTCCTAATCTCAATTCCAACTTTGAATTTACACTACTGAAACAGAAGTATTTATGTAGGTGATATTGGTTTATGTTTAGACTGAAACATTTCCACAAGAAGAAAACTGACACAGTGCACTATCAGAAACAGAATGCTTCTGACCCATAATACTGTTTATATTCTCCACTTTTCTTAACTCAAAAATAGGTTATTTTAAAACTACAACTTTAGTTGCTACAGTCAGCCTGTGTACAGTTCAACATTTGTATTCTAGTCCAAACCCTAACAAAGGCATGATGATGATCTAAGGGCAATATTTAGTGCAATCGGACTGCTACTGAAATGGATCTCTAGTGCAATACTATTACTATTAGCTGCCACAACCGGATTTCTTGGAAAACCCAATCACATTCATTAATGCTGTCGACTTTGCACTAGAGCAGCAGTTTTCAAACTTTTTCAATAGGGGTCCAGTTGAAAGGCTGCAGTGACCATCGTGGGCCGGTGAGGTGGGGGTGCCTGGGGGCGCAGGCCGGTGAGGCGTCGTCGGGTGCTCGTGGCGGTGGCTCACTCAGAGATCTCCCAGTGAGTCCAAAACCATCTCCGAGCGAGCAAGCCATCACCTCCTCACCCATGCTGCAAGGCAGCAGTGAGCGTGCCCGTACAGGTGACAGGTGGCGGCGGTGACTTGCTCGCTTGGAGACCATCTCCAAGTGAGCAAGCGCACGCACGGGCAGCAAACGGCAGCGTGGGCCAGATGGATGGTCATGGCGGCTGGATCCGTCCCGTGGGCCATAGTTTGAGGACCCATGCACTAGAGGCTTCTAATAAAAGCATGGTGAAAGTTACATCAGTGCTCCTGTCACATTGTATACTGCGCTCAGTAAACAAGTGAGTACTATTAAATAACCAGCAGTGGCTCTTTATTGTAGCAATTAAAGCTGAGATAATATTGGTGAATGCAGCATCCTCTCAAAAATAACTACGCTTATTTTTCAAGCTTCCTATAGATAGCAGAAATGAAATAGGAAGAGGACTCTGAGTACAAATGCTTTGTTCTATGGATATCTGTAGTACACCTTTATTTTGTCACATGTTATTTATCATCTACAGATCTGCTTTGATAAATGGATGACATCATTACCAAAAACAAAATGAAGAGCCAATATCAAAGTATCATCTATAAGGATTAATTTAAGAGATAGCAAGAGGCCATCAGGAAAGAATAAATATTTTGTGTTTAATCTAGGTGAGAAAAAAGAGAGACTTTACCTAGACTGTCAAATTAAAAAAAAATATATAAATTTTTTAAAATAGATCCACAAAATTAAATAAAACAAGAGGGATGTGACAATAATTTCTAAGCATTAGAAAATGTGGATCCTGAAAGGAGCAATAGTTCTTAGGCAAGACAAGAAAACCAGGAACATAGACATTATTCAAGGGAGAAAGAAATGCAACAAACAAAATCTTGAGTCTTTTTGTAAAAATATCAAAAAGGTAGAGGATAGAATGGAAGATTCTGTATTTCCACCTAAACAAGATAAAGAAGCTGGATGGATTTCAGGGTAATTATGATCTTTTGAACTTAAATTAATGGCAGGTTACCTTAAACAAGACTGGAGAAAGAAAATGAAACATTTAGGTTTCCTTGAAGACTAACATTTAGTATATAGTTATGAGCAACAATGTAATCAATAAAACTCGCTGGTAACAGAGTTCCATTGTATTATAGCAGTGGTTCCCAAACCTTTTGGGCTGCTTTCCCTTTCCCTCTTGGGTGACAACCCTAGTGCCACCACACTTCTTTCTTTGTATTAGAGGTGTGAGAGTTGTACCACCTTCGGTTAATTAATCAATACTCCTTGCTTGTCCAGCCTTTTTCTCTCCCCACCAATCCCCATTCTCACCAGGGCATCAGGAGGGGGACACCATGGTGGACAATGTCTAGCTGGGCTGCAAGGGGTGGTGAGGCAAGCTACTCGGCAGTCCTATTTTACAAACTTCTGCCATTTCCTTCTCTGTTTCTTTTGCCGTAGTAATCTATAATCAGTACCACCCACTTTGGAAATCACTGTGTTCTAGAATAGTTTTTTGTGGATTCCTTAATAAAAGAAGAGAGAGGAAAGGGAAAAGGAAAACTCCCCTTATTAACCAGCACAAAATTTGCCATTTGAGAAGACAGAGAAAACAGAGAATAATAAGACTTGCCTTTCTTTGGGTTTCAGTACTGCAAAGATGTGTGATGCAACAGAAAATACTCAACAGAAGCATGAGTACTATTTTATACTATTCACACACAGAGGCTTAATCAAGAGCTACTTCACAGCAATTCTAGCAGTGAAAACTACAACTAAACTGCACTAAATTGAAGGGGAAACCTTTAGACAGAAGTTGCCATGAGTTATTTGAGGGCTGTTATCACTCAAACAAGCCATGCTACCTGGGTTCAGATGACATGACAAACTGCAGCCAGATAGGTAATTAGGCCAATACAGCCTGGCATGATTAGGCCTTAAATAAGCTACCACAGCTGATGTAATCATATATACAGAACTATATTCAAGCTATCATACAGATGCATGCACTTTGTGGTTTTTTTAAAGAGGTGCAAAAGCCAATGTACATCTTTTCTGAAGCTATTTGTACTTTATCCTAACAATTAGTTTATAAACAGGGTGGATATGATAGTCAGAACATCTGTACTGCCATCTGTGTCAAGGGAAATAGCCCAGCTGGCTCAGTTAAGTACCATCAGGAAAAAACCCAAACCCTAACTAAATAATAAACACACACACATAACCAACAATTATTGCACATGTGAGGCTATATAGCAGGGATGGCCAGACTTGCTCAACGGAAGAGCCACATATAGTAAATGTCAGATGTTTGAAAACCACAAGCATGTGTTGTGGGCGACGACAGCAAGTTGCGAGTAGCAAGTGGGTGCCCACAGATAATCGCACCTGCAAGCAGCGAGGCACAAAATAAACTCAAACAGCTGCATACAGTTCCCAAGCTACAGTTTGGTCACCACTGCTCCATAGTTACTGCACATATGAAAAGGAGCCAAATTACTGCATATAGTTTACATTCTCAATATTAAAATATTAAACCTTTTAAAAATATTGTGTACCATGAGCAAGTATTTTATTTTTTAGTTATTTTATTGTTTTGAACATAAGCCACTTTGAGATCCATGACTGAAGAGCAGCACATGCGCACATGCACACACACACCCCATATCTACCACTGCAAAAGGAAGCAGACAATTAACATTATGTTAATCGCTTCCAATTGTAGGACAAAAGAGACTGCTGGCAGGAGCTAACTTACAGTGGAAAAACAGGTTCTCTTTAATGACTTGGTTCACATATACTTCTAGCCATGGTTTGTTGCCATTCCCAGGTTTGTCCAGTAGGTGATTAAATAGTACTTTGTTTTCTCAATCTCTGGGTTGTTTACCCACTCCCTCTCTGTATCCCAAACGCCTTCGCAGCACTGCAGTACTCACAAGCAGAGTGTCTTTTTCCTTTTAAAACCACTCTTACACACTGCCTCTATATTCTGGCAAAACAACTCATGATTCTGGATTTATACATGACAAGCATTCAGTCATGGTTTAAACAGTCTAGAATTTATAATCCAACAACAAACTACAGAGTCGCCTTTTGAGTTGTTTGTGACTGACAAACCTGGTTTGTTTGTGTGGCTGTGTTTACAGATAAAAACTATCCAGAATTCAACAATTTATGGGTGAAATAAAGCATGGGTTATTGATATTAGATCTATTTGCTTCCTCATGTGAACAGCAACATCATTTCCAATGATACTCCTCAAATATTTCCCTTCTCCTAGTTCCTCCTTATTCCAGCAATTATATGTCAGCTATATGTGCTGCAGCTCATACGTTCTCCCCCAATTTCTTTCTTAGAAAAAGAACAAGACATTATAAAAAGGCATTCAGAAAAATATAGACTTTACCATGAACATGAGACTGCTGAAAACTTTTTCCTGGTGCAAAGTGAAAATTGCCAGCGACCTGCAAAAATTAACCACATTCAATTAAACTGTCCGGTTCTCTATGGCAGGTTGAAACAAGTTTAAAGAGTGAGTCTTTAAGGCACAATACTATACATGTTTAGACAGAAATAATCCAACAATTTTATGTATGTATGTATGTCTATACTGTCCCACAGCCAAAGCTCTCTAGGTGGTTTACAACAGTCCATAAAACTGATAAAATACAATAAAATATATAAAATCAGAAATATATTAAAAGTTTAAAACAGCTAAAACCAAAGAACAACAAAGAAAGAGTTACTAAAACGTACAGGATGAGCAATTCCCTTAAGCCCCTTGGTAATCAAAAACACTTTAATAGGCTTAGCACAGAGTGCCATCTTAACCTGGATCCAAAAAGACGACAAATGTGAAGCCAGTTGGGCTGCACTGCAGAGGTTATTCCATAAGCAGAGAATCACCGCAGAGAAAGCTGTCCCCTTTGCTGCCACCCTCCACACTTCCCCTGGAGCCAGCACTTGGAAGAAGGCCCCAGAAGTCGAGTGTAGTGTCTGAGTAGGGCTTTGTAATGTTGGGAATTATAGCATTTTTTCTGTCTAAAAGTGCAAACGACTGTATCTTCAAGAAACTGTAACATCTTCACATAAGAATGTGATACCATTTTGTCTACTCCACAATTTTACGTAAAGCAACCTAGTTTGTACTTCCTTGACTAATATGCATTATCATTCAATGCCATACTTCTGAAATTTGTGATACAGTTCTTGGCTCAAAGACTACAAGCAAAAATGCTAATAAGAGAAGAAAACTATGCACACTTGATACAGAAATTGGATGGATTTAGAACTGAATGAATGTGAAGCTGACATGAAGTGCACACAGACTGCTTTATCACTCCCTTCATAAACCTTAATATATCTTTTTGACCTCAAAGAAATCTAAATGGTGTTTCTAATAAACTAAGCATTTGTTATTGTTATGTGTTATCAAGTCACCTGAATTATGGTGACCCTATGAATGAAAGCACTCCAAAATGTCCTATCCATGACTTGCCTGTCTCAGTGAGAGACACTCAAAAAAAGAAAGGAGGGGAGGAGAGGAGAGAATCTGTGATCCTCCAGACATTTGAAACATTTGGAAAGTCCAGGTTCCTCATCCCTGTGGAAGAGTACAGCATGTGAAAGCATACTCTGAATGCCTCCTTCTGAGGTTTAATAAATAGCAAAAATGCTGGATCTAAAATTACCAATGCACTTTTCCTTATCAAAACATTTTGTAGCTCTGCTATATGGTGCTCCACCCTGATATGCGCTCTTGCAAGAAACACTGAAGCCAAAGCTCCAGGATTATGGAGGCACTGCCTGGCAGTTCGCACTTGCTTTGCTTCCACTTGTTCACATTTAATACATACATGCAACACAGTAAAGAGAAAAAGGGAGCACACTCACTTTGTTGACTTCTAAGAATCCATACACTTTACATCCCTCATTTTTCTGCTCCTTCATTTTCTGGCTAAACCCTTCTCTCCTGCATTGTTCTATGGTGTCTGGGTTTTTGAAGGCCCAGCCTCGCCGCCTATATGCTTCTCGTACATCATCACAGGAATTACAGCATCTGCAAAAAAATGAACAAACCACCCATGCAAATTTCATTTGGCAAAAATGGTTACTTGCAAAACTAAAGGCCTGAGAGAATTTTCTTACTAGGAGGAACAAAGTTTACAGAAAGATCAATACTCTCCTCTCAAATGGGTAACAGGACAGCACTTCCAGTTGCCTCTGTAGATCTCTCAGAGATTCAGGCAACTCTGCTGAGCCAGAAGATGTGGCCACCACCACAACAGTCCAGCAAGGAACTGACCCTTCTCTACTGGAAAAGACCAAGTGGTACTGAGCTAGGTAATACAGAATTGCCACATTGTTTTCAGCGGAGTGCCTTCCACAGCTCAGCCCACTTTGGTGCTTGCCTCTGGGGCAGTGCAGACCACAATGCTAGGGCAACTCAGACCTCTCTGTCTGTTCCTGCTGCTGATGCTGTTCATTTCAGTTTTTGCAATTAACTACAAATGACAGTATCATCCTCAGCTGTCCTCCAACATCAGACTAAGTCCCTTACTATCAGCACCATAAGTTTGCTTGTGCTTTGCTGGTTTAAGAGATTCTCAGCTGTGCAGTTTCCTCCCCAACCCCACCTCTTTGCCTCCAGATCATAATAGAGGAAATAAGGCATACTTGATGTCCTCAGACTCAGCTCCATAACAGCTCTCACAGCGATCAGGATCTAAAGTGTTTGGATCAAATTCTAGATCCTCTTCTTTTCCTAGTTCTGAAATACAGACAGACATAATACTAGTTACAAGCAGTGGAGACACTAAGCATGGATCTATCCATGTAAAACACCCCCAAGCATTGTTAACACTGGTATGCTTCCATCAGCAGTACCAAATGTCTAGCCCTGGTTTATAGAGAGTACTAGTTTGGGTCACTTTAACTACCTTTAAATTAGATGCCACAGAACAAAACCCAGTGTTAGCATCTTGTCTGCAATACTGTTCCCACAGTGGAACAGTGTATCTATTCTACCATGTCTTTCTGCCTCTGTAGCCACATGCTTGCCATCTTTATCCAAGCGCTGTTTGAAGAGATTATGTTCAACATCTAGCTGCTGCTCTCCCGCCACATCCATTGCATCAATGCTCAAATCTGAAAAACAAATACAGACCAAAGCAGATTTCCTGAAATCTCAAATATATACTTATGTAAAGCTGTAAGTATATGATATAACTAAAGCCTGGTGCCCTTCAGGTGATTTGGAATTCAACATGACACCACTGGAGCTTGGAAGATCTGGGTAATAGTCTCTTGACCATGAAGTTCACATGGTGACTTTGGCCCAGTCTCTGACTTTCAGCCTAACCAACCACACAGGGTTCTTGTGAGGAGAAGATGGTAGAAGGAGGAGGATTATGTAAGCTCCCCTGGGTTCCTTGGAGGAAAAAAGCTAGGATATATATTTAATTAACAAAGATATACGCTTTCATCAGACCCAGACAGCAAGGTCAATGGGCATGAGAGCTGGCAGTTGTAGTCCAAATCTACAGGGTGCCAGGCTCAGAAAGTCTTATATACCCACTAAAATACTGAACAATAAAGGTGCAGAATTCAGAGACTTTCTACAAAAATATTACTTAGGATTAAGATTCTCTTCAAATTGAGTCAATGTAACAAGAAAACAAAGTACCCTAACACCACTGCAAACCACTAAAACTGTTAGTTTTATTCCAGGAAAGAACCCATAACTCAATTAGAGCACATCCAGAGTCAAACAGAGCTTGTGTCCCAGGGCTTCAGAAGACCTGTGCCCAAGGCACAGCAGAGCCCCTACCATACTGGTCTGATTATGTAAATGTAGTTTCATCCATTCACTTCCTCCCTTCCAAAGACACATACATCCACTCACCCACCTATATTGAGGAACTCATGTTTTTCACTTTACAATACAACCCATCTTGTAATGTAGCTTCAGTGGCTAAACACCCAGTCATGTTGCACATACTACAAAAGAGCTGATTGTGGGCTGTGCCATAAAGTGAAAGAGGTGGGTCCCAGCTTGTGAACAATAACCCTATGGGTTGTCATGGTGTGCAAACAGCCTGTCAAGTGAAACAATTTGCTCAATTTTTACTTAGTAGTTAGCTCATCACTTAAGTCTACAACCCCAAAAAAGAAGCTCCTTGTATCACTTCAAAACTGCTATCTGGTGATTAGTCTCCTTCTCACTTTCCCTCAGCAGAAAAGTTTCAGAAAGTTACTACCACTCAAATTAATGAAATATTATAAAGTGCTATCAGATGGCAAGTGGTGTCCACTTTTCAGTATTTAATAGAACCAAAAAGCCAAGTTTCACAGAATTTACTCACAGGCACATGGCATATGTGGAAAGACAACATCGATGTTTATCCGTAGCTTGTCTCCCCTTGATTTGTCAACATATAATTCTGGGTGAACCTATGAACAAAGTAAATAAAAATATCACCCCGTCAAAAAAATCCAGTAGAAATGGTTTTATAATCTCAACTGTATGAGTGTGCAGGTATTTTGCATCTAAGCATCCCATATTCAGAAATCTGAAGAGAATGGGAAAATTCATTGGATGCTGGAGAAGCTAAGATAAGACTTAAACTTATATAAAGATTACTGTCAACATCAGTTATGTAACAGCATCGCAGGTGGAATCTTATACATCTCATATGACTGTGCCCTTAGATTCTTTAACTAAAGAGTGCAACTGCATGAGCTACATTTCATTTTTTTTCTTTCTTCTTCCAGCATATCTAAAAAAGAAAAGATATACAATTCCCTAGGGGTACAACAATCACTGCTATCTACTTTTGTGGTTGGAGGAAAGAACACTCTAAGAGTATTGACCTCTTTTGATTAGGCAAGTATGAAAGAATGTTGAATGCAGCATTACAATGAGCAGTGAAGGAAAACAGGAGAGGGACAGTAAGCACCCTGTGATTCCTTTTGCATTCCAGTTGAGTACGGCAAAAAAGTTTAGTCTACATATACTATAGCTCAGGCAGAGGATTCTCCATATCTATCATATCCTGCTAAGGAATACAAGGCTTAGCAGCTTAGCATATCCAAGCAGCTTTTCCATAAATCCTATACTTTAACTGTAGGTACTTTTAAAATTTCACTCAAGTCTTTTTCCAAGGAATCCAGGGTGGAATATACAGGCACTCTTCTAAATTCACAGTGATAGTGACTGGTCCACTATTTTCCAAAAGGCCTTCATGGCAGAGCAGGGTGTTAGCCGTGCATCTCCACAGTACTAAGCTGACACACTATTTGCAACTCTGAAGCTTCAAGCAAAGAACAAAAACAAAGCAAGGTTTGTCTGGTACTGTATGACTGGGGAAAGACAGATGCATTTACCTCCTTCGTGAGATAGTACTGGAGTTCTGAGAAGAACAGTAAGAACATGATGAGTCCACTGACTATAGTCACTGTACACAGAAAAAGGAAAATAAAATTGACATAAGCATACCCTGAAGTTTAAACACATCAATATTTACTGAATCGGTACTTGGCTAGCTAAACCAATCAATGGTCCTTACCAGTCTTCCCCAAACTGAGGACTTCCTGATGTTTTAGCATTCTTTGGCACTAGTCATGCTGGCTGGGGCTGACGGTACTTGAAGTCCAACATATCAAGAGACCACCAGGTTGGAGAAGGCTGGTTTACAGTAATAGGAAATGATTCTGCAGGGTTACCTATAGGTCTTTTGCTGACCTATCAGGTCCCAGAGATGATCTGGAACTCTCTGCTTGCAAAAGCACATGGTCTACGACTTATGATCATTTCATTAACACCACTTTCAATTTCTGTTCTAGGAAAACTTGGGGCACCTCAGAAATATACCAATTAGATCAGTCATGAAAAACAGGCTTCCCTGAAAGAAAGATTTAATCCCTCCTCTCCATTATGAACCCGGTCTGGATCTGGTGAAGAGGTTGTCTACAATTTCTACTGCAAAATCATTATCCATTTGCCCACTTACACTATAGATCACTGTTTTGTAATAGAAATTGCAGGGTTCCTAATACAGACTGGGTCCACAGCAGGGGGAAGGTTAACCCCAAACATACACTGACAGGTTTCAATCCAGCTTGGAACTTCTGCACCTACTCAAGAGCAAAACTTTAAAACACAGCTAGTAGTTGTGTCTTTAATATCTCATTTGAGCCTAACTATACTGTAGAAAACATGTAAATCTAAATGAACGTGTGACATATGGTACATAAGAACAATAATCCATGTTCTAGAAACAACATGAAACTATTCTTCTGATAAAGGTTACAATCAACATTAACCTTTGGGAGTGATGCACTATAATGATGCAGTATAATGAGAATACAGTTAAATAATGCTGTCTGAATTGTTCCATAAAAACATCCAATTTCAACATACATAATATTAATAAAGAACACTTCTTACATGGTATTTTTTCCTACACAACTATCACTTTTGTGTATGAAAATGCAAAACTTGTCTAAAGTGTTGAGCACCTGCAGTGAAAAATAAGGCATATTATGGGAAGAGATGGGCATCTGAAAGTTTCTAATGCAAATACATATGCAGATGACATGCTTCCTGTCTTCCAGATATATTACTGCACACATGGCACATACACTTCCCTTGCCTACATTAATATCTGCATAGGACAATAATCATATCTGGAAACACAGAGCATAAATTTAAAGAAGAGATGGATGTTCTGAAACTGACAAAAGTCACCAAGAACACACACACAGCTCAGCAGGACTTCCATAATGAAAACTGACTGAAGTGAAAATTGAACTATTTAATTGAGAAACAGGGCTCAGGTAAAATACAGCAGAAACATATTGCCAAGAGAGATAATGAATTTCTCAATGCTCTTTTAAAAATTGGCCTAAATAACATAACTTTAAGATTCAGTAAGCCATCAGACAGACAGACAGCCTACTTGATCTGCTACATCTTTGTAAAATTGCCCCCCCACCACACACACAACTATTTTGAAATATGAGAACAAAGCATTCAAGGACTGTGTATCCTCCTGCCTTGTTTCCTATACTCGATAAAGAGATATACTTGTTCTTCAAAATGAGCACCTACTGGCACTTGGCAAATAAGTTATCACTAAAAATCATCTACCATGTAATCCAAAGTCATCAGGAAGTAAAGTGAGCTGGTTGCCAACTTGAATTTTGATTCTGACAACAAAAGGAATGTTCATTCAATTGTTTCTAAAAATACATTTTGGGTGGAATCCAGTGCAGGTTTAGATAGACAAAAGTCCTATTAGAATTCCCCAGCCAACCATGCATAAGATGGTGCTTTTCAATACTCTTATGTCTTGGCCGGAAGCAACATCTTTACCAATGCCCTGATTGTGCAAATGATCAATTTCAGCTAGATAATGCATTCTTAGAGATAATTTGTACAAAGAGAATTTTCTGTTGTTTAGTAACAGGTAGTTAAATGAAACACTTATGAACATTTCACAAAAACAGAATATGTATTAAGGTTTTGTTTTTTGTAAATCTCCTTCCTTAAGCGTTCAGACTACTTGTAGAAGTGGCTCATTCAAAAACACAACATATTCAGCAATGCCTTGATACTTCCGCCATTCACAAGATGTATATGCAAAATAAGCCAGCACAGGAGATGGCACCACAGAAAGAAAGACGACATCGCCTCAAACACGACGCTTTCCGGCGACGAGAAACGGTCGTGAAAAAGAAAGCTATGCTCATACGTATGTGAAAGAAGGCCAATCCTTGAGAGCGACACGACAGCGCTACGCTAAATAACGCGTAAGAAGCTGCTCCATGGAACATGCGAACAGAAACATCAGCTGACTGGCATATGGCTACTACATGCCGCAAAACCGCTCTCCGGTAAGGGACCTGCCCCGAGGGGAACGCTCGCAGCCCACGCCGCACAGCGACCGAAGCCTTCGCAGCCCTCACCGAACGCGCCGCCGCAGGTCTTAACCCGAAAATCTTCCAGCGTCTTGGGGAACGCATCAAATCGCTTCAGTCTCCAAAGCGACTCCATGACGGATGCTCCCCGCCCTCTCCAGCAGGCGACCCGGAAGAAGAATCCGCTTCCGGATCTTAGTCCCGCCCCCTGTCTTCTCTTTCATGGATCACCATAGAGATCCTACACTGGAATAACGCAAGAGTAACCTAAGTTGCACAGCCAGTTTTACGATACAACTGGATATTTATTTTTTCCCAAGCGGAGTGGAAGCGAGTGCTTCTTTTGGAAAGCAATAAAGATATCTAGGATTTTAGTGCAGTTGAGATAGGGCAAGAAGCAGCCTTCTTCAGTCCGCGGTCCACCAGATGTTTGGACCACAATTCCCATAATGCTTTCATCGGTCATGATGGCTGGACTGATGGTTAAAGCATCTTAAAGGTACCAGGTTGGAGAAGGGTGGACCATAGAATGTGTTACGTATACCCTTATCCTTTTTGTAAATTGGGGCTTGTTTCTCTTGAAAAGATCAGTCATTTGAGTGTGCTTAATCATTTGCTACGCAGCTACATGTGCTCTGCGTAGAACTGACGGCTGGCAAGAGCCCCCTGCAGGAGCAACTTAAGTAGATTTACCTTTGCTACAACTTCAGGGGTTTCTTGGAGGAGATAGATGGCTGGAATCAAGCCCCAGCTCCACCTCTAATGTGTAATCTTGAGTATTATTGCCGGGGTTTTTTATGTGCCACCTCCAAGAAGGGTATTTTCTCTCAAATTTAGCTTCTCCATCTTACAAAATGGGGGCAATTTTATGAACTCCTGAAACAAACAAATACAATTAACATTTCACATGAAATAAAAGCTTGTTTAGAAACTTAATCCTTTGTTGCTTTTTATTCATACTTTTAAAAAAAAATCGTGCTACTTGGTGTTATGTATTAACACTAAAGCAGTAAGTTATCCTACAGGTTAATCTGCATATTCAGACTCTGAATTCATTCTTGGAGACCTTTTCCCATATATGATAAGGCCTTTTCTGTGATGGTGCCCCTGCTGTTGGATGGCCTCACCAGAGGCTTGCCTGAAATTTTTGGTGCCTGGTGAAAACCTTTATTTTCCTAGGCTTTTTAGCCCACTTGTTTTTAAAAGGTATGTGATCTTTGCACTGCTGCTGAATTTTATTTTGGTTCATACATTGATTTTGTTTTAAACTATCGGTTTTTATATATTATTACTTACTATTGTATTTTATGGTTTTAAGTATTTTGTGAACTGCCCAGACAGATTTGGCTGTTTGGTAGCATGCAAATGTAATAAATTACATTGGTACCTCAGATCACAAATACCTCAGTTTACGACCAAATCGGGTCGCAAACAAAAATTTCATAAACATTTTGATTCAGGTCGCGAACTCTGCATTGGGTGGTGACCAAGATTGTGGCCATCTTCTCTCCCCCCGCCCCCCCCCGAGTGCGAAGATGGCCTCCATTGTGCTGGGGGCGGGGGAGAGATGGCTGAGATCGTGCTTGGCTTTCCTGCACGAGTGCGCCCGTGATTGCGCCCGGCTTTCCTGCACAAGCACAACTGCGATCTCAGCCATCTCCCCGGGATGATGGGAGCGATCATGGTCGTGCTGGGGGGTGGGGGGGCGGGAGATGGCCACCATCTTTGTTGTTCTTTGTCACTTTGCTTCACATTTTTCTGATTAAAAAAATAGTTACAGAACGGATTAACCTTATTTACATTGAACCTTATTTACATTGAACCTTATGGAGAAATTTAACTTGGCTCACGACCAGTTTGGGTCATGACCAGAGTCCTGGAACAGATTAACTTCGTGAGCCAAGGTACCATTGTATGTGCAATGGAAAAAGACACAGGGAGAGGGAGAATTAAATTTTTCAGCAGGGTTGGTTGAATGCCCTAGTTCCCACTCTTACCTCCCTCAATACAGCCTGCTGGCCATTGGAGGAACTGAGCAGTGACTTTCTTTTGGGATTGATGTGCTAATTTTTAAATAAATATAATTCAGAAAAAAAGATGCAGCTGTCTGAAATTCTGGGTGGAAAATATGTGTAATTCCTAGGTGGGTTGAAATATTGGTCACTGTTTTTATCCTTTGATTACAGGGACTTAATTTAGAGCAACCCTGTTCTAGTAATATAGTCTTCTGTTAACAGTGTATGTTAGTAGTAGGGTTGATTCTGAGAGAGATACAACAGCCCTGTCATACAGTCAGTGTACTAAAGGAACATCTAGTATAGTGCACCAACTGTTTTTTAAAATAAAAAGTTTATTAAATGCTTTAACAAGTCCAATGAGTCTACCTAATCATTACCTGTCAGATTTTTTTCCTTTTAAATAAACAACTTGGGCAGAAGATATACCTGCTTATTGGAGGTTATGGCAACATTTGTGCTATTTTATTCTACTATTGTGCAGTACCTCCTGAGAAGGTGAAAAATTTGAAAATGCAAGAAAATTATCCTACACTCATTGAAACTCTGGCCATTTAAAACCAGTATGTAAGAAGAGCCATGTTGGATCATCAGTCCAGCATTCTGTCTCTGCAGTAGCCAACAAAATAACTTTGAAAAGCCCAGAAGCAGGAATGGTCATGTTCCCCAGGAACTGGTATTAAGAGGCACCTAGTCTCTGATACTGGATGCAGTATACAGCCACCATGACTATTAGCCATTGCTAGGGTTAATCTAGCATTAAGGTTTTAGTGTCCTCTCATTTAGAAGTTAGACTACTGAGCAGAGAACCAGTGCATACATATGTAAATATACAGACATACAAAGTTTCTGTTCAATACTTCCTTCCATTCCCTCCCTGGGGTATGATATACTCGGGGTTTTGGGGGGGGTGGTCTTTATTTTCACAATTGGAGGCCTGTTCACTCTCATCTTTTTAGTGAGTCAGAGAAAATAGAAGTTCTTAGTTAAACAGGAGCTAACAAGACAGAAATTGAAATGGAAAAGGAGATATAGTTAATGTGGAAGAGTATCTGAACAAAAAGGAAAAATGAAGAAGAGTTAAAACAAATATATTTATTATAAATATTAAGAAAATTTAGTACAAATATTATAAAAAATAACTTTGGAAATATTTTACAATAAGCTGCTGGGAAGAAGTTTAGAACAAGATGAAGTGTCAAAGCTTAATTAAAATTTATAGTAAGATACTAAGGATTTCAACTGAAACTAATATTCTTTTGCTTGGGACCCCTCCCTCCTGTCCTGTTTTGTCCTGAGTCTATGCAAAATAACTGGCTAGAAATATTTTCAGTCTCTCTCAGAACCCGTTTTCTATAATGAACTTACATTCTCTCCACCAGAAACTCAATAATTATAAATAGTTCTCTTTTATTTTGGCTTTCATGCCCTGGCTCAGAGTTTGTTCTGTGACAAAGTCTCCATAATACATACCTTCAGTCATTTACTATGCAGCCTAATACTGCTCTCATTATTTCACAGCCTGTTTTCATATGAACTTCATTAGTTCTGAACAATGTGCACTTAATGCTCTGAAGAATAAAGGTTGGCAGGATGAGTCGTAAAAGTCAAGACTCAATTGGGCAAGGGGAAGACTCATTAAAACTATTGCAGTTCAATACAGTTAAAATTTACAGTGTTTGAAGAAGCTCCTGTTAGCTGCAGGTATAGTGGCCTTAATTCTGCAGCATCGCTGGCTCTTGCCATCTCTTCCATGCTACCGTGAGGCTTTCTACTAGACCTTTTTGTGTGTTGAGCTTATTGTGTGCTTTCCAGACAAAAGGTTATCCCAGCTTCCTGCTGTCAATTGCAGACTGTGATTCAAAGTTTCATCAAGCTTCCGAGTCTCTGATTCTAGAATAGTAGCCTCAGGTTCCCTAGCCACAGCAGCTAAAGAATCTGAGAGCTCTTGGCGTAAGCCTGAAAGTTCCTGGTTTGTCTTGGTATAACAGTCAATATAATCCTGTTTCTGCTTCCGTTCTAGTGAGAGCTGCTTTTGTAGAACACAAACCTAGATGGGGAAAAGATGTCATTAAGAACTAGTGCATTTTTACTTCTCTGAAGTTCTTATTTTCTAGACTTCTGGTTATTAGGAAAGAACACCTTCAGACTTGGACAAAGTATACTGTCTTCCAGTTTTATTATTTATAATTTCTAACACTTTTCAGTCTTTGTACCAGAAGTTAGGGTGCAATCCAATGGGTTATGCCCTTCTAAGGAAGCCTCTGGACTCACAAGCTTCCAGTATTCAGCCTGCTGGGCTGCTGTCAGCACTGGGGGGTGGGGAGAGTGACAAAGGCAATTTTCATGTTTCCTTCCTCATTTTGTTTCATTTTCCCCTAAAGGGTCTCTGGGTCCATCTAGAAGATGTGTACTGCTGACCATAGGATCTTCCAGATCTTGACTTGCCCATCTCCAGAACACCCCCTTGCTGATGAGATCTTCCAAGATCATTTTTACAACCTCAGAAAATAAGCACTTTGGTTCATTCTATAGTAGCTGCAAGGGAGTGTGGAAAGGGAATTGCCCTTCTGAGTCTGTAACAGTCCTTTACAGCTTTGGGAAATGGAATCAGAGAAATCCTACAATCCTTGAAATGCTCTTCAGAGGCCACAGGATTGCTATCTTCTTTGTATTTAAATCTTTTGTATACATATAGTAACATTTCAGGGACAAAACTAGAGTGGCATGATCTACTATGAACTTAAAAGTATAGTAGGGGCAATTTTTGGTGGGGGGGGGGGTTAAAGCACTGAATTCTCCCCTTTACAAACTTTACTGGAAGCCATTAGCTGAAAAAATGCCTCAGGCTGCAATCCTACACACTCTTACATGGGAGTAAGTCCCATTAAACTCCACAAGCTTTACTTCCCAGTAGACATACATAGGATTGCACTGTCAGTGAACCTCTATAGGAGCTCAGACATTGAGGATGCACTTGGACACAAGAAGAAGTAGACAGTTCCAAGAGATTCGGTGTGAACCACTCACTTGTTTTTGTAATTCTGCCAGTTGCTTATGGAGAATCTGGATTTCTTCCTAGACAAGGTACAGGGAGAAAAGGGAAAAGTACAAGATGAAATTGCTTACTTTCAAGAAGTCCACTACTTACAAAGAGAAAAGTGTCTGTACAGTTTAAACCTTTCTCCATTTATGAAAGGACAACACAGAATGGCAATTTGTGAACGTCACCAATGTAATACTATCAGCATTCTAATCTGTAGAACAGGAGATGCAAAAAGTGAGAGTTGCAGATGGCCTACTGGAACCCTTCAACACTGCCAAAAAAAAAAAATCACAGCAGGACTGTGTCAGCTTTCCTGGGTTAACACTGCCTGATAAATGGTTGGAAGTAAGTGAAAGGATTTCCCATGCTAGCACTAGTGCTAGCTACAAAAATGGATTTACATGGTTAACACTGGAAAATAATTCCTTCCCTTCTTTCTACTCTCTGAGAAATTTCTCTAATGAAAAATTAGAGATAAGGAAAGAATTTCTCTTGCTAGAGCTACTATTACTGTCAGTGTCTTTGTATGCACATGCAGTCCCTTGGTGATACTCTATGTGGGCTTTACAGGATCCCTGATTTAGGAAAAGAAATATTTTGGATGTGTTTAAATAATTCTAGAATATATCAATACTCAGACCTTGGCAAAAGATGAACTCCTTTGAGGACCAGACTCAGAGTCTCCAAAATTCAGAGAAAAGTTTCCACGACTCCTCTTCAATCTCCTCCGTTCACGTTCTACCTGCAGTCAAGAGAAGAGCAGGGGAAAGTATACCACTGGGCAAATGATAAAAAATGTTGTTCAGGACAAAAGGAGCGAAGTAGAAGAATATTTTCAGCTGTGAAAGTTAAGTCAATCACTGCAAGTACCAGAACAGACTAGGCTGACTAGGGCACGAGAGTTCTAGAAAGTGCTGGATCTTCGAAGACGGAGAGTGTGTGAGAAAAACAACCAGCCCATGAAATAAGTAAGGGAAGGCAGGTCTGAACTGGAAGAATCAGGGAGCAGGCACTGTTACAATGGGTCAGTTCTCATCATCAAACAGGCATGGGTTATCTGAGGATTGTTTGCTGTGGTTCAGCTGACCTGACAAGCCATCCTGTTCAGCACTTGCCTTAAAGTAACTACTGTGGCCTGTTTAAGACACAGTGGCTTGTTTTGATCATGCAAAGTGGTTCATTATTTATACTGATGCTCAATGAGTACTGATAGTACAATTAGACTACACTAAGGAATAGTAAAAGAAAGAAAATAATCCTGATTTTATTTTTGAAAGTTTCCCTTTAGAAGGAAACTCACCTGTTCCAGCGCATCTCTAAGCTGGGTATTGTGCTGCTCTAGACCATATTTATCATTCTCCAGCTTGGCAACAGCTTGCTGCAGAAGTTGGAGGCGCCTGTACAAGCATCTCCTTTCAGCCACCCATGTCAACTTCCCTTTTTGTAAAGCCTGAATGATGAAGAAAAACAGCACTGGGTAAGTAGGAACCACTAAAAGTAAGAAAACAAGAGACTGGAAGCAGTATAGATTGCCACCAGAAATAATGAAGATTTTGCTCCATGGGTAGTGCACTGTCCTTCCATTTCGTGAAGAAGCTTCCTTCTTTTCACTAAAATTGTTGCTGGAAATTTGAGAACCATGCAATTGGTGCCCTTAACAAGACATTTGAAAAGACACTCAAAAGCTCCCCTTTCTACATTATATATTGCCAACATTCTGTTCTAGTATCCTTCTCATCTTACCTCTCCAGCCTCTTGATGACTTACTTCTGGCATATCACTTTCCCTGTTCAGCAGATCCACTTCTCCTACCAGTGCTTCAGTGCTATGTCTTTCTTCTTCCAGAGCTCTGAAAGCTGTATTCAACTGTTCCTGTGAAACATGAAACAGTACTATTCACTCACTGTGCACTGTTTGCCCACTTAAACTCTGCAAACAGAAAGCACGTATGAAGCATGTAAAGCTCCCTGTGCCCCTGGCTTTTCTCTTCCTGCTTCATCTTTATTATACTTATGCTAGGGTCCAATTAATTTCTATTCTAAGCCTGATTCTCACTATCAGTGAGATATTTCTGAAGTTAACAATAGGCCAAGTATAATCTTACCATGACATAATGGAATCTTACACTATGCTAACAAACTTTGTCACATCACACAACTTACAGGCTTTTAAAAACAGAAACACTAAAATGCTTACCTGTAGATGGAGCCTGTCCCTGTCTCTTTCTGAAACCATGTTCTGTACAATCACCATTTCCTCCCTCAGAACTCTCAGGGCCGCTTCACTCTGGGCTAGAGACAGACTCAGCTTCTGGGCTCTCTCTCTCCATTCTATCTCTCCACTCTCTGTTTGTTTCAAAACAGTTGTCACAAGATCCAATTCCTGTCTCTTTACTCTGTTCTCATCTTCCAAATGTTGAATTTTTTCCTTTTGCCATTCCAGCTTCTGGTCTTTTTCCTGAAGAGACATGCTTTTAACTATTTTTTCTTCCTTCCATGCAAGAAGTGTTTGTATATAACTCTGTAAGTTGCCTTCTTCACTATTTTGCAGTCTCAGAGCTGTGATTACTTCCTTTAGCTTTTCACTACAAGTTAGTAGTTCTTTCTCGTTGCCTCGGACTGTCTCTTGCAGCTGCTCAATTTTCCCTCCCTGCCATTCAGCCTCCTCATCTTTTTTCTTCAGCACATGCTGGAGATGTTGTATGTTCTCCTGAAGAACTTTAATCTCATTTTCCATTTGCTTTTGTTGCCTTTCATATTCAAATTTCATCTGGTTTCCCCTTTCTTTTGACCCTTCTAGAAATTCCTCTCTTTCTCTGGGAGGTGTTTCATCCTGTTTTATCTGCTCATCTTTGTTCTCACTCTCTTGTTTTTTCTTTTTAAGTACACCCTCCAACTGATTTGCTCGATTCTGCCATGCCTGTGATTCTGCCAGTGTTGCTTCTACTTTAGCCTGGTATGTGCACATTTGCTTTGCCTGCTTGTGAAGCTCCTCTTCCTTCTCTGTCATTAACTCATTGATCCTATGTAGATCTTGTTGTAGGCTTGCAACCCTACTCAGTTCCTCTTCCTTCTCTCTTGAGAGTTCCTTGATTTGTTCTCGTAATGATTCAATCTCTTTATCTTTGTCTTGAAGGGAAGCTCTGGTGAACTCCAGTTTCTCCAAGATAGATTTTGTCTCCACCACTGCTTTTTCCTCTTGTTGCTGAAGCTGGCAATTTTCTTTCTTTAAGGATTCAAGTTGCCTCTCTTTATTTTGCAAAGCTTGTTTTGCTTCTTGAAGATTTGTTTGCATTTCTCTCACCAGCTTTTTTTTCTCTTCTTCATTTTCTTCTTTCTGCCTTTCTAGGGACTCAATTTCTTTCTCTCTTCCCCTTAACATCACTCTGAGCTGCTCCAACACATCAATAATTGTTTCTTTTAGCACATGTTCTTTGAGTGGGCTTATTTGTTCTTTCTGAAGCTCTGCATGACCATCTCTTTCCTTCATAACTTCCGTGTAACATTGAACATCTCCAAGTAGAACTCTTATCTGCCTCTCCACCTCCTCTTCACATTTGTTTTGAAATTCTAGCTCTTTATTCTTTTCCTCCAGGGACTGCTGAGTGATTGCTATAAGTTCATGGAGAGCCTTTACTTCTGTTTTCATTTCTCCTTCTATTTCTCTTACTTGCTGCTTTTGGGACTCAAGCTCTTGATCTCGCTGAGTCAGGGTGACTGCCATCTGTCTTAGCTTCTCATGAAGTTCATGGAGATGATTCTCCCTTTGAGCCTCATCCTGCTGAAAACTTGTGATCTGTTCCCTGTAGGATTCCACCTCCTTTTCTTTGTCCTGCAGAATGGTATTCATGTGTTCTAGGCTTCCGTGAAGAGCCTTTTCACATTTTACCCCCTGTTCTTCCCGTTCCTGGAGTAGCTGCTTTAGAGATGCAAGTTCCCAATCTTTTTCATCCAGCTGTACTTTTAAATCACCAAGATCTTTCAGCAAAGCCCCAATTTGTAATGACTCATTCTCTTCTAGTATTTTGATTCTTTCCTCCTTGATTTTAATTTCCTTGACTTTTTCTTCCAGATTCAAAGTCAGTTTTTCCATGACAGTTCTCTGGTTTTGTGTCAGCTCCTCTAGTTTTTGGATCTTTTCTTCTTGAGAGTTCATATTTTGGAGCATCTCTTCTAGATCTTGATTTAGTCTCTCTACAGCAACCTCCTTCACTTCATTCTCCTTTCTCAACTCTTCTATTTGTCTTTTTTGAGATTCTGTTTCTAGACCTTGATTTTCTAGATCTTTAGTGAGGTGTTCTACAGCTGCATTCTGTAATTCTCTGTGCATCTCTAGATCCTGAATCTGCTGTAGTTGGGATTTTATTTCTTCCTCTCTTTTTTCTAGCATAGCAGTCAGACAATTCAGGTCTTCTTGCAAAGTTTTTCCTACACTTGTTTCTTGCTGCAAAGTCTCTACTTCCTCATGTTTACTTCTGAGTGTTGATAGAGTTGTCTGAAGCTCTTGTTCCAGGGATTGATTCATCTTTTCCATGGCATTTGCTCGAATCTCAGAAGTTCTGACAGATTCCCGAAAAAGATCCAGCTCCCATGCCATCTTTTCCCTAGCCATTTGTAGTGCATCTCGTTCATTCTGAAATACAACAATAATTACTCAAAAAAATAGTCTCAATAGTTGCTGAGGTTATTACAGCATGCAGAAATGGACTATGATTGATTTTTAATCAGTGCTTGATGTTCCCCAAACCATATCTACTATTTCTTCATTAACTATTTTATATGTTAACTAGGAAACAGCATTATTTCAAGTATAAGCTTTGCATAAAGTGGCTGCTCCCCACCTCTGGAATCAACTTCCAAGGTAAATTCACCTGGCGCCATCACTATTTTGTAAGCCGCCCCAAGGCTTTTTGTAAGCCGCCCCATGGCTTCGGCGAATGGGGCGGCCTAGAAAGAAAGAAAGAAAGAAAGAAAGAAAGAAAGAAAGAAAGAAAGAAAGATTTTCATTTCAGTGCCAGGTGAAAACATAGCTTTTTAATATTTATTTTAACTGATCCTGACCTCCTTTCACTTATCTGTATTAGTGATTATATTTGGTTTTAAAATTAGTCAGGCTTTAAAAATTAAACACAGGCAACTTATCTGGTCGTAACTTCTAAAATGCTCACTAGAGGGGAATCAATATTTATTCTAGATGAAGAGAATATTTGAACCAGAACAGAGAAGTAAATGAAGCATGCAAATCCATTTTGTTACTACTTAAAATCCAATTATAAATGAGAATCTAAATAATAGAAGTCTCTGGCATGGCAATAATTTGTTAAATTTAACTGTGTTGGCCAATAATGTCCTCTAGGTTCACTTCATTAGTATTTGCCACACAATAATCACTTATCAAAATCTAGTCTGTATCCACAGTTAAATAAGCAAACTGGAAGCATGAAATGCTCGGTAAAAGAAAGGCACTACATTCAAGGTAAGCAAAAGATACTGTTGCAAGAAAGAACATGCAAAGTATGAATAATGGCATTCCTGCTGTATGGACCTAACACACACTTTTTTTTGGTCTGGTTAGAGAAAATGAATAATGTGGAAGGGATAAAGGTGGCATTAGGGAAAGTAAAATTAACCTGGCTTAATTTTTTGCCATTAGAACAATGGACTAAAGAATGGGTAAATAAAAAAGTAAAAAGAAATACAATCCCTAATCAGATGCCACATAACAACCTGAATAGTAGTGTTTCCCATCAGATATTCTCAACAGCCAGTCCAATTCTTGTTAGAATTCTGCAAGCCACCTGCTAGCCTCACCAATATATCCTTTCTTTGTTTTTCTGTACTCTCAAGGGTCTTCTCCAAAGTGGTCACCTTCCCACGCAAAGTCACATTTTCTTCTTTGAAGGCAATGATTTCTGCCTTCAATGCAAACTCTAAGGAGCCTCGTTTACCTTCTGCTACATTCTTTTCTGAAATACAGAAGATATGAAGGAAAAAAATTATAAAAATATCATCTATATTGGCCAGTAAATTTTCTTCTTGTACTAGGTTAAGCACCTTCAACTATGGTTTCGCCTGAATACTGTCATTCAAAAATGCAGCTAAAGCAATATATAAGAGTTAATGAATCACAGTTCCCATCTCAAATAAGTAATCTGTAATTGCATATCATACCCATGAATCTTTAGGAACAGTAAGCTTCTGGCTTCTTCTATGGTGTATGTGCTACATTATAGAAAAAGATCTCATTTTCAGGATTACTAAGGTTCAAGCTTTCAGGATTACTAGTGACAGCTTCCTGAGCAGCTACAATGGCCATACTTACACCTTCTGCCTGTGCCTGCTCTAATGCCTTTTTTCCTAGAAAATGTTCTGCTTAATCTTTATCAAGTACCATATTCCTTGAGATCTTCCATATGGTTTCCTTCTATTTGCTAAGACTTGGTTCATGTTTTTAATCTTTGCATCTCTTCCTATGCCAGTCTACCTCTTGTCCCTAATTTTCTGTTGGGATCTAGTCCACTGTCTCCATGCTCCTGCACCTACTTACCTTCCTGGATGTATTTTCCTTCTTATATTATAGCACACATACCTAATGGATACCATCAATACAGAACCAGTGCGGCGTAAAGGTTAGTGTGTTGGAGGACTCAGGAAATCTGAGTTCTAGTCCTTACTTGGCCATGAAACTCACTGGGTGGCTTTGGGCCAGTCACTTACTCTCATTTAACCTATTTCACAGAGTGCTTGTAAACATAAAATGGAGTTCAGGAAGATTATGTAAGCCACCTTGAAACCTTCCAAGAAGGAAAAAAGTGGGATATAAATGTAATGATGATAATAATATGAAAACAAATACAGATTTTGCCAGGTGATTTATTTGGGGCACAATCCTATGCATGATTAGACAGAAAGTTCTACAGTAGAACTTTTTTCTGTCAAAACAAGCAGGAGCTTACACTGTTATTAGTCTAAATTTTAAAAAAATCTCACTGCTAACATATTTTGAACTCTGGGATCGTCTATACTGAAACAAGAAACAAGAACACTTAGGAGAAGGTTTAGAAAAAAAACTTATCCAACATGAGCAACTGGTTCCTGCAATTGAAACTACCTTTTGGAACTAGTTTTCTCTTTAAAAAAAATAATCACAGTTCTTCACTTTTAATGAATCAGCCTTCTGCCTTTGCAGTGTACTTGCTTTGTTCCACCTTATATCCAATATTTTCTTAATATTTTGTCTCAGACCCCCCATTAAGCCTGGCAGAACAAGATTCATGATATCCCATATGTACCTTCCTGGATTTGGTTCAGCCACTTTTGCAGTTCTTGGGCTTTGGCACTGAGACGGTCTCTTTCTGCTTCCTTTTCAGAGAGTTCATGCTTCAGTTTCTCAAAATTCTTCTTCATCTCATCCTGTGAATAAAACAATGGTCTCATAGGTGCCAATAGAGGGAGGAAGGACCAGCAACTTCTTGGGACAATGAAACAAAAAATCCATTTTCCACAAACTATGCACAGAGTTTTCTGTGTAAGGATCTCCAGCATGATGTTTGTTTTTTTAATAGAAACTAACTGCTGGAGGTTGCTGTGCTCAGTGGAGGCAGTAAAGATGGGTAGGTGAAGTGGGTGATTGACCTTTTTCATGCCAGTAGTTTTTTCTTCTCAAAAATTGCCCTTTTGTTCTTTGAGGAAGACAGGTTGAGAGGAAAACTGCCAGACAGGAAAAGGGCTAAAGATCCCATTGCTCATCCACCCTTTCTGTGTTCTAACTGCAGGCCCTACCAGCCATAATACAAAAGTCGCAATAGGATGTGAGAGGTCAAAATGCCTATAAAGCAAAAATAATCTTCCCTCACCAGGAAATGGCATAGCTACTAAAACACTAGGGTAGAATGCTGATAGACTCATGGATTGAAAGTTGAACTCCAACAAGCTAGGCAAACATTTTCCTCTAGAAATTTTAAAGGTGATGAAGGAGAGAGAGAGAAACAGGCAGAGAGTATCGCATATGGAGTTTCATCAGACAAGTTCAGTCAATGCAAAATGAAAATGCAGCTTGAAGTCTTACAAATCCAACTACTAAGTAGTTGAGAAAAGTTATCAAAGACAGATGTTAGCTGAATCAGGTATTGCTCAACCCAAGCACCTTTAGCAACAATAGTGAAAAAAAAATGTCAAGATATATAGATACAACTAATAATTGTCTTTTAAGGAATATCTCTATCTTTGTTCTAATTGGCCATATGGAACAATTAGTATAATTGAGAAGGAATTTCTTATTAGATTCCTAAGCAGGAGATTTATTTGATGAACAAACTATATAGAGATAAAATTCAGTGCAAAACTTTGTAGCTAGAACTAGGACTACTATTATCAATTGTTTCCAACAGATTCCCTCACATGTTCATTTAACATATGTACCATTTATTTCAATAGGTAGGATACAACTCAGGTAGTTATTTTTTTAATAAGAAATACAATAAGTACTTTATCAAGGGTTAGCAACTTATGGCCCTTCAATGTTTAGGCCTATAACTCCAGACATCCCTCAGCACTGGCTATGTTAGAAAGGACTGGTAGAAGCCAAAATATCAGGGGGGACCCAGCTTACCTACACCTATAATTATGAAGTATTATGGAGTGGTTGACCTTCCTGATTGTCTTTATTTTGACCATGTGTGCCTGATGAAATCCTTCTGTGTGTTTTAAAACCTTGAGGGCTTTCTTTTTAAACATGTAGAGATGGGAACAATGCGAAAAGTAACATGCTGATCAAACAAGGGAAAGAGTTACCCGTTGTAAGTGAGCCTGCCACAGATTCTGCCGCAGGTCCTGAATAGCTTCTGCTATTCTCTCCACTGTAAGCTCTGAGGAAAAGTCCTTAAGCTGAGGTATAGCAAGTCCCGTCTTATTATCCTGTTCTGGAGAAATAAGCCTCTTCTGTAACAGCATCTAGCCAAAAGGTCATTGACAGGAAAAGAACAAGAAAATCTAGAAGCTTTCACTGAAGGTCTTACTAGTTGGTCTGAGAGATATATAGCTGCTACTGCTTCATGTTGTTTTGCTCTGTTTTTCTTGTAACATCTGACGGAGGTGAGGGTAGGGAAATGTAGCAAAGCACAGTGTAATGTCACATACGATCTGTACTAGATGGTCCAAGATCAAGAAAGCAAAGAAACACTGCAGTAGCAGTTCCCTACAGGTATCCACTGCATTTGTCACACAATCCACAAGATGTCAGCACTTCCACACAGAGTGATAGTTTCCAACAGCAAAACTTTGTAGCTAGAACTAGGACTACTATTATCAATTGTTTCCAACAGATTCCCTCACATGTTCATTTAACATATGTACCATTTATTTCAATAGGTAGGATACAACTCTTAAGTTGGATAGAAACCTAAGATTTATTTTAAGCAATATTCCATAAATAAATTACTGTGCCCCCATTCTATCCCTGCTACAATTGTAAATCTTTCACCAATTTTGCCACCTCAAGTTTGTCTTTCAGGGTGGCATACGTTAATTAAAATACAATATAATAATAACAACATGATATCCACCATACAAACAATTAAACTAAGACAAAGCAATAAAACCAAGTTTAAATGCATAGGGAAATAAAAATGTATTAACTGGCAGGAAAACTGGTAGGGTTTCAATCTAAGAAGCAGTTCAAAAACCAACATCACTATGTATTTAATTGTTCTTCACAACAGGGCTCAGAAACCTATCAAAGGATTTCACAAAAGGTCTAAGCTGGTCCTCCTTCTACATAAAATGTGTCCCTTCTTATAACAAGATAACTGTTGGTAATAGGTGACATAAAGCAAGAATTGCTGACCTAGAACTTTTCCTAGGCTTAGTTTCCTAGGCATAGTTCCTTAGACTAACTAGGGGAACTGTTAGCTATGGTGAGAGATAGGAACAAGAGGGAAAGCAGAGTAACCTCCCTGTTCCCACAAGAAGCAGACACAACCTAGAGTGATAGGTTGAGAAAAGCTTGAGCTTAGTGCAGCCATATAGAATTCAGCCACCTGTCCAAATGGAGTGTGACTTGAATGCCCCTGCCACTCCAAAACAGAAGAAATCTTTCCAGAAAGTGCTCCAAAGTTCCATTTTCTGGTGTGATAGGGGCATCCAACAGTTGGAGTGGCTGACACTCTTCATGTGAATAAGGCTACAGAATGGAGCAAGGTGGCTTCCACCATGTTAACTTTAGGAAATCTTACTATTCCTTCATCCATAAGAAGTTGGATTCAGGTAAAAGGCTATAAGCCACTTCAACAGATTAGCAAGAAGCAAAAAACTAGTTCTCCTACTGCAGGATTTTGGCTCTTACACATAATCAACAATCTAACTCTAAAGGGCATTATGTAAGTTTACTTGTTTGTCAGACTCACCTTTACTAAGGGGAAATGAACTCCACATGTTTGTGTCTCCCTGCCCCCTGTGTTCCAACTTTGCTTCAGTTCTGTTACAGAGCATGTTCTGTAGAACTGAGCATAGCTTGGTAAGCTGGGATTGTGCTTCCCAACGGGCTGAGCGAGTGCGCTGACACTCAGAGGCCAATGCATCTGCCCGACTCTCTGTGTTGCATAGGCTCAGGCGCAACCGAGACACTTCAGCCTCCATTCTCTGCATAGAGTCCTTCAAACTCTGCTCATTAGCATGGGATTCTTCCAGGTCTTGGGTGAGCTGCATCTCGTGATCTCTGAAGGCTGCCTCTTTCTCTGCCATCAACTGCTTGAGTGACTGCATCTGCAGGGAGAGCAACATAGCTTGCAAGCACACAGGAATATGCAGGAAACTGTAAGTACCAAGCAAGAAAAGGAAGAGACAAGTAGGATATAATTTTGTAGAAAAATTAATTAATGGGTTTGTTAAAAGGATTGGGTATCATAGTCTATTATGAACATAAATGGGTCCAGTCTATTGTACCATGTAAGTTTTACTGGTTTTAGAAATAAACTAGTGAACTGACAGAGCTGTAGGAGGAAGCACGAATTACACATGGTTAAGCACTGGAGTGATAGCAACAGAAAATTAAAAGAGCTACAGCAGGGATGTGAAACCTCAGGCCCACAAGCCAAGTCCGATCCACAAGGATCTCAATCTGGCCCTCTGAGGTTTCTATAGAAGGCCTCCCTTTTCCCCAGTTATCAATTATTGGCGGTTTCCTGGCTTTTGCAGAACATTCACTATTCTAAAAGTACAAATGCCTATGATACGGTTTAGTTACTGGCAGCAAGATATTTAAGATAACATAGGTGGCATATCTGGCATTTTGGTCCTGGTCCTTTTTCCTTCAACCCCACCCACCACTGGAATACAGTGCTGAAGAGTTTCTGTGAAATGGAATTTGACCCTTGCACTGAAATGGGTTTAGCACATCTGATTTACAGTAAAAGGCAAGAGATACATGCAAAACTAGTTTTATTTACATGGTGCAAACAAAAAAAGAGAGACCCATATTAGGGAGGACAAAATAGGCAGAAGACAATTTCATGATAAAAGTGCCACATAAAGCATATGGAGACAGTAATAAAGAGAAATAAAGCTTTGCAACCCATGTTGAGTCTTTGTGCAATACCTGGCTATTGAGCTCCTGCATTTGTTTTGTGCGCTCAGTGAGCAGCTCTTCTGCTTGCTGCAGGCCAGTACTCAGTTTGGCAATTTCATGTTGGTGGGCAGCATTGCTGTGCTGCAGGTTTTTAAAGTGGACTTCCTTCTCTTCTAACACTACAACCAGGCTGAAACAGAAGAAAGCAGAGCTTTCATTGGACCATGAAGCAATCAGGCATATCACTACAAAATCCTGAAGTTTCTTTTCCTAGTAGACATCATATGCCTGCAGTTGTTTTAGAAGACATGCTTCCAAGTCTTGGTTATGGCATATGGGCATCATACTAACTTGAAAAGCTAGGGGCAATCACAATGACAACATTACATGCAATCAGGATGTTAAAAGCATGCACTCAAGTAGAAATTACTTTTGCAACTAAATTCATAATAGTTAGATGGGAAAGACAATTCAACAGCTTTAACAACCAAAGATGACCAAGGAGGCACAAAAAAATCTGGGTCACCAATTCTAGAAGTTTGTTGAGAGATGCAGCAAGTCTTCAAAAGACAGTTAGGGAAAAGTTGGTACAGTCACTGCCTGGCAGCTGCATCCTTGAAGGGATTTTTGCAGACCAATCAGAAAAATGAGGAATATATACATATATACAATCTGACAAGAGTATAGCTATAAAATTCCAAATCAAGTTATCTGGATTCAGTAGCCTTCTCCAAGTAAAAGTTTCCACAAGTACACGTTTTGGAAATTTTGGATAACTATATAATTGCTCAGTGGGGAAAAATACACAATAACTGAGGCAAGTTCTCCATCCACAAATTATTGAAGTAGTGCTCACTGGGTTTTTTCCTGCTCCAAAGCTTGCAGTGTTTCCTTAAGCTCTGCATTCTGACATTCCACCTCCTTCCACTGGCTCTGCTCTTTCTTCAGCTTCTGCAGAACTGTGTTCTGATGTTCCATTTCCTTCTGCTTTGTTTGCAGCTCCATGTTCTGATTTTCTAACTCCTCTTGCTGGCTGTGGAGAAGGGCCTGCAATTCAGCATTCTGATGTTCAGTTTTTTCCTTCCAGCTCTGCAACTCACAATAGCCTTGTTGCACTTCCTTCCAATTGCTTAGAAGCATTGCATTCTCGCGTTTGGTTTCTTCTTGTTGCTTCTGGAGCACAGCCTTCAATTGCACATTCTGACGCTCTGCCTCATCTCTCTGATGCTTCAGCTCTCCATTCTTAAGTTCTGTCTCCCTTAGTTGATTTTGCAACTGTTTATTTTGCTGTTTTGTCTCTTCCCACTGCCTTTGGAGTGCAGAATGCTGCTCTGAATTCTGACGCTCTGCCTCTTCCCATTGGCTCTGCTGCTTCTCCAGAGCTTGAAGTGCAGCATGCTTTTCTTCCACTTCTTTCTGTTTTCCCTGCAGCTCTCCCTGTAGTTCAGCATTCTTGTGCTCCATCTCTTCTTTCTGGCTCTGCAACTCAATGTTCTGCTGAACTATATCCTTGTGCTGTTTCCTTTCTGATTCCAACATCTTTTGGAGCTGTGCTCCTTCTAACACCTTCTGTTTTGACTGTTCTTGCACCTCTTTTAAATGTTGCTGAGTGTTCTGGCAAGAATCTTTGGCTATCAGTAGCTGGGATTCCAAATCTTGTACCTGAAAATGGGCAACAGAACAGCAGAGATACCAAGGTTATATACTCATGGAGATATTGTTCAGATTCAGACATTACAAGAAACACAATATAAGGCAAGCTTGAATTGTATACTGCAGGCTTGTTGTTTGCCTGGTAACACCAGAAACTGCATCAGCGTGATATACTGACCTATTTGAGTACAATGGAGGAAAATAAGCTTGGTTAAAGGGAAGATATTTTCTAGCATCCAGTGTCTTGTTATTCAGCACCAAACATCTGGCTTTCCTTAAAAGATTGCGTAAAAAACTTTTTCCAAAACTCTTCATATAATAGCCTTTTGGTTTCCTAATACGCTGAACATTTTTCCACAATGGTTTGGGGAAAGTTCCCATTGCAGTTTTAGCTCACAAATGCATTCCTATTACTGCTTGATCAGGCAGTTTGTAAAAAGCCACATGTCTGGCAGTACGCAAAAGGCCAGAAGATAGTTTCATTACTGGCATGATGATTTTAAGTAAAATCACCTGACTTTGCAAAGTACGTTGCTGTTGAACAAGGAAGTTGATTTCTTCTTTGAGAGATTTTATTTCCGCCTTGTATTTCTTTTCCAGTGTTTCCATTGTACTCTGGGCATCTCTCAGTTCAGCTTCCAGACCTTGTAGAGTACCCTGCAGAAAAGGGAAATGATAGTAGTAAATTTGGTAGGCTTCAGATACCTTTCTGCTGTACTTTCAGTACATAGCCCTATTTCTAAATTAAAATATTGTTGCTATGTGGAATGGTTTTGCCTTACATTATTCTTGTATTAGATACACACAAGGTAGCTTGAAGCCTATCAATCCATCCATTCATCCAAAAACTAGAGATATGGTGGGAATAATGGTGGAAGGGAGAGAACCATGGGATACAGTTATTGCTGGATTCTCTAAAGAAGGACAAGAAAGAACATATTGTGGACCCTGCTACTTTCTACATCAAAGACCATAGCACTGAAGGAAATTAGAAACCTCAAAAGGGGGGGGGGGGGGCAGATTCCTCTGCAGAATCACTATGCGTGACAGTATCAGACCTTCAAAATAATTTAGTAAAGGGCACATTCTATCACTCCATGACCAAAATGCTCAGGGTGATCTTGAGATGAAAAATGAAATCAGGGAGGCATTTGATGGAAAAAAATGTTGTAGTAACATCCATTTCTTAGAACAGTTGGTCATTTAACCTACCTGGCAATCCTGGAGGTATGCAATCCTGAACTGAATGTTGGAAAACTCAGAATTCAAGGCAAGATGAGTGTGTTGTTGAACACTGTCCAAAGTGTTACTTTATGTGCAAGTGGAAACTTGTTGTGTCAATCCAACACAATGACTTCTGACTTCAAAAGGGAAAACTTCCTTAAAATTAGGTGCTCATGAAAATTAAGTTGAAAAGACTAGATGCCAAATTTCTCTAGAATGCTTGGGGGTTACTGAGACCCTCACTAACAGAAATTCAACTAGATTTTGTATCACAGTTCAGGAAAAGTTGCACAAAGTCCAAGAGGTCACCAGCATGATTAATGAGTGTGTTAAGAAAGCGATCAGATAAGACTTCCTTCAGGAAATGGAAAACTTGCTCCAAAAGAATACCAGCTGTTAGAGAACATGTGCTACTGTGCTTATATCCTGTCAGCTTCCTATAAGTTGTTTGGAAATAGAATGCTGGACTATCTTTTGGTCAGATCCAGCAACAGTCTTTTCACGTTTAACCGCATAGATCTATATCTATCTTTAAATATTATAGTAAGTCTTTCACATTTTTCTCTGCATTCTATTTCAAACAAATGCAGCGTTAATGTTTGCGTGAGTGCATACGGATAAATGAATGTATAATTTGAAACAGACTCTGCTATAGGCAATGAACCAGTGTGATGTTAATTCCTGCAAACAGTTTATATATCTTTTAGAAAGAACACTGGCTATGAGACACTTGCAGGAAAAAAAAGCCTGAGTTGTTGCTGCTCAATTGGAGGCAGAACAGAGACCAGTTACAGGAAGTTCCCCTTATTATTTTACTAAAACCATCTTGACAAACTTTTATATTAAAATTTCATAGAAGTCTGAGACACATATGGGATTGTACTGAGAGTCTAAATGAGTTCAGTGGGAGTGTATACAGGACTGTAGACTTCACTATCAAATGTAAGCTGAAATTTGATCAGTGCTAATGAAATACTCTTTTATGATTTTCTACTAGTAGTTCTGGGTTAGCAGTAGGACCCATTTCCTATTTTTGATCCTATCACATATCACAACACTGGAAAAAAGCAGGGGCTTACTGAACCTATTTGTAACACCTGAGAAGTTGTTCTTCAACAATGGGACAACTGGATTATCAAAATCAACTTTCAGTGTTTTGAACTAGATTACATCTCACATTCTTACTGGCCCTTTACGCCTACCTCCTCTTTCTCTTGATGCTTTTTTGCTTCCCAATGGAGATGCTCCAACTGCTGGCAAGTACTAGCCAATTCCTTCTTTGTTTGGAGAACTTCGTCTAGTAAGGATTTCCTCTCACTTTCTTTTTCTAACATCATCTGTACATACAAAAATTAGGAAGAAGAGAATGTCAGCCTCCTAACAGAAATGAACCCTGAATTGCATCAAATGCATGGAACTTTAAGAACTTTACTTCACTGTAAGCCTTCACTGGTGTCTGTCAGTGGGCCAGTTCGCACATCATAGCAACAATTCTGGAGAAGCTTTTGGGTGCCACATTCCAGTGGGGCCAAAACAAACATATTTTAGCTTAAAGTTCTTACTACCAGTAACTAAACCTTAGAAGAGGCATATCAGGCTTTTACAATGGGAAAAAAACAAAAGCTGAGCAAAAAAAGAACGGTGGTTACTGGTACAACCAGGGGATAGGAAATAGAAACAGAGGAAATGGGCATGGCCATCTGGAGAATCCCTGAGGGCTAGATTGGGATCAACGAGAGCAGGATTTGATTTTCCATCTCTGCCTTTTTTTAAAAAAGTAAACTTATAGCTACATAAAATAAGAGGCTAAATGAAAACGATGTATCTTCACACCCTTTCTAAAAGCCAAGACAGTGAAGGCCAATCCTTTAGAAGCAACACAGAAGAAATGGTCCATGTTATTTTCACAAAATCCCTATAAAATAGTGTAAGGCTAAGAATTTACAAGAGCTGAGAAGGGCTATCATGGATAGAACTTGAAAATGACTGAGAAAATTCTCAGGAAATGAGAAGTTCTAAATGGTTTAAAATGTGTGTGTGTTTTTTAAAAATAGGAATGCATGATGGACTAAAAGTTATGCAGTTACTGCAATTTTACAATGGGTGTCTTTGGACATGTTTTTTTTCTATATGCTCAAATAAAACAAATCAGAAAAAATAGTAAGATAGTGATCTCATTATGTAGAATACCATCACCACAGGCAACATTCCAAAAAAGAAATGCAGTGGAGCTATCATGAATGCAAAACACCCACCCTACTTTACCTCTTGTTTGGCATTTCTGGCCACAGTGAGCTCAGCTTCTATCTGAGCCTGAATTGCAATTACCTGTTTCTGCAGCTCCAGAAGCTTCTTCTCACAGACAATTTCAATCTCTTCCTTCTCCATGATCATGCGCTTCAACACCTCTTCCATTTCTATATGGTGACGTTTTCGTTCACCTTCCTGGTAATATATCCACCAATTCCAACAAATGAGAGATAAAAAAAAAAGTACCTTACCTTTAACCGCTGGTCTTTTTTTTTTTTAGCTTACCAAGAGTTATTAGCCTTGTCTCTGGAATTCAAATTCTGCATGAATGCCATTACCTCTGGCTTACAACTTCAATGATTCTTCACCATTGGCTATGCTAGTTAGAGCTGATGGGAATTGTAGGCCAAAACATCCAGAGGGCCACACCTGACTGATGAGTCCTTCATGTAGGCTTCCTTCTAGTCCCTGAGCTATGGAACTGGCCAGTTCTCTCAACAACTGGATTAACATGACACAACAATCCATCAAAGGTGGTAAGACATGACTGATTTTCATATCAACCAGGACCACTTTCTTCACCCTGACTATCCATGCTTTGTTGCAGCTGTTTTACCCACAATAGGTTTGTCTTGTCATCTGAACCCATGCAATCAACCCCATTATGCATACCAGAAAGTGGCCAGCAAGCCATTTGGCAAGAGTAATAATGAATCTCTTGCCACTCTTACCAAACTTGCTTGGGCCATCACCACTGCCAGCCACCTCACAAATGCACACTTTACAGTGACTGTCATTGACTGGTGTCTCCTGCCACAACCACGAGTGCTTTTTTCCTCACCCAGGCTTTTATCCTTTAACATTTTTTGAAAGTCCTGACATTTTGTTTACTTTGCTTTCTCTTGAAAGCCGTTGTAAGGTTAGCTGTCAAGGAAAACCAAAGCTATAAAGGTATCCTTGCTTATGCAAAGAGAGTGTTACAACCTCTTTGCCGAGAGAGTTTTTCTTTTTTGCCCAAATTGCCCTCAGGGTACTGCTCATTTTGCAGTTCTCCCTGAGACTCTACCTGGTTTGGAAAGTACAATAGTGCATCCCAACCCATTTTTAGGGACAAGAAGTTTTGATGGTGCAACTGGTATTTTTTCTAACAGGTACACATGTGTGTAGGCCTGACTGAGTACTGAGCACAAATCTTTGACAGCAAGCTGTTAGACTCAAGCTTCTTTTTATTTATTTTTAAAAGGGCTATTTGCAGGGAGAGGGTTAATGTCAAAGACATATACAAACAACTTGAATACCCAAACCCCTTTAAAAGGAAACCAGAGTATTGAAAGCTAGCTGTCAACACTCCATGCATTTGTAAATCTGATGAATTCCACTTTCCTAGCTTTTAGATCAACAAAACGTATTTTAGAATCGAGCCTCTTTCAAGCTCAGCAGCAGGTCTCTCAACTGGAAGTGAGATCCAAAAAGAAAACCTGAAGGATCTCACTCTGACAGGGGTGATCTATTGGCTTTCCCATTCTGTGAATTAAGATCACTTGCCCTTTGACATTTGTCAAGAGACAAGGAGCTTTGACATACCATGACTTGTTCTGTAAACAACTAAGCCACCAGTGGTTATTCACAGAATGGGTTAGTGTGATGTGAGAAGTCAGCCACTGGAATGTTATCTCTGTAAGCCCCAACAGAAGGGCCATTGCTCTCAGACTGATGCTATTTAGACTGCCAGGTGATTTAAAACCCTATCTGAGGGAAGCTCTGGTGCTTGTTGCGGCTCTCCTAACATTGTATTAGCTATGCTAAAAATACAGTGGGCTCTTCCAGGAATCATTTTGTGCCTTGTATAGCAGAAGGAAGATGGCTGATGTCAATATGGCATTTGTATTATACTCGTCAGTTTCCGTGGGTGTCTAACATGAAGCCCTCACGAACACTGTGACTGATACTACAGGTGCCAACACAGTTGAGATTGGGAATGATGGAGTCTCTGACAGAGTGGTCATCATTGTTGCTACATTATCTCTTTTTTCCCCTACTGCTATTGCTTTGTATATGATACTGAGAGAGCCTAGAATACCTACTAGCTAGATCACTGCAAAGTCTGATGCAGTGGCAGGCATTTTAGTTGGACTACAAGACTGTCCTGAAATGTTTTTCCTGAGTTGGGCATGGAAGTATGTCAAAAGGCTGGCAGTTTGGGGCTAAAATAAAAATATATGCTGCTATAATATGAATATTTCACTTATTTTGTTTTGATTTTTGAAGAAATAAAATGTAAACCTTTGAAAATGAGAACAAAAAAAGTTAGATGAGAGACTTTCTCAAAGAGGTAACTACCTAGTTGCTTACCAGCTCTTGATAGATTACATTCATTTCCTCTTTATGTACAATTTGACACTGGTTGAGGGTTTCTTGGTATTTTTGTTCTGCCTGTAAGAGCTGCTGTGCTTTTTCTTCCTTTTCTTGCTCAACTTTTGACTTTGCTGCTTCCAGTTCCATAGAAAGGCATTTCACCTCTCCTGTAAGAATAAGCAAAGTGAGTAGGCATTTGACTCAGAATTACTGCTATCTTTTACCCCATCTGCCCACTGAAGATTCACCCATTGTAAGAATTAATAATGTTCATAGCACCTTCTCAAGGAATTATTTGAAAATGTGTCACCTTGTATCACTTCTTTGGCCTGACTGATTGCTTGAACTTTCATTTCCAGTTGACCTGTGGTAACTTCCAGTTGAGAAACCTGCTGCTGAGCTTGAAAGAGGCTCGATTCAAGAATATCTTTGGTTGATCTAAAAGTTACATATACGGAATTAGGGTTCATCTAATCTTTTGCTCCTTAGAAAAGGAGGATTTAATCCCAGAGGAGCCAGCTCTAACTTAGAAGCAGTTCCCAAATTGTGGCAGTGCATTAAACAGCAAAGGCTGTTTAGATGATTAAGCAACACAGAGTTTGTTAATAATGGACTATTTGTGAGCACAGAGGACTCAACAAGCATGCTGGTTCCTGCCCACCAGCCAGTTTCCACTTTAGAAAACAACCCAAAAACACCCCATCCAGATTGTTTGCCATGACATCTAAATCTGAAACTCTTAATTGTTTGGGAAGCAGCAACCTAGAGTTTTAACTCAACATCAAACCATGAATTAAAACTCTCAGTAAGTAAGAATTCCTGGTTCAGATGTCAGGCAACACAGAAACTTGGATTGCTTTCAAAATGGAAATAGCTGGAAAATAGCACACTCATTCACTCCTGCACATTCAATAGCAACTCATAGTTTACCTGATTGTATAGACTCTAATATGATTTTCACAAACAGACAACAAGAACAAATATCACAGACCATCACAAGTACTTGTTTATCAACATGGCATTTGAACATTTTATCTGCTATACATTCTTGAGTTGTTTTCTGCAAGTACAGAACTATGTCTGCCACATGGAGATACATCCTGGACACAATAAACCTTACGGCCTTCTGATGGAAAGGCTTGTTTCAGACTCTTCAGCTACTAAGAATGCATCCAATAATGATTCAAATAAGCAAGGTACTTCTTCTACCAGGCTCTTACCTGAACTCTTCCACCTGTTCTGTAAGGCTTAATCTCTCCCTTTCAATATACCCAAGTCGAACTTCCAATGTAGCTTTCTCATGCATTAACAGTTCTTTTTCTTTGGATACCTTGGTCAAAACCTCTCCAAGACAACTTGATTCCTGATGTGCCTTTTCCAAATTGGTATTAGCTGTTTCATGCTGGTGATAAGCCTAAAAAGTAGAAAGAAGACATCAGTGTTCAACAGAAGCAAAATGAAATGTTATGCATGCTAGACTAAGGCTGTAATAGTATATCATATTTCCTGGGAGTAAATCTCAATTAATTCAATTGAACTTACTTTTAAGTAAATATTGACAAAACTTGTTCAACAATTCCAGTCTTAAAATGTAAAAACTGTTTGAAATGACTATAATACAGCATTTTTAGATAAAGACCTCAACATGGATGCCCCCCCATGCTTGAAAAACACTTCCTGAATTTTTTTTCCAGTCCACTGAAGAAAATGTTGTCTATTCCTGAAATTTTCCTGTTATTAGACTTCTTTTTAATGAAGCTCAAATCCTAAACCAGATAACAGGGAATTTATAGAACAACTAATCCTTAGTACATTCAACTATCACTTTATCTAAGATACAGTACTGACTTAGTGTGTGCACACATGTGCACGCACACACACAAACTTTGGAAAAAAAACCTTGATAATTATGGCAAGTAACATATGGATAAGGCATGGCTACCAAATTACTCTCACTAATCTGATTAATCAAACAGCTAGACATAGGTAAAGGTAAAGGTAGGTAAAGCATAGGTAAACCTGCAAAATTTATCCAGAAATTGCCAATGAGAAATATATCTAGAGTGGTTTGTAATGTGTTAAGTTCCAAGTAATGGTTCTAAGAGACTTCCATATTCAGGTAATACTGAAACCAGTCTTAATACTACTGCTATTAAATGTCCCTACAAAATAGCTCAAGCCTGCCTCTTAATACTCACTTGGCTCAGCTTCTCATATGTTTCTTTCTGTTCATCTTGTAGCCCCCTCAACTGATCCTTTAAATTTTCCTGCAATTCTTCAGCCTTTTGCAGCAACTGCTCCAGCCGAAACTTCTCTGCATATAATTCCTCATTGATTTTTTCAGTCTGATGGAGTTTTTTCTGTGAAGAGGTTCTTACTCTCTCCAGGCAATCCACTTTGTCCAAAAGAGTTTGGTTTTCCTGCTCCAACTGTATCCACGGAAATGTCAGCAACCAATGAAGAAAATTAGCTCAATCTAAGCAGGCCTCCTCCCCCATTCTGAAGTCAAATGTCATGTTAGCACACTTCTTACATTTACAATGCTCAGAACATTCTTTTTTACCTTCAGGATAAGTTGATTCAAACCCACTTTGTCCAATGTTAAAGCTTCATTAAGTGCACCCATCTTTGCCGCTGTGTCATGCAGGTCAGCAGTTTCAGTCTTCAGTTTATTGTATGCGCTGGATAACTTTGCAAGGGACTGCTCAGCCTTGGAGTGGAAAACATGCCAAAAAATTAAAACCCACGAAAAACTAAGTAACAAGCTTCTCATTGGTAGTTTAAATCAAAGAAATCCTGAGTCAAGTTCTGTACACAGAATGGGTGCATTCAAACGTAACAGTAAGATATGGCTTATTGTTGCAAGAGCAAGCCTAGTCATAGATTTATCCCTCTCCTCTGTTCCTTCAGTATGGCTATGGTGAGATAGAAGACTACAACTTCATTTTCAGTGAAGGTATTAGGTATTACTTCCTAACTTTACATTGTGGCTAATTTTAACTACAGTTTATGGAAACAAACCAGTTATATAAACCAAGTTTAAAGTTGGTTTGTTTCATTAAGCCAGACTTAAGACTAACCACAGTTTTCTTAGATTCCAACAAAACAATTTTTTTGTCAGTCAAGAAGTCAAGTATCTTTTCTTTCCCATATAGGAAAGAGCAACTGAGGAAGGGGAAGATTAAATAACCCCCAGTGGTTCTTCCATCTGTACACTCACAAGGCTACTTTTAATATCTAGTTCCTCCGCAGTACATATACTTCAGTTGTGTACTCCAAGCATGTGCACAAGTCTATATATTTATTTACTTCTGTGAACATAGTACAGTATTAGATCACTTTAATGCATTGGAGATTGGGTTCAGTAAATACTGCTGCTGTTAAACAGGATGAATGAATACAGATTCTCCACAACAGCCCTAATCAAGTTCTACTGAACATGGGAAATAGGACAAGGTGAATGATGGCTGAAACAACTTTGAAACTTTTCAAGTGAGGTGTGGAGAAAATTGTTTTTACAGCTGTTTCTTTCTGTTGTTCTGTCTCTGGCCTGGTCTAGAACAGGACAAGCCAGTACCAGAGTTTTTGTAAACCCTACTGCAGCCCTCTCCAAACCTAATGCCTTCTTGGTACAACTTCCATCATGGCCACCAGGTTGAAGAAGAGTGTTTTACTGCTACATTCACATACTTTGTAGCATTGCCATTGTCTCAGCAATAAAAATGTCAATATCTTGTCTAAGGTGGATTTCCTGCTTAAATCTAAGAGAAGGTTTGGCTCTCATTAGGGAAACTGATGTTACTGTACCTGCTCCAGTGCTGAAGCAATTTCATGTTTTTCTTGCTTCGCTAGATCTCCCTCAAGCTGAGATTTTTCCAGAGCTTCTCTCATAGCTATCAGCTCATTCCTTAACAAAGAATGCTTTTCTTCAAGGGTGTTCCGATCTTCCTGACTGTATGGGGATATAAAGCATATAAAAAAGAAGAGGTAGGACTGCATGCAGAAGCAAGGATGCATCAATTATTTCCTGCTGTAAAAGTATCTGTACAACTTTGTAAATATGCAAGAACCATCTCCAACTATTATTAAGAGAACTCACAGCACTAAGAGAAACTTATGGTGCTTATTACTAAGTTTCTTTATTCCCCAGTCAATAAAACTACCTTCATAAAAAAGAGAGACATGATTACCATGGCTGGGATTGCAGGTCTAATAATTTGATACTAACCCTTCTTCCTGATCAAATAAGGTTACATTACACCAGAGAGCTGATGTAATATAGTGACTAAGAGGCTGAGTTATGAAGCAAGAAGACCCTGATTCAAATAATGATTTTGCCAGGACCCTTCTAGGTTGCTTTATAGAAACCATTCTCTCTCCCTCTCAGCCTCTGGCCTCCTAATCTGCAATATGGGGGATAAAAACACTGATTTAACATACAACTATGTCATGCATGCAAAGTGCTTTGAGTGTTTGAAAGCACTATAACAAATGTTAAGTTTTCTCACCACTATCACCACTTTCACTTCGAAGCTACGCCACAAGACAGCACAGAATCATTCAGGAATGCAGAACCTTCAGTTCACTGAACTTCTTGGAAGAATGCCCCTTAAAAGAATCCCTGCTATTATCTCTGACCTGAGAGTCTGGTAGGAGGCCGTTCAGTGCCCTACCTTAAGCTAGTTCTGCATCCCTCTTTCAAATGCAGCAAAGTGATGATAAAAGGGGGTAAGCAGATAGCTGTGGTGATGTCACATGCAATATCCAACAGGAGCAGCAGTGGATGCACTGTCTGAAAACAGAATTGTATTTTCCCAGTAACTAAGTACTGCTGTTTGGGAAGGGGAGACAAAATAAGACAAAGACTGACATATATTCTCTCTCCCGCAGCATCCTTTCCAATTCTTGCTTCCGTTCCTCTTTCTCCCCATCCATCAGGTCTCCTTTCAGTTGTAGCTCAGTATTGCTTTGGCGCAAGTGCCGGACCTCCTCTTCCATGACTTCCACTTGCTGTTGCAATTCTTTCCTGGATTTATCCAAGGCTGCATGGTCACTGTGAAACAGAAGTCACCAGTTAGAGAAAACTCAAAACAAGAAGGCACATGGAAAGTTCTGTTTGCACTTGCTCAGATAATACTGACTGAGTGGCTTTCTTTTCCCATCAGGGCTTTTGAAGAGGATATATGAAAATGAGGATGACATCTTCACACTGAGAGGCAGAATGACTTACAATCAATGCCTCTCTCACGCCTGGGGAAGCAAGGTGCCATTAGACAATTTGTTTGTCTATTTATTTATTCATTTATACTATCCCTTTTATACTGCTGAATATCCTTAAAACCTCTAAGAAGTACTCGCTTGCTCTCTCCCTCTCACACACACAATTACATGTATGTATATATATAATACAATATAAACAAATATTAAAATAGTGTAAAACAATAAACATTTGATTGTAAGTCAGAATAAATCTATGCAAATAAATACCACTTCAAAACACAATTAAGTTTGCCACATTTCCTGCCTCTTGAACTATACATGAGAGAATGAATGCCACTACCAAGAAGGCCCCTATACATGTTGTCACTTGTTGATACTCTATTAGTTGCACAATCACCGTCCTTGGAATAATATAGCTTATAATATTAATAATAAAGCTTCCTTGGAAGATCTTGGGGGATTTGTTCGGAAATTACCTACTCAGAAAGAAGAGCATTTAAAGAACACAGTGCATAAACAAAGGTTTGTTCACAGCTTAAGTAGCTACTTCATATCCATGCTGGAAAATGAGAAACTAATCTGGCAGTAAGAGCAAGATGCATTGCAAGACAAACGGGTTTAACTACTATTTACCAGTACAATATATTCTGCAGCAGAAGTTTCTAAAACAGGCTTCTCCAAAATGATCTCTTCCATATATGTTGATTTACAATTCCCATCACACCCAGCCAACATAATCAATAGCCATGCTTGCTGGGAATGATGAGTTTAGTCTGATACACCAGTGGAAAGTCTCACCCTAAATGAGAGGGAAAGTAAGCACGTGGCCAACCTGTGGTAAGTCTCCACTGTAGACTGGAGATGCTGGAGCTGGTTTGTGAGGGCATCACGTTCTCCTTCAAGCTGCTCAAGCCTTTGTCTTAAGAAGTTGCAATGCTGTTCCTGCTGTTCTTGTTGCTTTGCCAGGGTGCTGACAGAATTTTGACTTGCCAAAAGCTGCTGTTTCAGGTGCTGCCAAAAGGGGGGGGGGAGAAAACCATAATGGTGAGGGGAAAAATGAGACCAAAGCATGGAGACTGAAGAATTATTGTGCACAGACAGAACTAGTGAGGAGTTGGCCCGCAAAGCAAAAGTGGCTGGAGACTGAAGGGTTATTATGTACAGGCAAAGATAGTTTGCAAGGAAGAACATAAGAATCCTGCCTGTGGGAAAAGAAAATAATTAGAAAAGGAGCAATCTCCAGTGTGTGACTTACCAGGAAAAGTAGTAACTGACAGAAATAACCTGAGGGAACTAGGGAAACAAATTCATTAGAGGACGAAAGTGATTGGAAATTAGAATATATAAATGAGAGAAAACTACCATCCTGGCTGTATAGGTTTACTGTTGGCTGTAAAGGGTCTTATTTTTAAGAAAGCCTCCAAACTCTCTCACCTGTACTTCACTGCTTCTCCTCATCAGCCTATCACGCACCACAAGGAGGGTGGCATCTGGATCAGCAGGGTTCAGCTGCAACAGGTTGCAAGGCTCAGCACAGTTCTCAGCTCGTGGGCTGCCAATTGTTGCATCACTCTCATTGATGATTGCCTGAAATCCAAGGCCAATGTTACTCTCCCAGTTCTGAGCCATTAAAATCATTACCTCTCACTATTTATTTCACTCTTGCCCAGTCACAGTTCATGAGGAATAACTGCACTGGTGAAAAGGTAACACAAAAGGTGATTTTCTGATAGATGTTGGTAAAGACACTGTGTTTCAAGGATAAGGAACTGAGATGACAGCACAGCCCCTGCCATTAAAAAAAACTCCATCCATACTAAAGAAGAATGGAGAGTGGTTTTTCAAAAGTAACAAATGGCTTCCTAGAAATTGTGCTCCAAGTCTAATGAGGTAGAATCATTCCTCCACCACTAAACTAAATAAGCTAGTCTTTGGAAACACATTATTTGGATTCCTTTTGTCTTCTGGGCATATGAGAATTCATATTTCATTAGAATCTGTAACAACAAGAGAATCCTGCTGAGTTTCCTCATTAATGTGCCATACTGAAATGTCAGAACATGTACAGAGAAGAGTTCTTAGTTCTTCAGTAATTTTAGACTTCTCATGATCCAAAGACTAAGCCTTTTTAGCTAACAGTTTTAATGGACTCTCAGAGGCCTATGTGACGGTGAGATTTTATTTTTGCCCCCACCTCCTTGTGTTCCAGTAGCATTAAGTGTTCATAAGAAAGTTAGATGGCAAAAATTGGGAAATGATGATGAAAAACAACTGCTCATCATTTCTCTGTAAAACTTGGAAAAGGGTAGGAAAGGACTATGACAATTTTATTTTTAAAAGTGCAAAACTAAGGATTATAACAAAATTAACCTTGTTTTAGTGAAAATCAGGATTTAATTTGTGCCAGGCTGTAACAGTTCTCAGCCTGAGAATTGGTTTTCTGTGTCAGAGTTTAAAACTGAAATACATAAATAGATGAAAGTGCCCCTAAGGAGAGTGCATAAACCTCTGCCTGAGATTTAGAACATATGGTTATGCCAAGTCTGTTTTCAATTTCTTAAAATTACCATACACATTTCTATAGAAGAACCACCAAGTAAGATCCTGCTTGTACCTACTTGAGTTATTTCTTTTATCACATGTTGAAGAGAAAGGATTTCTTCATTGACATCCCTGTTCAATAATTCTTCATATTCTATCTCCAAATGTTTTGCTTCCTAGGAAAAAAGGTAAGGGTGATTAGGAGAGAGTTATATCTTTCATTGAGAGTTTGCATTAACTTGGTCACAATGCATATTTTTAGAATACTGAATATTAACATCCCACTAATGGAGTCCCTCCCAGTATCACAGCCAAAATTAATATAACACAGGAAAACTTCTAGTTAAAAAAAAAAAAAAGCTCCATCCATAGGCACATTTGGGAGGCAGAAGCAGTAGAGACTTATTGATACCACAGCAGAAATTTCAAGTTTATTCCCTCCATTATTACCTTCTATACAGCAAAAATACTTCAGAACAGCTTCCATATTTCCCCCATAGGAATGTTCCTGCTGCTCACATTATCACACATTATCAGTATACCCAAAGTCACACACTTTCATATACATTTCTCGATATCTGCACCTGTGAATTGTTTTAGGCTTCTTCTTTAAGGTTTTTATTATTATAAAATAATGTGTGCTATTATAGGATGCTCCTGTATTATACAACTCCTGTCACAAGTCTGTTTTCCTCTACATATATATGCCAGTTCATGAATATGCAATATTATGTCTGACTGTAATAAAAGTATGCAGTATCATACAATGAATAAAATGCTCTTGTGACATGGTTTAAACAATCATGCAGAAAGACATCCAGGATTCACTTCACAAGCCAGTTTTACTACATGAAAACATCTTTAAATTGCAAGGCTCTAGCGAGTTAGTTTGGCTGATTCATAGCAGACCTACTGTAGGCAATCCACTTTCCATGTGGCAAACTGCTACCACCAGATGAGCGCAATTTCAAACAGCCTTCATATGCTGCGCACGCTGTCTGAAGTTGGCCTGGATTTTTTTAACCAAACGACAGCTAAGAGATTAAGCTATGAACTAGGGATCTCCCTGTTCAAAATTGACAAACTCACTAGCTGCCTTTGGGCTAACCACATCCCCCCAAACTTTCTGTCTGCAGTAGGTGAATAATAATACTACCCTATGTTACAAGGTGAAGCTTACAATAGGACACTGTATGGGGAACACTCTGAAGGAGCTATATGAATGTTAGGTATTATTACTGTAATTGTAACCATTTTGTCCCACAGTCCATTTTTGGCATCAGACCAAGTAAGCACAAACCACAAGTTCCTGGACCCCTCTGAAGTAATATTCTTAATATCTATCACTAAAATTGTATGGAATGAGCAACTCCATTTTACATTTATAGCAGGAGAAAGAGGAGTTTCTGAGGACAGCCACTGGATTAATTTCTTAGACAATTTGCTAACACACCAGCATCTCCACGGTGTCTCTGAGAGTCTTCACTGTTTTCTCTTTCTCCTCATTCTCTTTTTGAGTCTGTTCAAGCAAGGCAGTCAGCTCTACTACTCTGAGAAAAGAGAAGCAAGACTTTATGTGGCTACATCTAGAAGAAGTTCAGCACTCCTGAAGTTCAAATCAGAAAGCAACAAAATAAATTCCAAACACACTTCCATACATTTATGTATGTTAGTTTATCAGCAGAGTCTCCTTTGAAAAATCAGAGCATTTTCCAATGTACACTACATTAACCTCTCTAATCCTATGCATAATCACCTGGAAAAAAGGGCCTACAACTCCCAGCATCCCCCAGCCAATCATGCTTGTAGTAGTAGACCCCTTTTCTAGCTAAATATGCATAGGGATTGCACATTAAGAATTTCAAGTCACTGTTCAGGGTCACTAGTGTTCAATATTACATGGAAGAACCCTCCCACTCTTCTCTTATCCCAATCTACAAGGCAGGGGTGGGAAAAATGTGGTCATCCAGAGATTGCTCAACTATAATTCCAATCATCCCTGACCACTGGCCATGCTGACTCAGACTTCAAGTGCACCCCGATAGACACAGATTCTCCATCACTGTTATAAGAGGACCATAGTAGAGGTTTTATATGCCACAAGAATATCTACAAGAAGTTTCCATATACCACCATACCAGACCAAGTCCCTATTGCAATACATCATCCATGAAGAATAAGAAAGTCATGACAGAAGCTCTCTTTCCATGCATATGTTTGCTTAAATAAAGAAAAGACCAGTCCCTAAACAGTTTCATCTAGAGTACACTTTATAATTCCATCTATGTGAGTTTAAAATATAGCTCTTGACTGTAAAACCAGATATTTTTGTTGTTACCTTCATGCTATTACTAATAAATACATTTGTTTTCTCCCCATCCCATTCACGATTTTTCAGAAAAAGAGTGAAAGATAAAATATGAGCCACACTGAATCAGACCAATTTTTTAAGTAGGTGACATGCCTCTGAGTTTGCAGTAGCAGATGTATCAGTGTATTAAGAAATGGGCAGTTATGGAATGAACTACTGCCTTTATTTCATCTTAAATATCTGGCTTACAGCAGTTTGAATACATTTGACAGTCTTTCCAATTAGCCAGTTTGTCTTCCCTTAACAACATCCTATGGCCATTGTCACTAATGACCATTTGTGCATTGCGTTCCTCTTTGCTCAGGAGAACAAAAAGACAACAATCCTATTTGATATGAATTTATGTTTTTAAAAAGGCAGAAAAAACTTCAGGTGTCCATGGACACCATGTTAGAGACCTCTTGGTGACCCCAGTGATGGTGATCAGAGGGGCTATGTTGGGAATTCTAGGTTTAAGTCCTGACAGAAAATCTAACTGGAAACTTTAAAAATTCACAATAAGAAATGCAAGCAGTCAATGGGCTTCTTCCTGAAAGGCATTTTACCTGTTTTGGAGATCCTCCTTTGCTAAGCCTCCTTTGACATGCAAACTCACAATTGCTTGTGTTTGCTGGTAAATTTCTTTGTCCCTATCCATCTTCTGAGGCATGGTGTACAGTTGTTGCTGTTTCTGATGTTCACTCTTCAGTGCAGGGCTTCTCAAACTGCTGGTCTCACAGAGCTGCATGTCAGAACTTAGACGGAAGCAACTGACAAGGATAGATCCACAAAGCTTCACTTGCTCTGCCTTTAGCTCAGACAAATCCCTGAAGCAGAAACAAATAATATTGGACAGGACAGAAAAGTTTAATCTATACATTTTCTCTGATACAATGGTTAGAGTGTCAGACTAGGTCTAGACAAATCTCAACTGTACTAGCAAGCTCACTGGGTGGCTTGGGCCAGTCATGGGAACATAGGGAGCTGCCCAGTATTGAATCAGACTACTGCTCCATCTAGCCCAGTACTGTCAGCAATAACAGGCAAGATTTTAGGCAGGATTCTTTCTTTGTCCTATTTTGGAGATATTGGGGATCAAACCTAGATCTTTTTGTACGCAAAAGATGTGCTCAACCACTGAGCTGCAATCAATTCCCCTAAGTTAGGTGGAGACAGACTCTCTCTGCCTACCCTAACAGGACAGCTGTGTAGAGAAAAAATGGGTAAGAACTAAGGTGAGATAAATAAGAAAATGATTTAAAATAGCAAACAAGCTAGAGTCAATTTTTCCTGATAATCAACTGTGCTGGTTCATTGTACAATATACCTCCCCCCATTATTTTCAGTGAACACACAAAATAAGGAATGTTAAATAAATAGAATAACTGGACTGTTATTATACTCTGAATTCACTGAATAACTAACATTCACTGGGTGGATTACATAATTTCATCTGGGCAGATTAATTAAAAGACTACAATGCCATACAAACAGCTAATATACAAAATACAATAGAAATATTTAAAAGAAAACAATAAACAAATAATACAGGAAATGACAAAGCAGCCACAAAAATTTAGAACTCGGTCTCAAAACTGTCTAGAAGAAAAAGGTCTTTCCGTTGTGACAAAGAGGTAACATTTGAGGTGTTAGGTGACTCTTTTGTGGGAGGTCGTTTCATACACAGGGTCCCATGAGAAGCCCTCTCTCCTGCTTGCAGCATGAGGGCTTCATTCTAAGAGTCTGAGCAGGTGCATATAAGAGGAGACATTCTATCAGATATTCTGGTCCCAAACCAATTTTAATATTAGAAAACTGCATCAACTATACATTTATAGGAATGAGGAGCATCAAGCATAAAAATGCTGGCTCACTGTGAGCAAGAGAAGATGAAGTGGAGGAGGAAATGTGGTTATCTTTCCAGTGTTCCAAGCTCATTATTTTTGCTTTTGGAACATATTTGTCCCCACAAACTGTGGCCATACCCCTTACATGTTTAAAGCTAAAGGAACATTGCCAACAAACCATGAATACTGCACATTCAGAGTATATTCAGTTACTCAGAGTATTAACATCCCTCAGAAAAAAACATTTCAGGTACATCAAACCATGAGCAGCTCTGAGCCAGCACAGTCCTAAGATAACCCACCCAGGCTGTAACAGAAAAGAACTTGCCTTAATGTTCACTATCTTACAAAACCTTTCTATTCTGCAGTACCCACAGCCTGGACTACCATAGGTACCAATTTAAATGGCCAAAAACGTTTCCCAAAGTTCACTAAGTTATGAATCAGGAACTAGATAGGAAGCCATAATGTAACAAATATTGGCTGGACGAAAATTCATATTCAACAGACAGAAGAAATTCCTCTCACCTGTCAACTGCTGTCTTCATTTCCATAAAATAACGGTGTAAAGTCACCACTTGTCGCCATATGCCAAGGATACGATCATGTTCAGCCCGCATATAACTCTCAAAGAACTATATATGTAAAAAAAACAGCAAGTGATAACCTCATTTCTGTAATAGAAGAATCCATTCAGAGCATGTGGTGGCATCCCAAGCACTTCTGAAACTTGTATTATGTTGTTATGAAGTGACTAATTGTTGAGATGCACTCAAATGTCATTTTTGAAACTGTTTATATCCAATAGAACTTGGAGTTCTCTCCAATATTAGTCCTACTTAAAGTAGACTCATTGAAATGAATGGGTCTCAAGTTAGACTAACCTTGGTTACAGCTATTTATTTACCTTTTTAATTTCTGTATGACATGTACATGCATGCTTGATGAGTGTAACAATACTAAAATATTAAAATAAACATCATGGCGTCTGCCTTTTTCAGCTTCTCTACTATGATTCATATGGTCCTGACTGATGCACCTACATTATATATTGGTTTGCCTGGAAGAAAAGAGAATGCTCTTCTCGGCAAAATGTTCTACTATCATTGCTTAAATAAGAAACACAACATTTCCACCTTCTATATACCATCAGCTGTTGAACTATAGAAAGGAAACAGCCTTCTCACTTGACTTAGGATATAATCCTAAACATACTTCCCTGGGAGTAAGACCAATTAAATTCAAATGGGCTTATTTTTAAGTAAACATATAGTTTGTACAGTTACTCCAACAGACACTTTCAGTACCCCCAGTACAGATGATTGCACTCTGACTTCTTCCTTCTGTTCAACTGGGGAATTTTTGGGGAATTTTTGGCCTTTTTGGCCTTTTCTGGATGGCGTTTCCCCTAAAGGATAAGGTTCGCAGCCTTGGAGTGCTCCTGGATCCTGGACCAGTCAAACTGAGTTTCCAGAAGCACTTTTTATCAGCTTCAGCTGATCTACCACTTGCATCCCTACTTGGACAAGTGGAGCCTTGATACAGTCATCTGTGCTGGTAGCCTCCCACTTGGAATATGCTGTATGTGGGGCTGCCTTTGAAAATGGCCCAGACATTGCAACTTGTCCAAAATCAGGTAGCAATCCTGCTTACTAGGACCAGCACTCTTGAGTATATCATGCTGATTGTACGCAGGCTACACTGCATGCTGGTTGCTGCCCAGGTCCAATTCAAAATGCTTACAACATATAAAGCTCTAAACAACTTGGGGCCAGGTTATCTAAAAGAATGCCTCTCCCCATATATACCAGCCCAGTCACTGCAGTCTTCATCTGAAGCCCTCCTCCACATTCCTCTCCCCAGTGCAGAGATGGGGGAGTCTGCAAGGAAGAGAGCTTTTCTGAGTACACTTTAGAACTCAATTCTATTGATATATGGTTGGTGCCTACCCTTCTGGCCCTTAGGCACCTACTAAAGACACATCTGTTCCATAGTTATTTTGATTAGGTGACTTTTGTTTTTATTGATATTTTAATCTTGTTTTATGTTAATGTACTGCTGCCAATGTATTTTAATGCTAGAATTTGGTATGACTAATTTTAACGGTTTATTGAATTTTGATAGCATTACAATTTTATTGTTATTGGCACTGATTATATATTGTCATGTCTATTTTGTATTGTATAGATTTCAATAATATTTTTATTTATTTATTTATTTAGAATATTTATATGCTGTTCTCCCACAGAGCCTTATATGAGCGACCTAGAGAGCCTATGGCTAGTGGGGAGGCGTACAAATTCAATAAATAAATAAATGTGATTAGAGGTATGTATATACCTACCTTTAAACATGAGTTGTTTACCTTGTGAGCCTAGCTTCCCCCACAACTTCACCACCTTCACATTTGTTTCACAAGAGTTTTGACAGGAATACTTAACAGTAATTCAAACTATGATTTCAGTACTTTTATCTTGCTCTTCCCCACAACCTCCTGACTGGCTGTCCAGTAATTTTTTCAAGCACTGAATGAGCATTTAGAATATACTCCTATGCAATTTAGACCACAAAAATGCTTACAGCTTACAACATGCCCCACCAAGCTGAGTATGCCTCAAGCAGCAGAACTGCTGGGAATTGTAAGCTTTTTTTCTGTTTAAACTTGCATGGGATTGCCCCTTTAGGGGACAATCCAGTGCCCCCCCACCCTTGATGCACCCTCCAAACTTGGTGGGGGGAGGTAGGATTGTCTCCAACTAAATTCTGGATAAGAAATTGTAGATCTGTCTACCAAGTAAGAGAGAGGACTTCAACAGTGGCTTGGCTTCTAGAACAATGCACATTTGGATATATCCTGAATTCATCTCTCTAATATGTTAACTTGCTGTGGGCAGCAAAGGCCTTCCAAAGCAGAAACACAACAGTTTGCACCTGCCTTGAACACAAGGATGTTCAAGCAGAAATTCATTCACCACCACAACCATTATTATTATTATTGGTATATCCCTACCTCTCGTTCTTTGTGCCACTCATTCTCTTTGTAATCTAACTCTTCCCTTGCTTTTGTCCAATCAGCTACCAGTTTGCTGACATCCTCTCGGAGTGCCCCATTCACTTTGTTGGCCTTGTCCAGGTGCTCTTGGAGTAATATGTTCAGCCCAGCCAAATTCTCACACCTGAAGTACAGGATAAAGACACTAGATTAGGCAAATAACCATTATCCTATGAAGATGAACTGGTAGCAATGTTGTCTTCCACTGCTTTCTCCAAGCTCCAGCTAGGATTCCCAAAACATTCTTTCTTCACTCACCTCTGCTGCTCCTCTTCCAATTGAACCAGTGCTTTCTCTAGACTGTGGTCTTCTCTCCGATCCCCCTGAAATGGATGTGATCCCTTTGTCAGAAATATAATTTAATCAGAACAACATTTGTGTTCTCCCTCTTCCTTCACTTCAACATCACCCTGCTAACTTCCCCCAGATCAGTAAGCCAGTGAATACCACTTAAGGCTGGTCAGTTTACCATAAGACAGAATGCTTGCTTTACAACAAGGACATAAAGACAACTTACCATTTCCCCACTGGCATTAACTAGTCCACTCCAGTTTTAATAAGTCGAATTAAAAGACTGCATCAGAGATAATTACAGTTTCATATCTCTAATTTATAGTTTCATGTCTCTCGTCTGATGCCTTTGTCTATAGGAAACCATTCTGTTTCTCTATAGTCTGTCTTAAAAGTAGCTTCTTGTCCATGACACAGGTTATATTATGCATCAGAACACTCAAGTGCCAAAGCACATCCATTTCTATCAGAACCATCCATAGCTTTACATAATCCACAGCTTTGCTGTAGACTTAACTGATCTTCAGAAATTCTTTGATGTATCCCAGTGGCCAGTGTATAGCTGTAGTATCATCTCAAGTGCTTTTTCCTTTACGGAAGCTTGAATGTCAAGCATTTATCTCTCCATGTAGGGCAAAATTCTTTGTCAGAACATCTCGAGCATCACTTTGCTTGCATAGGAAATTAAAACAATGGTTCTATGGTTGCTGCAATCTCTTTTCTTTAGGATTGGAACATATATTGAACATTTTCATTTCTGTGGGCCACTGTTTTCCATATTTGTTGGCATATGTTTGTTTGGATTTGGACCAATTCTGTTTCTACAGCTTGTAATAGTTCTTTTGCTGCCCTATCAATGCTGGATGCTTAATTCCGTTCAAGTCGTTTCAAAGTAGCTTTCACTTTGCTTTCTAATACTGCATGTTCTTCCTCATAGAGTTTCTCTTCAAAGGAGACTGTTATCTTGTTTTGTACAGTGCTTCCATATATTGTTTCTACCTTCTCTTTATTTTATCCTGGTCAGATAGTATGTTTATTGATTCTTTAATTACTTAATTCCATATCACCCAATAGCCAGAATACTCTGGTCACCTTACAACTACATTTAAAAATACAAACAGCATTAAAGCAGCATAAAAGGTAATCATACACATTAAAATGCATATAAAATTTACAGTAGCTTTTTTAAAATAATCAGACAAACAAAGCCCCAATGAACTAATTAAATGCCCTGAGATAATAAGGATGCTAAAGTTGGCCAGGCAGGTCTCAGTGGAGAGGTCATTCCATAACTGGGGGACCATAAATAGGGTTACAAGTGGATGAAAAGGTCATCTGGACCCTCTGTAAAACTCAATGGTTGTGGTCAGACAAAAAACTAAGCCATGCTGTGTGGTAACCTTGTAGCATAGTATTTTTATCTTGTATCCGGGCTTCCAGCAGGCATGTGGCTTCCATGCTTCTCCATTTTTCTGCTTAATGGTGGCCAGTATCCAATCAGCCCCCACAGCTGAAAATCAATCCCTGCCTGCATCATTTGTTTCCCTCTCATTGGCCCACACATTCCCCTGGGTGTGGCCACAGCCATCTGCCTTTTTTTGTTGTTCTGCCACTCAGAAGTTGCAACTGCCCACTCACTAGAGGAACACTATCATTTTAGAGAAGCACTAGAGTGGCACTCCCTGCTGCTGCCTCCCTCTGTACAGGTGTCCAAAGTACAAGGACACTTATCCCCCTCCATCATTGCATGTGTTCACCCACCCCTGTGAACAGGATTTGCACACGCTGCCAGGGGCTGCCTCCCCACTGCAACCAGGATCACAGAGAGCATCAGCGTGGGTACCTGTGCCAGGAAGAGAAGGAGGAAGGGTGTCCTGCCAGACTTTCCTGAAAAAGTGCATGTGGGCACCTGTGTGGGACATGTTTCCAATGGGCTGCAAGGAGTGTGTTCATCCTGCATTTGTGAACAATGGGGTTGACAGTCTATAGGAATGTTAGGGACAAGATAGGACTATAAGGGAGGTTGGGAGACAGAACAGGAGACCTGGGTTTTTCTGGGCAATTGCCCTCATGGCAATGCCCATGCACAGCCCATTTGCTCCTCATGAGTAAGACAGCCTTCACAAGAGGAGACTGCTGGCTCCCAGAGTAACATGTGCTCAACATTTTTCAAGCACCACACCAGTAAAGTGCAGTGACCAGATCAAAGCATCAAGCACAGCTGTCTCCATGGTCACTGTTGCTGGAAGTGGCACAGTGCAAGGTCCTGCTGCCAAAGAGTCCCTGTCACCACAGCTGGGCAACTGAAAGCCATGCAATGGCAAGGCAGAAAGGGAGTGTGAAATAATGCTACAGCCTGCAACTCAGCAGCTGCTAGGCAGCAACAAAAGTGTGTCTCCTACAGCCACTCCTGCTACAGAAAGCTATGGTTAAAGCATGGAAACCAACTGTGGTTTCCAGGTTCAGACACAGAAACATACCATGTTAAAGCGCAGAAACCTAAAATAACCCATTGTTTCTCTAATGGTTCCATGGAAACCAAAGGTACCACACTTCACCATGGGTTCAGAGATAACAACAAGCCATGTCACGGTTTCCACCACAGCTTATGAATCTACCCAATGAATAAGGCAGGGTGATTGCACAATAAAAACTTTAAATGAAAGCATCCTAAGTCACTGAATAAGGAAGTTATTAATATAATAACAGAAACATTTGGTTATCTGTCTCAAGCTTCTGTATAAAGAAGTATACGCATCATTTATGATATTAGAGGATATATCTAAATGTTCTAATTTCTTTTAACACTGGCCACAAAAGAGACATAGTGCATTAACAAAGAATGATAACCATCTGTTTTCCTGGACAGGGCAAACATAATGTGCTTTTCCAGAATCCTCATCATTAGGTCATCACTCCCAACAGCATATCTTAAAACAATGCAATCACTTTTCTTTAAAACGCACCTTGCTTGCTTCCAAGCGCTGTTCTAGCTCCTTGCACCAATTCCGATACTGTAATACCTTAAGAAAAGAAAAGAACAGAACAGAACAGAACAGAAAAAGTCAGCACATGGTACAGGACCTCTCATGGCTTTTTTAAAGTTTTGACTTAGTTGCTAGTTGCCCTTCTTTGTACTAAAATGAATTTGTGTACTGCATTGCCTATAAATACATACAATGGGCATATCCAGTATTGTTCATGTAATCCCACTATTTCTGTTCATCAGCCAGACCAATTGATAATTCCTTAAGCAACACTAAAACCAAGTGGAAACACTTGTTTTCAGAACAGGACAGAGTTCTGCTAGTGTACAAGCAATATTAGATAATGTCCAATGGCTAGGAGTAGTTTTCTTTTCCAAATAAGCTGAACACATAGGCCATACTTAAGTGTATATTTTATCAGTTCAGGCTTATCCAGTCCCAGCAACAATAAAGTATACACACATTAAATAAAGGGTACATACAATAAAATGGCAGGCTTTGTACAGCTACACATTTTTTCTCCTTAATATAATATTTCTGTTAAGAATAATGCTAGATGGAAAAAGTGGAAAGCAAAGGAGGGTTACAAACAGAAAACAACATCCGGAGTACCCATAAACTTCCATGAATGACAAAGGGTGATAAAAGCCTCATCTGGAAGTATCCAAGTACATTCACAGATTGCATTTTCTAACAGCTTCAACAGAGTTTATCATAACACACCATAAATAATCTCCTTTCCAGAAATAGTGACTAACTGAAAAGGTAACAGCAAACTATTTTAAAGTTTCTGATTAAAGTATTCTTCAAATGTAGACTATTTACATGCATAGCAGTATCCTTTGAGCTAGAGAGTATCTAAACTAAACAAACTGCATCTTTGATAATAGTTAAGCGTGCTGAAATAACAGAAAGCAGAATTAAGTACAGAAATATCAGAAAGACAAAGGTTTTCAGACAGAAACAAAGATGGAGAAAACTAAAATGTTGAGATTGGGACACTTGTCAAGAAAGTAATCCCCAAGGCATGAATATTCAGGAAGACCATCCAAAATATTAGGAATATTTAAGAAACTTGTTTCCAAGCAAGCACATTATTTCTCATGGTCTCTTATGCCTCCATCAGCCAACACCTTTGCAAGATCTATCACCACCTTCTTCTAAATACCACTAGAAGCATAAGAGGCTTTACCTTTGCTTGTAGTTTTTGTACAAGTACTGCTTGCCTCTGCTGGGCCTCATGTGAACTCTGCAGTTTGTGACGATAGGATGACTGGCTTTCCGCCAGCTGTTGATGTAGTGCCACTAGCTGCTCATCTGGCAATAAGTGAAATGTTTGTGCTTTCATGCTATTCTCTTCTTGCTCTCCTTCCATCTGAAGGTTAAAGCAAACAGAAGTATGATTGGTTCTTAAGAATTTAGCAGACAAAACAGTTCTGATCAATCCTACTTCTTTAACAGAATGACTGGTAGACACACTAACACAGATGTATGTGTTGCTATTCATGTTAATACTGAAAAATAATTATAGTTCTACATTCAAGTAAGATGCATTGAATGGAAACTTAATCTGTTTTGTTCCCAAAAGAGGAATGCAAAAGGATGTTACTTGTAGAGATTAGCCTTCCAAGTAGCCTTCCATTCTGCAGAAAGAAAGAAAGCCCACATCTGTATCAATTTATGCTTTTGTCAAACCAAGATAAAAAAAAAAATGTTTTCTGGAATCCTACTCCAAGTTCAGAAAATTGTTCTTTTGTATTCCAGACAGGAATACAGAGCAACCAAAGTGGTGAGGACATTCCACAATAGCACTTTCAATCCCTATGGTTACAGCAACAATTCTAAAATCCAAATTAATATACTACTTTTTTGGGCCAATCAAAAGGTGTAAAAAATGGCCAAGCTTTCAGGCCCTCAAGATGTCTTAATCATGCAAGATGTGATGTTCAGGTTGGAGTACGGGGAATGGATTTTCAGCCTTTCCAGCATTCCTAGCACCTTCAGGTGAAATCTGAAACCATCACATCACCCTCCAGCTTTATTGGAAGTCTGCAGAGCCTTCCTCGAGAATACTGAGAGGAGATATGACAGCACTCTACAAGTTCCTGAAAGGCTTTCACAAAGAGGAAGAACAAGATCTCTTCTTGTTCTTTCCAGAGCGCAGGGCACGGAATAACTGATTTAAGTTAAAAGAAACCAGATTTAGACTAGACACCAGGAAGAATTTTCTCACTCTAAGAGCAATAGGACAATGGAACCTATTATCTGGGAAGTTGTGGGCTCTCCTTCGCTAGAGACACTCAGAAAGCATCTGGGCAGTCATCTGAATGGGATGGTGTAACAGTGTCCTGCAATAGCAGGGAGTTGGACCCGATGGCCTTTCGCCCCTTTCAACTCTACTATTCTATGATTCTATAATTCCTCCCTGATTCTATCCCAAACTTCAGACCTTGCTGACACCTTGTTTTCAACATTGACTCAGTACTCTCAACCCCGTTTTTGTGAGATGAAAGGATTGGGAGAACTCGAAACTTGCAGTTTTAGTCACCTTTTGGTTGGTCTAAGAAAACTATTACATTTATATGGATTTTGGAACATTTCTCATTACCAACACAGTACTTCTAGGCCCACTGACGTCCCTCTCCCTATCCCCACCCCGGGCAAATATCCGAAGCTACAAGTTCTGAGGTGGCGGCGAACCTCCGATCGCTCGCCCTAGGTTTGTCAGTGTATGACGCACCTCCCTTTCCCTTCTCACCTGCGAAGCATCTATCGGCTGGGAGGAGAATTCGAGGCCTCAGGCCGCAAATCGGCTGCTCGCTCCCTTCTCAGCTGCTAGCTTGCCTGAGCGACGGCAAAGGACCAGCCCAATGGTTTGTGGAGAATGTCGTTTTCTCTAAGAAGTTTGTAATGAAAATAACCTTTGGAAAGACTACGTCACCCATGATGCACCGGGCTTTGCCTTGTAAATTTCGGCAACCCCCTCCCCACCTCCTATTGGCTAGGAAGGAGAAGGGGAGGAGAAGCCTTGACACAGCCGCGGGAAAATAAAACATCGAGCAATGACTGTTCTGGCTTCTTTTCTCACGAGTGGCGCTTCAAGGCTGGAGGAACCTTTCCAGACCAGTTGTAGAGGGAGGAAGAGCCCCTGTGGCTGTGCCTCGTTCGTTTTCTTTCTTTTGCTTTCCCCTTCCCCTTTCCTATTTTTCCTTCCCACGGAAGGAAGGAGTTCTCTTGCCCTAAGCAGAAATAGACAGGTTAGAGAGTGAGTGTGTGTGTGTGTGAGAGAGAGAAAGACAGGTGGGAGGAGAGATGTTGGATATGCACGCAAAGCAAACCTATAAAGTTCTCTCGAAACTTAAGTCCAATTGTGGCCTTACAGTATAATAATATTCAAGGACTCCCACTTTAAAAAAGGATGGAAGAAGTCGCATTGAATTCAATGGGATTTCCTTGATTAGGCAAGCAGAGGATTGCACCACAGTGTTTTTATTTCTGAACATCTACTCTTTAGTAATTGAAGAGAAGCAATGCCCAGCTGAAGGTTAAAGAGTGCCTCAGGTTTTGTATCTATCTAATTAAACTACCAAAAAGGCTTCAACCCAGTCAGTCAGATAAGTTGCTAGAGAGAAATTAAGACACCATGATGTGGTACAGAATAATAACTTCTTTTCCGAACTCCCATAGAGTGCTGAATGACAGATAAATTTGTGGACTTGAATGTATTGGTTGTACTTGTTTAAAGTCCCTTGGCAACTTGATTCTACTTTACCTTATTTTACATATACTTGTCTTTTTTGTACTCTGTTTATGTTAAGAATTTTTTTTTAAAAAGACACCATGATTTGGACTGTTCATAAGTTCATACTCTGTGGTGAGGCTTAATCCTTTACACAATGGCAGGTTACCTTCCTAAACAGATTTTGGTGGAAAAAAGCCACTTTGAAGACAATAGGTTCTACTTCTGGTTAAACATACATAAACTTTTCAAGTGAGGCATTTAAATATATGTTCTTGATTTTGGTTATGTTGGAACCCTATTTACCTTATGACTGTTCAGTATCATTACTTAAACATCAACTTTTCCCCTTCTTCTTCCCTCCTCTGTATAACATCTTATCTGATGTAATGTTCTGGAGATTCTGAAATCTTGTCCTGACAATTTTGTGCATTATTATTTTGCCATTGAAACAGACACAAAAAGAGGAATAAGAACATTCTGAGAAGCAGGCTGTATTATAGTTGTTAAAGGCACAAACGGATGCATGGTGAGACAGAAAAAAATGCCTACAACTCCCAGCACACCCCAGTGTGGTGTAGTGGAGGGCCAGTGCAGTGTAATAGTTAAGACTGCAGGACTGGGGCTCAGAAGATCAGGATTCTAATTTTCACTTCACCATGGAACTAATTGGGTGACTCTGAGCCAGTCATAGGCTCTCAGCCCAACCTACCTTGCAGAGCTGTTGTTGTGAGAATAAGATTGAGAGGGGGAGGAGAAATCTGTTAGCCACACTGAGTTCCTTGCAAGGAAATGAGACACAATATCAATAGAATAAACAGATAAATATCTACTGCTATGAACAATGCCATTAAGAAAAATTTAGCCTTGCTGTACAAATTCTATATTTGGTTACTAATGGCAAACTAGATATCTTGCTCAAGTTGTTCTCACCCAGTTCTCAATCTATTATTCTCAAGTGACATCTGAGATGAGATCAACCAACTCTAATAAGCAACATGAGGCATCAGAGCCTCCTCGTGCATTTCCCTGTTATCAAACCATCTGATGTTGGCTGACATGGAGACTACTGGCATGTCTTTTTGCCCAGTAGATATTAGTGCATCCCCAAGTCCACAAGTTCAATGCAGAGATACTGAGGAGAAACTAGTTATTAGAATGAGTCATGATTGTGCTGCCCCTGATCATGCAAGCCCCTTTGATTGGTCAAAAGCATAAAATCTGGCAGCAGACAACTTGAAGTGATAAGTTGTGAGCCGCCCCGAGGCTTCAGCGAATGGGGCGGCATAGAAGTCTCCTAAATAAATAAGTAAAATAAGTAAAAGCTGAAGTTCCTGTTAATGACCTCCCTGGAAGAAACAATAAGGGGCTTCTTCTGTTGTAAGCCAAACCATTTTCTTCCATCTCTTTTGGCTCTAGGATTTCTTTGTTACTCCCTAGGACAATTTGTTACTCCCTGGACCTTCTGCCATTTCATGCTGCCTTCAGCTACCATCTGACCATATATTCTGTGTGATTACAGCTCTAATGTAAAAAAGTGGTGTGTGACTTCCTTGGAGTATAGCTCAGTTATTACCATTGATTTCCTGAATACCTTTGCAAAAAGAAACAGTGCTAGAGACAACCTGACCCCATGAAGAAATGGAAGGCCTTCCATTGAAGGTGGATGTATAAGTAGCAATTTCATGCAGTCAGCACATAAGTAGCTTTTGACCAAATACATGCTCTTTTATTGCTTGTTTTCCTTTTGGCTTGTTAAAATGATGCACTGGACTATCATCCCCCTTGCAGGACTTTTCTGGTATCCTCTCTGAAAGCTCCCATCTTGATGACCCTTGCACAGTGAATCAAGAGGAGCCTCTATTTGAAGTGACAGCCTTTTGTTCTTCTAGAATTTCTATAGCCCTTGCATTAACAATGAAATGCTCATAGGTTGTACTGTTCCATCACCCAGCCCACAGTGCCCGCCTTTCCCATTTTTGTTTTTAAACAAAAACAGTTCTGGCTTCAAGCTGTGGCCCTTCCCTTTTCCTTTTCAGGTTGCTTCTGGGCTCCAGAGGGATCCAAAGCATTCTTCTAGAAAGCGACCGGGCAGGGGGAGAAAGAGGAGCAGATGAAAGCTAGAGCTCTACTTTCCAACATGATTGGCCAGCCAAAAGCTCTTAAGAAATGAGAAATGACGGTGCAGCTTCAGTTCCTGGTAATCTTCAGGAATGAGGAAAGCTGTGGGGTATGTGCCTCAGGGTAGGAAAGCAGTAACGGGTGATGTTGGAAAGAAAGCAATTACTGGCAGTGTTGGGTCAGGTGGGATCCCTGCACCTGTACCTAATCACATCATCACCCCCTGCAAATTAAGTTTACCCCAGTCCATCAGACAGGATATACAATGTGGTTCAGCCTCCACCTCGTTGTTGTTGTTGTTAGTCGCGAAGTCATGTCTGACCCATCACAACCCCATGGAAAACATTCCTCCAGGCCTTCCTGTCCTCCACCATCCCCCGGAGTCCATCTAAGCTCACACCAACTGCTTCAGTGACTTCATCCAACCACCTCATCCTCTGCCGTCCCCTTCTTTTGCCATCTATTGTTCCCAGCATTAGACTCTTCTCCAGGGAGTCCTTCCTTCTCATTAGGTGGCCAAAGTATTTGAGTTTCATCTTCAAGATCTGGCCTTCTAAAGAGCAGTCAGGGTTGATCTCCTCTAGGACTGACCGGTTTGATCGCCTTGCGGTTCAAGGGACTCACAGGAGTCTCCTCCAGCACCACAATTCAAAGGACTCACTCCTTCAGCACTCAGCCTTCTATATGGTTCAGCTTTCACAGCCGTACATTGCAACTGGGAAAACCATAGTCTTGACTATTTGTTGGCAGGGTAATGTCTCTGCTTTTTAGTATAGATTTGCCATAGCTCTTCTCCCCAGGAGCGTCTTTTAATTTCTTGGCTGCAGTCCCCATCTGCGGTGATCTTGGAGCCCAGGAAAATAAAATCTGTCACTACCTCCATTTCTTCCCCATCTATTTGCCAGGAAGTGAGAGGACCAGATCCCATCATTTTAGTTTTCTTAATGCTGAGTTTCAAGCCAACTTTTGCACTCTCTTCCTTCACCTGCATGAAGAGGCTCTTTAGTTCCTCTTCACTTTCTGCCATTAGAGTGGTATCATCTGCATATCTGAGGTTGTAGATATTTCTCCCAGCAATCTTAATTCCAACTGGTGATTCATCTAGCTCCGCCTTTCTCATGCATATAAGTTAAATAGGCAGGGCAACAGTATATAGCCTTGCCGAACTCCTTTCTGAATTTTGAAAAAATCAGTGGTTCTGTGTCCAGTTCTCACTGTTGCTTCTTGACCCGCATATAGGTTTCTCAAGAGACAAATAAGATGGTCTGGTACTCCCATCTCTTTAAGAACTTGCCACAATTTGTTGTGATCCACACAATCAAAGGCTTTAGCATAGTCAATGAAGCAGATGTTTTTCTGGAACTCCCTAGCTTTCTCCATAATCCAACGTATGTTGGCAATTTGATCTCTAGTTCCTCTCCCTCTTCAAAACCCTGTCTGTACTTCTGGTAGTTCTCGGTCCACATACTGCTGGAGCCTAGCTTGTAGGATTTTGAGCATAACTTTGCTAGCATGTGAAATGAGCGCAATGGTGCAGTAGTTTGAACATTCTTTGGCATTGCCCTTCTTTGGGATCGGAATGTAAATTGAACTTTTCCAATCCTGTGTCCACTGTTGAGCTTTCCAAATTTTCTGGCATATTGAGTGTAGCATTTTTACTGCATCATCTTTTAAGATTTTGAATAGCTCATCTGGAATACTGTCACCTCCACTAGCTTTGTTGTTGCTCAGAATTCCTAAGGCCTATTTGACTTCACATTCCAGGATGTCTGGCTTAAGGTCTGTGACCACCCCATCGTGGTTATCAGGGACGTTAAGCTCTTTCTTATATAGTTCCTCTGTGTAATCTTGCCACCTCTTCTTAATCTCTTCTGCCTCTGTTAGGTCCCTGCCATTTTGGTCCTTTATCATGCCCATCTTTTCATGAAATGTTCCCTTCATATCGCCAATTTTCTTGAAGAGATCTCTGGTCCTCCCTATTCTATTGTTTTCTTCTATTTCTTTGCACTATTCATTGAAGAAGGCA